GCTGATAAGAAGAGTGGATTGAGGAGAGAAAGCGCTCAAAATCTTTTGGGTGCCCTCTTTGAACGTTTCCCTCCTAAGCAAAAGATCTCTGAGGTTGTCTTCCTCTTGCAAGATACTGCCTTGGTACCATGTGCATTCGACGCTCTCGCCGATAAGGGAGCTGTCGTTCGCGATGCCGCTCAGTATGCTCTCGACGCATTATTCTCCAACTTGAACGCTGAAGGTCTCGTCTATGGTCTCCTCCCAATGCTCATTGCTTATCTCGCCAAACGAACCGGAAAGTGGCAAGGAACTGTCGCTGCATTCAAATTAATACAAAAGATGGCAGACAAGGCACAAATGTCTATTGGTGGCAGCAAGGAGGAAGCTGATGAGAAGGACTTGTTAAGAGAGATCATGGGTGCAAAATTGGCACAATTGATTCCTCTCGTCGAGGCTGGAATGCACGACTTGAAGTCCGAGGTTGAGAAGCAATCTGTCACTGCTATGACTTCTTTGACCACCCTTCTCTCTAACGACGATGTTGCTCCAAGAATCCCACTTTTGATCGAAACCATGCAAAAGCCAGGAAAGGAGACCCTCCAAAAGGCTATCCACGCTTTGTCTCAAACCACTTTCGTTGCTATTGTAACATCTCCCGTTCTTGCTCTCCTCACACCCCTTCTTGAGAGATCTCTCAACGACCGCTCTACCGCACAAGAAGTTTTGAGACAAACCGTCGTCGTTGTTGAGAACTTGACAAAGTTGGTTCACGACCCTGTCGAGGCTCGTACTTTCTTGCCAAAGTTGCAACCTGGTATCAAGGGTGTTTTGGAACGTGCATCCTTGCCAGAAGTCAGAGAGATGGCTGATCGTGCCATGAAAGTCATGGACAAGGCCATGAGTGATGATGCCGGAAACGTTGCTAACGGTGTCGCACACGTTACTAAAATCACTGCCGCTGATGTTTCCAAGGTTCTCGAAGCTGAGATCAAGAAGGCTGGAGGACTTGCCGATAACTCGGATATCGTCAAACTCACAAAATCATACATCTCTGATATGCTCGTTGAGGATGTCAACCATCGTCAAATTGAACGTGTTGCTGCCAACGTCACCCCTTACCTTGAGCACATCATGAAGCAACAAGGATCAGCCGCTACTGTTGGTGATGCTGTTCAACAATTCTATCTTGAGGAAGACCACCGAAAGTTCGGACAACCTGTTAAGGAGGATGATGGTGAAATTGAAATCGTCAACACAAACTTCTCCTTGGCCTACGGAGGTATGCTTTTGCTCAACCACACCAACTTACGACTTCTCAAGGGTCATAGATATGGTCTCTGTGGTCGTAACGGTGCCGGAAAGTCAACTCTTATGCGAGCCATCTCAAACGGCAAACTCGAGGGTTTCCCAAGTCAAGATGAACTCCGAACATGCTTCGTTGAACACAACCAAGGTGAAGACGCTGATATTAGCATTTTGGACTTCGTCGCAAAGGATCCAGAAATTGCCAAGGAAGGTCGTGAACGTATCTCCGAGGTTTTGTGCGAAGTCGGCTTCACTGCTGGTCCAGAAGGTCGTCAATCTGAGAAGGTTGGATCTCTTTCCGGAGGTTGGAAGATGAAGCTTGCTTTGGCCAGAGCTATGTTGATGAAGGCTGATGTTCTTCTTCTTGATGAACCTACTAATCACTTGGATGTTGCCAACGTGAAATGGTTACAAGAATACTTGAAGGCCCACACCGAAATCACAAGTTTGATTGTTTCTCACGACTCCGGATTCTTGGATGAAGTCTGTACCGATATCTATCATTACGAACCAGGAAAGAAGCTTGCCGTTTACAAGGGTAACCTTGCTGCTTTCGTCAAGCAAAAGCCAGAAGCCAAGAGTTACTACACTCTCTCCGACTCTCTCGTCAAATTCAAGTTCCCTCCTCCAGGTATACTTACTGGTGTCAAATCTCAAACCAAAGCCATTCTCAGAATGTCCAACTGCTCATACACCTACCCGGGAGCTACCAAGCCATCTCTTCACGAGGTTTCTTGTCAATTGACTTTGTCTTCCAGAACCGCCATTATCGGTGGTAATGGTGCCGGAAAGTCTACTTTGATTAAGCTTCTTACTGGTGAAACTATCCCAACTTCTGGTAATGTTTACAAACATCCTAACTTGCGTATTGGATACATCAAGCAACACGCTTTGGAGCACGTTGAGATGCATTTGGAAAAGACCCCCAACCAATATCTCCAATGGCGTTATGCTAACGGAGATGATCGTGAGGTACACATGAAGCAAACACGTATCTTGTCTGATGAGGATAAAGCTCAAATGGAAAAGATGATTGATCTTGGTGATGGAACAGGCGCAAAGCGTATTGAAGCTATCATGGGTCGTCAAAAGTACAAGAAGACTTTCCAATATGAGATTAAGTGGGTTGGAATGTTACCAAAGTACAACTCTCAAATCTCCAGGGAGACTTTAATTTCTCTCGGATTCAATAAGTTGATTCAAGAATTCGACGATCACGAGGCATCTCGTGAAGGTCTTGGTTTCCGTGAGCTTACTCCAACTGCTATCTCTCAACATTTCGAGGATCTTGGACTTGACCCTGAAATCGCCAATCACAACGAGATCTCTGGTCTTTCCGGAGGACAAAAGGTCAAGGTTGTCATCGCAGGAGCTATGTGGAACAATCCCCATCTTTTGGTTCTTGACGAACCTACCAATTTCTTGGATCGTGATTCTTTGGGAGGTCTCGCTGTTGCTATTCGTGACTACAAGGGTGGTGTTGTCATGATTTCTCACAACGAAGAATTCGTTGGTGCTCTTTGCCCTGAACAATGGCATGTTGTTGCTGGTCGTGTTACTCACAAGGGTACCATGGCTATCTCAGCTGATCGTTTTGAAGATAGCAGACCATCAAGCGGTTTCAACAGCAGTGTTGCAAGTGCTGCAACAAGTGCTAGTGCCAGTGCTGTTAACAGTGGTGCAGAGGATAATGGAGATCTTGGCTTCAAGGCCAAGAAGAAGAAGAAGAAGACCAAGAAGGAACTTAAGGAGTCTGAAGTTAGAAAGAGACTTAGACACATTGAATGGTTAGTTGATCTCCTGTTTGCTAAACTTTATACTTGTACATCATACTAATAATATCTTAGGCTCAACTCTCCAAAGGGTACTCCTCATCCAGCTGACACTGATGATGAATCATAATGGATTTGGAACAAGTCAGATACCAAAATTTGCTTCTTGCATATATGTTCATTCATTAGAACGCGGTCGCCATTAGAGGGTTCTTTATTTCTGGATGGAACGACACGTATGATATAAAAGCGATGTTCTTCGCAATTTCATTTTATGATTTCATGATCAATAGGGTCGTGTGAAAAGAATGGCGTTATGCGTACTTTATAGACGGGGTGGATGGGATCTAATCTTTCCTGATAAATGTCTTTTTGAAATGAATGTTTGAGTTATGATAGGACGGGTTTGTCCAGTAACTAGGAGGATAGATCAATAGATAGGTAGATAGATAAAAGGATGGGTGGACGCCAATGCCGATGTGCGGAGGCTTGAAATTGAATAGTCAATTTACAACATGTTTGTTTCCATGATAGTGCATGTATTGGTAAAGAATGCGCTGGTCGTCAAAGTGATGAAATCTTGATTCTTGTACCACCAATGGTTACTTACACTCCACTGGGGGGGATAGAATTCCACAAGAATATGCACTTTAAGAAACATACACTTAAATGAAGTAGGATCTATGATGGTTCTCTGAGTATTCGGATTGGTGCTAATGCCTCCCCGCATCTTGTATGGTTTCCTCCGCATGTGTGTGTGTCACTGTGGTGATGTTTATAGGTTAGGAGGTATGAATGTATGCACTGAGATCATCTGCACCCGGAAATTCTCTTGGTCTTCGCACTGGTGCTCACGGGTCATTGTGTATTGTATGGTTTGGTCTGGGATTCTGGGTGTGTGTGATGGGATGCCGATGATTTTGTATGTCTGTGTGTGTGTGTGTAGTGAGATTGTGGTGAGATTGTGGTGGGATTTAGGGTTGCGAGGTATGTATGAATGAATGTACGCGTGAACGTGGTTGTAAGCGAGAGAGAGAGAGAGAGAGAGAAGGGGGGGGGGAGATGAGATCCGGGAATGTGGGTACGATTAGAAGCTAGGTATCCATAGGAACTCAAAATGACAGAATTTGACCCCTCATTAACCCGTTTCAACAATCTGATTCCCCTTCCCTTGAATCCGAAGGTGGCAGAATATTCACTTTGATAAGAATTGATATTATCAGAATGTAAAAATTGTTTTTACTTTGTTAGATTCGTTTTTATTTTATTCGTTTTATTTTACTCGTTTTATTTGTGGTTGGTTGGAATTTGTTTGCTGGAGAATTTCTGGTAATGAGATGTAGGGTTGCATCAGGCTTCTTTTTTCTTCTTCCTATGTAGATACTAGAGAGGAGGTAGAGGGATGGATTGGATTGGTGGGGGAAAAGTAGGAGGGTTGTGTTTGTGATTATTTTTGTATGTTTATGGGAGAGGGAAAAAAGGATGAGCGGGGATGCAGGGGAGGTGGGTTGTTTATAGATGGAGAAAATGTGTAGATGGTCTTTTGGGCGTGAGTTGAGGTGAATCATTGAAGATGGAGATGGCGAGATTTTTCGCCCCCATACAATGCTGGCAATTCTCGCTTCGCCCCCGCCCCCGCTTCGCTTGGCCCCCACTTCAGATCTAAGTAGTTGGTTCTAACCCCCAAGTTGGGGGGTGTGTGAGGAAGGTACGTCTTCATCTATTTTTGAGCGGTTGTTTTATGGTATCATGATCACTTTTAGGTCCTGCGTTTCGCAGTCGTGAGTATTTATATGATACTCGAGAACCTTCTTGATTTTCGCGCTTTTTCATCCTCCCTTCTCTCGCTTACCTTGTGTTCTGTTACTTTCACTCGTGAACTCTTTATTACAAAACACACCCATCCCTTCTCTCTCCTCAAAAAAAAATATCCATCCCATCATGTCCACCTCCTCAATCCTATCCTATCTCCAAGATCTTCCAGCCCAAGCACCTCCCCCGGGAATAACAGCTAATCTGGCACATCCGGAAAGTAAAGGGTATATACTCATAATCGTTTCTTCTGTACTTTTTTTCTTCATGATGGTCTGCTTTTTCGCGAGGGTGTATGTTAGATGCAAGGGGAAGAGTTATGTTTGGGGAGATTGTAAGTTGGATTTATTTTTATGGATTAGATTGGACTGGTTAGTTTGGGAGATTTGCTAATGGGAGTTGAGATAGTAAGCTGTTTGTTTGCTACGGTGAGTAATTGGGATATGTAGTGATTTGTTGTATGTTTGTTTGAGTGGCTTGAGTTGATTTGTTTTGTTTTGGAAGTTGTTCGCGGTGGCTTATTATATTGCTTCGATTATTGGTGAGTTCCTTGGTCACTGTCATGGAAATCAAAACACAACCTTCGATTCTTTTTAACACCATGAGATTAGGTGTTACCAGAGGACCAGTAGGAAAACATCAATGGGACGTAACGATCGGGGATGTAACAAGCAACGACTTTATAATCGTAATACTCCCCTTCCCTTCTCTCCTCTCATCTCGCCCTAACTAATTACCCAACCTCCACCTCACAGGCCGTCTCCTTCCTCAGCAACGCCCTCGTATCCCCTACTCTCCTCCTCACAAAACTCACCCTCTTCCTCCTCTATCTCGATCTCTTTCGTCCCTTCAAATGGCTGCGTATATGCGTCTATATTGGAATCTGCATCACTGTCCTTTTCTACTCCACAATCGGGATCTTGATGATTGTCTGGAGTTCCCCCCATGCAGGCGAAACATGGCAAACGCATCTTTTCACAATGGAACAACAGTATGCGCAAATCTATGCGTCGCCTTGGTCGGCGGTGGGCTTGGGGATTGATTTGTTTTTGTTGGGGCTGCCGTTGAAGGCGGTGGGGGAGCTTTGTTTGGCGTGGAGGAAGAAGGTGATTGTGGGGATTGTATTTTTGACGGGCATTTTGTGGGTGCTTTTTTTGTGATTGTTTTGATCTGATTTAATTTTTGGGGCTATGAACTTTTCTGATGAGTGATACATGGGATAGTGCGTGCATAGCTTCTGCCCTGAGCGTTTATTATCGATTCATCAACAAACAGAGCAATACGAAAGATACGACGTATGCTCTTCAGAACGTTATTATTTGTTCGTAAGTATTCTCATTCCTCACACTCAAAATTTGTTTACTAACCACATGCAGATTGGCAGAAATGTTCATCGGAGTAATTGTTTCCTGTATGCCTGCAACTTGGAATCTTCTCCGTCAATGTATTCCACATTTCTTGGCTTTGAAATCGAAACTCTCGTTCGCATCGGGGAGTTTTTGGAAGAATGATAGAGATTTGCTTTTCCTCGGTGAGGTTGCTTCTGAAAGAGGTAATTCTGGGTATAGGAAAGGATCCGGTGAATTGCATGGGGAAACGAATAATTCGTTGAAGGGCTCTTGGGAGGAAGAAAGACTTGCGAAATTGGGGGTTGAGCTTGCGAGGCTGGGAAATGCAAACGTGTATTTTGGGTCGGAGAAAAGGCATTGTTGGGTAGATGTGGCGCATGATGGGAGTTGTCTGCGGCAGGATGTCTGGTAAACTTGATTATCAGTCATGTGAAATCGATGTTTTTCGATTTGCCTGACTCCGGGTACGCATTGGTGATTCCTGGGGAAGGAATGCTTCGAATTCGATATCCCAATGATTGATTTTGTCGAATAGGGCCTTTTGATGGCAATTTACCGGTAACATGGTTGCCCAGGGTAATGTGGATCTCGAATTGTCAGGGTTACTGCAATTTTGTTGGTATCATCTTATATTTGCGGCACAGACGATGGTGAATATCTACCCGGGCGGAGCGGTCAATAAAATTGCGTTGCTAGTTTACTCTGCATGAACCCTTGGTTCCAAAAATATGAACGAGCCATCTAAGAACAGAATTATAAAATGAGATCTTGTTTCGTAATCCACTGTCGTAGATAATTTTTGGAAAACATTACTCCTCAGCGGCGATACATTAGCGAGGCTTGTGTGATACTTGCTCAAAGTCTTCGTTTCACTCAGTCCGGTAAATTCAACATGGACAACGAAGTTGTACTTATCACCGGTGGTTGTGGATGTATCACATTGTTCAAGCAGTTCTACAACAACCATCCTTCAAATCCGTACACGTCTTTTCGCGCAATCTCACCATCAATCTCCTGCCTGGCGTTTCATACCATGCCGGGAGTTTAACCTCACTAGAAGACATAAAGTTGTTATTCGACCTCATCAAAACAACTTTAATTTTCCTTGTCGCATCGCCCGTTTCATTCGGAAATACCGCAAATGCGAGTCTCTTTCACAAAGTCATCGTTCGTGGAACTCAAAACCTCCTTGACTGCGCTGCGAGAAGTTTATACACTAAGGCTTTGATTTATACTTCCTCGACCACTGTATCAAAGCCACCTTATCATTTCAATGATGAAACACAACCTTTAACTGCTCTCAACTCAAAGGCAGATTTCAATTACTACACAGTTACCAAGGCGATTGCAGATATCGCTGTTTTGGAAGCCAATAATCCGAAAGGTTTAAAGACATGCTGTCTTCGTATCGCTCCGATATATGGTAAATACGATGTGCAGATGATTCCTGGAACTCTTGGAGTTCTTCAAGAAAAATATCATCATTCTCCAATCGGTGATAATACAGCTCTGATGGATTTTGTTTCTGTTAGTAACTCTGCAAGAGCTCATATACTAGCCGGGAAAGCTCTTCTCAACGAACTCTAAGCTGATACTTCAACAAACGAGAAAAGAAGTCCGAAAATCTCAGGTGAAGCATTTTTCATCACAGACGGTAATCCCGTCCATTTTGGGGATTTCGCAAAAAGTGTCTGGGTCGCAGCTGGTACTACAGTAGATCGTGAAGATATCCGGGTCTTTCCCGCATGGTTCATGATTGGACTTGCGGTTGTAACGGAGTGGATTTACTGGACGTGTACTTTTGGGACGGTGATGCCGGAGAAATTGAGAAGTCATACGATGAGGTATATTACGGAAGATAGGACGTTTTCGATTGAGAAGGCGAGGGAGAGATTGGGTTGCAGGCCGGTGGATGATATAGAAGAGAATATTTAGGAGGGGATGGAGTAGGCTGTGAGGGAACGTCCGGAGTTGGCAGGTTTGAGGAAAGATTTAATGTGAAAAGTGGCGGGCTCGGGGTCTTGGGAGACATGAGAGACGCAGCTCAAGAAACAAAGTCTCGCATCTCTATTCGCCCGTTGCATGCCATTCCTCTTTTCTTTCCCATAGTATGACTGCATATTTGACACTTTTCCTGCAAGAACCCACCGCGACAGGGCACTATAGTCCTTCTCGAAACAGAGATGTTTTAAAATGAGGACAGAAGCAATGCAATTTTTTACACCGTTTACAGACAGTGAACTGGCGAAAGAATAAATCTGAGTCCAGTCTTACGAGACTGCGAAAGCAGGAATAATTGCTGTCAGTTGTATCTGATATCTACATAATACCAGCATCAACCTAAATCTTCTACAAAGACCTTCCATGAAGATGGCATCCTTAAAGATCGAACCATGAATTTTCCATATTCCTTCCAATATATAACACCGTCCACTTAGTTCCCGAACTTGGGTTCTTGTTTCGCGCCCTCAATAGCTTTACAGAAACTGAGTCGGTTTTCTGTGTAGAACTCAGTCATGACGTTGCCATAATCAGCAGCACCTTCATCGAGGCTCCTATCAAACCTGTTAGTTCCAGAATTCCACTCTCAAATAGCAACGGGACCTACCCAGCTTTGATACCAACAAACTGAGGCATGAGCTCGAGTTCACCAAAAAGACTGCTTCCGCAGTTCCCGCAGAATGATCGCTTGTTGATCTTTCCTGAATCTCCGGGCATCTCAAATGTCTTTGGAGTTCCTTGCAGGAGTTTGAATTGAGTTCGATTTACAAGCAAATTGGAAGAGGAGGTAGCGCCACACCATTTTTGACATGCATGACAATGGCAAAGAGCAGTCACCGTTGGTTTGCCTAGTAGATGTTATTGATGTACTTCGAATGAAAAAGCAGATGATGACCTGGAAAAACGAACCTGTGTATTCATATTGAATTTGGCCGCACAAACAAGATCCTTTAGGCATTTTGAAAGATAAGGAGTTTATAGACTTGGAATGAAGTGAATAAGAGATTATTGTTTCTGAAGCTGATTGTTATTTAATGTGTTAGTAATTGAGTGCCAAAGAATGAGGAAATGTTGCCGTTTTATACTTTTAGTGACTGCGTTCTAGATCATATTTGTCAGAGAGTTACAAATGTGCATGATACTTAGCCCGGAACATCGAAGGAAGGTAAAACCTTAGAGACCATTCTTGTTTGCTCAGATCATGATTGGAGTATCCACAGTACACCCGCGCGGCTCATTTATAGCAAAACTTGCAGCGATTTTCAATTCTCGGTGCGCGGGAGGTAATGGGAGACGACCGCTTAGAACTGAAATCTCTAGGCCTTCTAAGTGGCAAACAACGACATTAAACACAAGCCTGAAGCTCCTTATCACTAGTAGGTAATGATTAGTGTAATAGTATGGATGATTGTTATGACGTACCTACCTCCATACTTCGCTCGTATATGACACTACATGATCAACTTGAGCCTCTATGCACGCCACGTTGATTTTGAAGCGATCCCTGTTAATAGCTACTTTATTAAGATCATTTGAGATCACCAGCCACACAAGTACATCCCCAGATTTGTATGTGTAGACGAATAAGTCAATGTTGGCGAGGATCTCCTGATATACGAGGATATGTGCAGTCGTTCTGCTAGGTAAATTCCATAGAATACCGATTTAGAGCTCTCTACCGAAAGAAAAGCACATGATTAGGCTCTTGATTTTGCACTGTTTAACTTTGCGGGTATGCTGGCGGATAATCTTAATTACATACCGATCTTTAGACTGTTGTGTTTTGTAATAAAGGGGGTCTTCGTGTGTTGTACAATGTGTACTAACTTTTTCAAAAGGCGAAAGTTAAGGGTGAGGTTCGGCCCAACGAATTAGATTGATGTTTAAGCTTTTCGATGCTGTGGTCTGAGCTCAAGGTGGGTGGAATGCCGCGCGGGAGAGGCCAAGGATTTCTTCCGTGGTAAATTATGTAAGCTTTCTTAGTACACTTTTAGACTATTGTGATTTGTAAAAAACAGAGTTCTTCGTATATCATACAAATCAACTTTTTCATGAAACTTAAGTTAATAGTAAGGCTTGGCCTAAGGAGTTAAATTAACGTTTGAGGTTTTCGATGTTGGGACTTAATGTGGAGTATGAAGCCGCGCGGGAGAGGTCAAGAATTCCTTTTGAAGCGAATTGTGGAAGCTTTCTTCGTAAGTGCCGGTGGTAGAAGATTGATGCTTACACAACGCGAATTGTAGACGATTAAATCTAGTAGAGTATAAAGGGCCAACTTTCTCCTTCAATCATGGTTCTATAACGAATATTTTCGGGACATCGCCTAGAATATCCCTACATTACTTATTCATTCTTCCTCAATCAAATCAATGGCTGCCGTTTTGCCAACTACAACGAAAGTCTGGAGAGTCCAAGGAGCGGACGGATTTGACAGCCTGCACTACAATCCAGAAGAGACTATCCCAGAGTTGTCAGACAATGATGTTCTTGTTAAGTTCCATGCCGCTTCTCTCAACTACAGAGATATCTCAATCCCTCATGTTCGCCCACACTTATTATCCCTTCAATGGGAAGATGCTAACAGGGACTAGGGAACATTTCCATTCGGGTTTAAAAAGGGTGTCGTGCCAGGATCGGACGGTGCAGGAGAAGTAGTGGCAGTTGGTGCAAGAGTAACACGGTTCCAGAAGGGCTCGAAGGTTGTGAGCCATTTCAACCAGAAACATACTTATGGCTCGCTTACCTCGAAGAGCATAAGTACTGCGCTCGGCGGAGACCTCGATGGTGTTCTTCGTCAATATGGAGTTTTCAACGAGGAGGGTCTTGTGCTGATGCCAAGATCACTGAATTATCAGCAGGCTTCCACTTTGACGGGCGCTGGGGTAACAGCATGGAACGCTTTATATGGCCTCAAACCAGTCAGGCCGGGGGAATTCGTGTTAACACAAGGCACGGGCGGAGTGTCAATATTTGCAATTCAATTCGCGAAGGCTGCTGGTGCTACGGTTATTGCTACGACATCGTCTCCTGCAAAAGTCCAACAGCTGAAAGAGTTGGGCGCGGATCATGTGATTAACTATAGAGAGGTTACAAATTGGGGGGAGGAAGCCAAGAAATTGACAGGTTCAAGAGAGGGTGTCGATCATGTCATCGAAATCGGCGGAGGTGGAACCATGGCGCAATCCATCAAAGCGATCAAGTATGATGGCATTATCAGTGTTATTGGATGGTTAACCAAGGCAGACGAGAAAGAGCCGAGCTTCCTTGAAACTGTTAGCAATGTCTTCACCGTCCGAGGATTGTTCGTCGGAAGCAGAGCAATGTTCGAGGAAATGGTAAGCTCAATCGTTTTCTCATTAACATCCGTTCCAAACCGCTCTGTATGTAGGTCCTGTGCTAATGATTTGAAGAATGCTGCCATCGATGCCACCAACCTCAAACCGATCATTGATCGTCGCTTATTCAAGCTGGAAGATCTCAAAGAGTATGATAAGAGGCCCCTTTCTAATATTGCTAGCAACCAGGGCTAATCTATCCTAGAGCGTATACATATATGAAGGAGCAGAAGCACGTTGGTAAAGTCTGTATCACTATGGAATAGATTTTTAGCTTTATCTAGGATGAAGATTTTAGTATGAATAAATTTCGGGTGAATTTCAAATCTATTATGGTATACTTCACCAATCACGTGGAAGTGCTCGCGCATCAAGCAGGGACTTGATAACAACAATGAATGATTGCGATTTGTAACTAATAGTATGTTATGCAAAACGATTGATCTTGAGTACGAAGCTCTACCAGTGTCGTAATTAGTATTTCCTGCATTTGAATTACACTTCAATTTAGTGGTATTTATTGATCTTTGTGGAGATGTCCCTTGGATAGCTTGAATGGTTTGAATAGCCTGTCTATCCGGTCTATTCATAATATGATGATTGCTGAGTAAGTATCATGTGATTCAAGATATGTTTCTCGTTGTAAAACAAGGCTCATCAAGTATAATGTGATACCAGAATCCACGCTTCTACATCAATATATATGCCCCCAGTCCCTCGAGAATTCCAACAGCTACTTGCTTCATCTCGAAATCCTGGCAAGCTCTGAGTCTGAAAAGTTGGTGATCGTGAGGACAAATGTGGAGGCAAGCATACCGCACAGTCAGGGTATGGTCGATCGTATTGAAAATCTCACCCAGGAGACCCCAGTCCACACTTCTCGCTAGAACTATGGCAAAGGTTTGACTGATCAAATGACCGATCAGACAAGAAGAGTCTTTACCCCTAGACTGGACATGGCTGTTACCCAGCTCCAGGGGCTGCAAGGTTGACTTTCACGAAGTCTCCAACACTCTTCCATGATCGAGAATGCATTCTGAAAGTTGCAGAAAATATCTCGTTCCTTATTTACCAAAGCCGCAATCTCTCGAAATTTATTTTGGTGTTCTTCATCTGCCATACAGCTAACAATACAGAAAGGCCATACAAGGTGGCAGATCCATCGACCATCGGGAAGATCTCGGAAGGCTTTAAGGGCTGCTGACACGCTGTCTCTGATCTCTGGAATTCTAGGGTATGCACCAGACTGGGTAACATATAAATAAACTTTTGCAGCACATGCGAATATGTGAGTGACATGTTGGCTTTCTTGAGCACGAATGCCGCACTGATCATAATTATCGCCAGTTTGACGGACTCTATTCTCTTGTATGCCATTTTCAAGTCGATCTTCGATACAGGCTGCGCGTCTAGCCAGCTGAGATTGGCTTAAATCGCCCAAACCCTCCCGCGTTATTTTCCACTCGGCCAGGAGCGCAATATCCATGATAGCAATCATAACCCAATTCTGACTTCCCATTAACTTACAAAGTTGGATTCTGCCATTATCCATGCGCAGAATAGAAGGGTAGATATTGGAATATTCTGAATTTGCACCTGTAGTTACGGAAGATATGCCATCAAACCAGATGAGGGCCGTAGAAAAGAATTCGAGAGCTAATTCTTCGTCCAAAGAAAGAGCGTCGGAATCGGGGTTAGGAGAACCTTCTATCACCCGCGCTGCATTTGAAATAGTCAAAGGAAGAAGGAAATTGTCCTTAAGACCCATGAAAATAGTTCTGGCAGCTTGCAAATGCGTCTGCCAGTCATCACTATCTCCTTTCAACGCCTACCACACATAACTTAGCAGGTTCTCAGTTCCTTAAGTTATAAGGCTCACCTCGAATGAAATCAAACAGATCATACAAGCAAGTATCTCAACTTTAGTCTTTGTCCTGCCCAAACCAATTTCCAAACTGAGCCGATCAATGTGCTGCCTGAGACCGACCAGTGCCAGACAATGGTGCTTTTGCAGGTCTTCAAGTATATTATCACTGGCTTTAGACCCAATACCCGTGTATGTAGCGCTCTGATGATACGCGCTTAAGCTCAACGCCGCATGATACAGTGGCCTCGTGCGTAAAAGGATACTTAAAAGCCAGCCACGGCCACCCTCTGAGGCCAGAGGCCTGTAGAATCTGAATTGGCGAGGAAAGACGATATCTAGGTAATGCATCAAGAGGTTCGCTTCGCGTCCATGGTAGTCGTTAATTACGAGGTTCAGTGAGCAGCTCACGCACGATGGCTTCCGGGATGCATCGCTAGACTCTGTATCTGTCATCGAGCTGTCGGTAATGGGTGTGGATCCTGGGCCATTCTTTGCCACAGCGAGACTGACTATCTCTCTTTTGCGTTTTTTGTTCTCTTTTATCACTCTTTTGATTCGCTCCGATTCTGCCTTCTCTGATGATCCTCCATCCATCCAAGTAGGCTTCTCACTATAGCCGTGGCAAGTGATGCGAAGTGAATCACACGTTGAACACTTGGGTCGTTCTTCCTGACATTTCTTCTTACGAAGTCTACACGTCCAGCAACCAGTGCTACTTCGTGCTGCAAGCATGATATTTTGTTGACGAGAAACAAATAATTTATCTGTCAGTCTATTTCAAGATAAATGGCGATGTAAGTTCTGGCAAATGCGACATAAGTTTTGATCTCCCGGACACTTGCTTCTCCGTCCGGCTCTAAGCTTAAATGGTGCTAGTCAAAGTGGGGTTGAAGAAACTTGTGCCCTATTCTGAATAAATACCTATGAAAGATACTACTACAGTGGATCAACATATAACCTTATATAATCCAGATCCATACATGACATTAATAATTCTACACGCCTTCTACACCCACGAAGTACAAGAACGATTCCTTCTACCCCGATGACTTTTATTGATTTCCTACCTCGTCACTTCAACAGGTGTTCTCAAAGTTAATAGCTTTGAATTTTTCATTATATGATAAAAATATGTTTTAGATTCCAGGGTATTACATTCATTTTGAAAATTTCTTTCTTATAATTATACATAGAGCAAAATGACTATTTTCGATACGATCTTTGAAACCAACGAATAGCTGTATACGCTTACTGTAGTTTCCTATCGTAGGATCTTTCATATGATTATATAAGTCTATGTATACAGTTTTGCCTTCCTTTTTTGATATCCAAAAAAAGTTTGTTTTGGGTGTATTTTCAAGTGGCCGAAGTCTTGATATGGCCGGGGCCTGATAAACCACGGTAAGCCTATCATCGGTCATGTTGCGAAGCTCAACTTCAAACTTTATAATATTTTTTAATTGATGTCCATAAAGAAGACTCCTCCAAGATAGATAAAAGAGTGCTATATACCTTCTGCTATTACAGAGTTCTATTCTAAATGTTTTCTACTTACAGAATCGAAGGGGAACAATGTCAGTGCTCTGGTCACCACCTCGTAAATGTCTAGCGTAGCCTATTTCGTATTTTTATGTGCTTCCTTGCCGTCAACTCTAGGAACAAATGCTAAGATTCTCCTGCCGGCCATCAATTCGCAGCATATCTAGACTCTTTCGGGTTGAAGAGCCGGCTCAGTGGTAGCTACGGCTTGTGCTATAGCCCCCCGAGCTCCACCAGGCAAGCTAGGCGTGTCACGCCTGCAAAAACAGGATGACTTGACTGGAACATCTGCAATCGCAAGGGCTATTTTTAACTGTGGCTCAATGAGGCGCGCCTCTGTCTTGCGGCCAAGGCGTGTCAAACACTCGTGATAGCCCTGAAGAGCCCAGACATTGTTTGGGTGTTGATGAGCACGAGGCAGTATCCCGTCAAGTCCAAGGTCCGCGCTATACACTTTTGCGGCTTCTTCGACATGTCCTTGCTCCAGCATTAGCGCAGCGTAGGCATGGCGCGGTGGCTGCATCCAACCCCATGGCTCACTGTAGATAAGTCCGTCACTGAGTTCGATGGACCTGCGAAGACTTGCAAATGCTTCCTCATAGCTCTCGCGGCGATATTCGATTTCTCCATCCAGCATAGCAGCACCCACAGCCAAGATATCAGCACAATTGTTAGGATAAGCCGAACGAGTGGCCGGAACCTGCTCAACAGCAGATTTGAATAGACTCCGCTCTTTCTCCGCCTCCTGCACGTTGGAGGTTGCGGCGTATGCCACACCCTTTGCGTAATGAAGCATAGCTGTAGTGACACAGTACAACTGACGATCAGTAGGTAACTCCATCTGGATAATATCTTGCCACATTCCAAATCGAACCAAGACATGAACACGGACCGACATAAAAGTCTCAAGCCAATCCGCCATGGGAGGTGACGGGACACGCAGCAAAGCCTCCGGACAAGATGCTTCCATTTTCGCTACAGTTTCAAGCGCGATCTTAGACTTGCCCGCAAACATTGCCGCATAAATCAAGGAGTGATAGTCGTGAAGTCGGTAAATGGTATAGAAATTATTCGGACCAGATCGGCTTAGAAACATTTCATTGGCAATTGAGGCGTTGTAGTTGCAGGCAATTGCGCGCCGGTAATCACCAATGAGGATATCTAGGTGCGAAGGCATGTGGCGGAGGTGACCAGCATCGGGTATCAGGTCGCATAAATGATCTGCTGCGTTCAATCCAAGTTCTGGGTTCGGAGACATCTCAATGCAGTGGATGTACATATGCAACAGACCTGGGTGTCGATTTGCTCCATCCTGGTCCAAAGCGCGCTCGAGAACACTCTTGATCTTCAAGGTGCGAGCGCCCGGGCTTGGATTTCCAGTGTGAAGATCCCATAGTTGCCATGGGCTCAGATTCATCATTGCGTCAGCATAGAGAGTGGCTACGTCAAGACTATCCGGATGCTGTTCATAGACTGATTCCATAGCGTCGGCGTAGGCTCGATTTTGGGCAGAGTAATCCTTGACTAGGTAGTCACACGGATAGCGAAATTGGATTGCGTCGATAAGCGCCTGTTCGAGAGTCGTCGCACTGGCAGCATTTTCTTTTGCATCTCTAGAGGCTTTATAAGTCCGCTGCACCGTTGTTTTGAGGTCACTCTCATCAAATGTCTCCCAGGGTTTGTTGTAGTTTGGGCCCAGGGCATATGCTAACCCCCAGTAAGCCATTGCACAAGAATGGTCGTGTGATATAGCTTGCTCGAAGCAAATGGCCGATTCTTCGTGGTTAAATGCATAGGCCCAGGTCAAGCCGCGGTTGAACCACACTTGCGCATCTTCACTCTTGGTGCTGATGTCCAGCTTGAATGATCCGAGGTTGTAGTATTCAGTGGTTGAAGAGATCGCTCCTCCTTGCCGAGATTCAGACGACATCATAGGTGAGGGAAGGTTCTTGAAAGTCGAAGGAATCGAATGATATCGCTTTCAGAGTTTTATAATACGAAAGGATATCAATGTTGAATATAGTAGTAAATCAGTTCTAGCAAGAGTAATACTGAAATCGGCCAACTAGGTTTCTATATATAATCAATATCGATTTCAACTTTCAATATTAAATTCTGAAACTAACACCAATCGATTCTTAAAGGCTGAATCTATAATAAGATCTTGTCACAGTTGTGAGGAGGTGGGCAACAGGTACGGACCGTACGGTATTTCAACGGCACTTGCGTAGAATCCAGTGCGTCAGCGATAATGAGAGTCAATTGAGGTATGGGGGGTGCCTTGTTGGTAGAATTCTAATAAATTGAAAATTGGTGGCGAGACGTGGCTTGTTAACCTTGTGCAGAAATGTTAAGGCAATTCTTTGCTCCCGCGCGGCTTTATCAGGTGCGGAGCATGCCGACCAAAATTTCTCTGACAGCTGTCGCAGGCAGATATTCTATGCAGAGATTATGCAGGGCCGGTTGTTCTCCCAACGATTATGAGCGTCATTACTAGCTTCCGCCGGGAAATCGTAATTTTCTGGCGCACGGCTCCGCATTTTCGGCTCGCCTTGCCTTCCGCGGAGCTTCTCGGCAAAGGTGCTTTCGAGAACCGCCTTATTTTCAACAAATCATCTCTTGATCTTGATTTTGCGGTAAGCTTTTGTCTCTATTTTTTGTTTAATATGGGTTTCGACTATCACTAAGATCAGGCCTTTTCGAACTCGACTTTGAAAACTGTTTCGCAATCCATAGACTGAATTATAAATTTCTACGATCCAGAATAATAAAGATTTTATTATATATGGTCTCCTACCTCGTACAGTCTCGTAAGTACCTACCCTCAAACCAATCCTCTCATTTGATAATCCAATCGCTATTGAAACTTTCAATTAATCATCTATTTTGACGACATCATTCAAAATGCTTCCAATCACACTTTATTCTCATCCTTTCGGTCCCAACCCGTGGAAGGTGGCTCTCATCCTCGAAGAGCTGAACATCCCTTATACAACAAAGTTTGTAGATTTCTCCGAAGTCAAGAAGGAGCCGTATACTCAACTCAACCCAAACGGACGGCTGCCATCTATCCAAGACCCTAACACCGACATTACACTCTGGGAATCCGGTGCCATCGTCGAATACTTGATTGAGGAATATGATGTCAAACACCGGTTGAGCCATAACACCTTCCCCGAGATATATCTCGCGAAGCAGTGGCTGCACTTCCAAGCTTCTGGCCAAGGGCCATACTATGGTCAGGCTTCTTATTTCACCCGGTTCCACTCCGAGAAAATTCAGAGTGCTATTGACCGATACGCAAACGAGATCCGTAGAGTCACTGGAGTTCTTGAATCCGTGTTGAAGACTCGAGACTGGTTGGTCGGCGACAAGTGTACATACGCCGATCTCTGTTTTATAGCATGGCAAAGATGGGCACCTCGATATGGTGGTGAAGATATTTATAAAGATTGCCCACATGTGGAGATATGGCTGGAGAAGATGAAGAGGAGGCCTGCAGTCAAGAAGATTTTTGCTGATCAGGATCTCGCTATGGCAGAGGCCGAGAATGAATGAACACGGTAGCATATGGATAGAATACTATGCACAGTTAGGCTGTCTATACGAGGTCCTTTGTAGAGCACAATTGATTTCTCTTGCTGCTGTGCTCTTCTGTCAAGCGGTTGCTTCACCAGCGACCTTGTTCGAATTCGTTTGAAAATCAGTTGCTCATTTGTACTTGTTATTTTTCTATCTTCAATAAAGTTAATTCTGCCGTCACCCATTGGACCCAACAGTATTCAACGGTGCCTGTACGTTGCTTCATAGGATGGTGTTTCAATATTGCATCTCGACATAGAAAAGCTTGACGAGCCGCAATATTAATCTCTACTAGCATGCAAAGATTCAATACCTGTACGTGACGCACTCTGCAAACCTGTAATGCATTTATAGAGCCAATATTGAATCAAATGGAAACCAAGTGAAGGTTGAAGTTCCAAAAGTAGTGATATTGAAAATGAAGATACTGTGAATTGGGCCTGGGATACCGGATTCATCAATTAAACAAACATAAAAAACATTCGATGACCAACAAGAGAATATTAATCTCGAAGTGAAACTACCTCTATAAATCTGCAGTGTGATGCAGAGTCTAAGAAGTATTTTAAGAGCCTTCAAAGCAATAAAACTCTAGTGATCGAGCGTGCCACTACATCGAACGGATGGTTTGAAGCCGTCACCGACAGTGAATCCACTCATTCATTCACTTGATTAGTGTGTACCCTGAGTTACCTCTGAATCGGTTCTTGAGACTTCAGGATTCCTGTTAACGTTCGTCATTCCGATGTATTATGTAGAGCCATACGTCTTCTTTTCCTAGCATGTGTATTACTTGTCGATATTGAAGACCATATCGCAGATTCGAATGGAAACTTATGTTAATTACATGAAATCGCAGCCCTTTGCAACAATTAAGTACAACAGACATGAATGTGTATCACGGAGTGAAGGATAGTATTGGTCATTTCAACCCAGCGCTAGCAAAACGCAAGCAAATTCATGCGCTAGACACTAGGTGGATGAGTTTATCGGGCAATTGAATTATGCCTTTAACATTTACTCAAGATGGGGCTCGTGAATATATACAGGTATTTTAACGCGTAAGTGGAATGTGAGAAATACTAATTCCAGCATTGCTTCTCGACTACTCAAGCATTTATTTTTAAGAAGAGAAGATAACTCATAATCCGATTCTTTTCGTAATCAATCCAAAATCCGTCGGTCAGTCTTGCATCTCATACGTCGAGACTTCCAAGTCTCAAGTGCATCTTTTCACTTGTAGAAACTCACCTCTTTACTTCCGGAAGGGAAGTCGAGGTATAATAATTAATACTATCTACATCGCTAGAACCATCACATGAATTCGCATATTGTAAATATATCGGTTTTTTGTATTATCGTAGTAAAGTTAGCTACATTTCCGATGATTTGGAGTCTTTATATTTTCAAAGGCTCTTATATAAGATAGATCCTCAACCCTAATCTACCATCGCTACTAACAAGACAAATAGATGATAAGGAAATCAAAGTCTCACTAAGATAATAATGCGTAATTATACACAGTTTTGCATTTTGAACTTTTTATCACATGCACCAAAACTTTTTCGGCAGATAAATACGCGAGTACCCAGATAAAAACACTTCATCCAACGGCAACGTCGTGAAAAACAATTTGAAATCTCGAAAAAGCCTTCGTCTTTTTTTTTCTAAATACATAGTCATCATATCATGATTTACCAGCTTTTCGAAAATTCCACTAACCACCTAGAATTATTACCTAAAGATTACAGCAAGCCGAACACCTCAAATGCAACCTCTCACACGTCCACCAAAGAGATCGAATCAATCATCCAACAGCAAATGAACTATTACTAGCCTAGCCGTCTACTAAAAAAACAAGAGAAAGGAATGACTATTGACCCAGATGCAGTGAATCTTTCGAGATCCTGACATTAGCAAAAGACTCATATATATGATAAATCTCTCCCAAATCTCTCCCAGATCCCAATCCAGACATCGAGAATAAATCAAGAGGCAAGAAACGCTCAAACCCTGATGCTCATCTAATTTCGATATTATCCCCAATTTCAAAAGTACTAACCTATCACTCCATCCATCTCTCCACTCGCGTATTGCTCCCAAGCTACCGCGCTCCCCCGCTCCTCTTAATCACGTAAAACTCATACCTCCACTATCCTCCAACTACTCAGCGTGAAAATATCTATTTCACCGTATCTCATCGTACCATGAATGTCTACCCACCTATCTATCTATGTGTTCTTTTGCATCAATATAGCACATGGAGTATTACAGTGAATGTATCATTTACTTATGGTCATACATAGGGAAGGAGGGGGACGATCAGATATCTGACCCTAGCCATAGCATCCGCAGCAATCAGACTCCTGTTTAATGAATTCATACACACTGATATCACTTTTGTTCAAGGCACCTTGGATCGTGGGGATGTAGTATCTCATACCATATCACATTATATTGTATTGTTGTATTCATTGACGATCAATCTTGATCATGTATTATTGAGTAAATCATGTATTCTATTAAAAACAAAGGGGAAAGGACAGGGATTTATGTATGATATTGTATACTTACTTACTTACTTATCAACACGTAAGTTTTGATTTAGATGGAATGTGAGCTCGGAAAGCATCAAGAAAATCAATGAAAAACAAGCAGGCAAAGAAGCAACAAGAAACAATCTCAGAAATGAGATGATCTAACCCACCTATTCCCCATCAAATCATCGCCGCACTTACCTACATACTACCTGCCTACTTACTCAAAATTCCTTGGATCATAAGGCTCCCAAGCCTCCTCATCCTCATCCTCGAAATCCTGCTGATGCCCTCTCTCTTCTATTTCCCTCCTCGCACCCCCCACCCCACTCATAAATCCCTCCCTCTCCCTCGCAAACTCCAACCTCGCCCTATCCAACCTCTCACTCGCCCTTGGTCTCTCCTCCATCCATTCCCTCAACGGCGTACTATACTGCGCCATCGCATTATGCGCATCATCCAACTGCATCGTGACGCTTTCCTGCATCGCAAGTGCAAGATCAATTGATTCCTGATTGTCCGATCGGACTGCGTGTTGAAGTTCCTGGAAGGCGAGTTGAACGTTACGTTCTGCGTCGTGTTTGACAACGTTGGCTTCGTAGGATAAACGCGCTTGGTTAATTATTCTGGTGTCGAGAGATCGAAGGGCGGAGAGCGCGTTAGTGTAAGTTGCTTCGGCATGTTGCATTGCTGCAGAGGTGCTTGACGAGGAACTGGAAATTCGGGGAGGGGTTGAGCGGAGATGATCTATTGGGGGGGAATGATATCTATGGGGAGGTGGTGAGGGGAATCTTCTTGGAGGAGAAGACTGTCTTCTCGACGCTGGTCTTCCGACTGGAGAACGATGGCGGGGAGGCGCAGGAGTACTGAAATTTCCCGGCACATCAAGTGGCATGGGTTCGAGCTCCTCTCCAACAATCCCCTCAAGATGATCAATTTCATTCCCACCTCCATAATCCGCCTGAGCTTGCATCATCTGTTCTCTTTCCTCGGCAGCTCTATCTCTAACACGTCTCGCGGCGTTATTCATCTGTCTAATCCGATCTCTTGCCGCTTCTCTTACGCCACCAGAAATGTTGCGAATTTCCTCGCGACAAATGGGGCAGGTAGTATGGTCGGCGTCAAGCCAACGTTGAACACATTCTCGATCAAAAACGTGATTGCACGCAGTTTTAACAGGTTCTCCGTTGTCTCCACCACCGAAATTGTCTTGACAGATTGCACAGATGCGTTGGTCTGCTGGGAGAGAACTCACATTGACTCTGGTTAATTGTGGTGGCATCTTGGACAATGTGAAGTGGGGTGTCAAGCAAATAGAGTTGTGTTGAATTAATAGCTGTAATTTCTGTGATTGTAAGTGCTGGTACGTAAGTTAATTTAACTGAACATTGTATCCATTGCACTCGGCATTTGACACGTTTCAAAGACATTGTTCTGGACTTGAGCTCGACCTATTCTTGGAAAGGGTACTTGAATATATGAGCCGCTCCAGAAAGTCTCAATTTCAGGCGGGTATCAAAAGAATTGTAATTTGAAACACTTGAACAACAGCGTGGAAACCAGGGGATACTTCGATAAACAGAACAAAGAAATCAATTGCCGTCCTGTCATTGTTCATTGAAACAAAGAAATAACCGGCTTCACAAGCACATTGTGGAATACATTCATTAAATCTCGAAACTTCTGAATTGAGCTAATCGCTTAGAAATAAGTGAGATGCTCTTGAGGTGCACAAACATGGTATCTTCTCAAAGAAATCAAGTACCAAAACCCCCTTCCAGTGCAATTCACCGTTGACTTGCTTGTCCGAAAGCTGTGTGTGCAGGTTTCCCAAAAGAAAAGATGAGATGGAAAAAACACATCTCCAAGCAAAACCTCTATGCCAGTGTAGTAAACATCTTGAAGTTGACAGCATTTCCATGCAGCTGCGCACGAGAGATCATTAATAAAAATGTCTCAAGCCTTGCCATTTGTATATATCCCCACAACACCGAATCGTGATATCCCATTCCCCAGAATTGCATTTATCGTAATATCGTTGTGCTGCATATAACCTTTTAAGAAGTTATGAAATTTATTGCATTTGTTGCGAATAATACTGTGATTGTCAGGTTCGGGCTACTAGATTAGGCGATGGCCCAAAAAGATCAGAAATATCCAAGGCTGGATCTATGAAACCATTCTGATATTGTTGAAATCCATGACTTGGCCCACCATGACCATTCATTTGAGGACCAGATGAACTTGAATGACCAGCCAATTGTGCATCATGTTCTCGTAGTAGAGGATCTAATGTAGATTGCATCTCTGGTGATTCTTGATGTTCGAGTTTTATCGGCATCTGGGGGAGCCGAGGTTCAGTAGTATAATTTTGCGCACTGGCAACCATCGAATCTGCGAACGGTTCAGACTCAGCATCTAAGTCTGGAGATGATGGTTGTAAGGGAGGAGGAGGTTGTTGACGTCGTGGATTTTCGACACGGTGGAAAGACTTTTCATGTCGTATGACGACATCCCTAGATAAGAAATTAGTCAACATGATCTTCTGCAACGAACATCACAGTCGCGCAATATTCAACATACTTTCGCGCGTATCTACGACCGCATAGTTTGCAAGGGAATGGTTTTTCCTGGGTATCTAGAGGTTGAACTCATATCAACAAAGGAACTTGCATGACTCGCACGATCGATTGTACTCACGACCACGTTCATGCCTTGAACAATGCTCACTTCTCTTGAACACTCTCTGACATACCGAGCAAGTGTAGATACGTGGCTGCTTCTGGACTCGGTTGGCCCTACTGGTGGTAGTACTATGCTGTCTCGAATTCATGATTCAATCGAGGGTGAGATAGAGTAAATGATCGATGACTGTATTATCGGAACGAACCCAGGAAAAGATGGTGAATGCCAGATGAAATGGATACCAGTCAGAGAGTAATACTGAAGACAAGGGATATATGACAAATGAGTAATTGTCTATCAAGGTAAAGCTACGTTGTTGTGAGGTTTGATATGTATCTTGTTGACAGTAGTAGGTAGGTAAGAGTTGAAGGTTAATCGGTACACTCAGAAAGAACGGTTAACCTTAGCGGGGTAGATAAGAGACTAATCCACTTTTGGCAACAGGTATTTTTTTGTGGTTTTTCACAATGGTACTCTGATCAATTGGGATTCAATGATAATCTGGCGGGGACAACAAGCACAGCACAGACTTTTCTCATGTGAGTCCTCTGTACTGGTGTATAAAAATGGAAAGTCATTCTACCATTTGATATATGTTCCCGTATTTCCTGATTTTATTTATCCGCAATTGGTAATAATACTGAAATACACACTTCGAATATACCGGTACATACCGATACACTTACGCTTTGAAGCAATGAACATCTCGGTTTCCGTATTCTTTTCACATCACATTGCTTATCGGGCGAGTTTTAATCGCGGCAAGCGCAGTTCCTAGATACTTGGAAAACAGTCATAAACACCCAACGATTCTATTGGGATCTTTTCGGCAGAACTTATCGGATCTGGCATAACCAATTGAATTACTCACATCCAAAACACGTGCTCACAGACTTTAATAGCACGATACGATACGATACAATTCGATCTAATGTCTACCTGACTAGTAGGTCGCTCTATATGATTGAACCCAGCCCAACCAGTTCGATACATTTCAATGCAGTTCATTCCACCTTAGGGCATTGGCGATAAGGAGATACTGCAAGATCAGCAGTCGCGGAGATGATTTCAACTCGAACTATGATACCCATACGTATTTATAATAAATACTATTGAACGCTTGTGGCTTTCCTTCACACGGGCAGGAATTTCAAGGTTTGAGAATACGGCCATACATCGGTAAAGATTTTTATCAGAGCACAATGCACATAATCGCATTGGCTCCGAAATGAGATGATGCCAAGAAATCTAAAAGACCCTCAAGGTTCTAGAAATTTGGTCGACGACGACGTAAAAGATCTGATGAATGAAGATTTTCACCTTGGCGCTCTCCAAAAGAACTTCTAGCATGTTTCATACCTGCGAAAGAAACAAAATAGGGCCTTTCATGCCTTCTGGAAGCACCAAGTTCATCGATATTCACGACCCCTTTTCAGCATCGATTTTTTCTTTCTTGGCAATTACGTTTCACGACGTTGACCCAAATTATAATGAGCATTGGCAAATGCTTCAAGATTCGGACAAATTACAAATGATATGCCACTGTCGATGACTGTGCCTAGATGCCAAGTGATATTGATAGACAGATCCACCAAGACGGCATATTCGACGATCCATACCCGTGTTTCTTCAGTATAAGTATTTAGCTATGTTCTCTCGTTGAGTGCCTAACTTGGCTTGATCCATCTCTGTTCATTTTTTTTGGAAACCTATAAACCAAGCAATAATGTATTCTAGAGACATTCTCCCAACTTTGGCCATTGCCACTGGTGCCTTGGCTCAAGAAACAATATATGTAAGTACAGAGTGATGGCAATAGCTATGACCATAAGCTAATGAACCCTTAGACCTACACCGCCGATACAATCACTACATTGGACTTGTACAATGTTAGCAATGCCTCACCATTCCAAGTCTACAATGAATCCTTCACTTCAATCCTTGGAGACGCGCCAGCCATTAGCAATATCCTAAACTCTTCTTTCCCTCAATTCCATGAAGCCGCCATCTTTTTCGATGAATCAACTCTATTCGTCACGAGTAACCAATTTGCCTCAAATACCAGTTCTCCTGCCACTAACAACAAGGATATTTCCATCACTCGTTTAGATAAATCCGGTGATTCATGGTCGGCTACAACTATTAAACCAGAAGGAACCCTTACTCTCGCAAACGGAGGAGCAAAATACAACGATGGTCTCGTAATCTGCGACCAAGGATCCATGACCGCACCCGGTGGTCTTGTCTTCATGAATGCTACAGCTCCCTATACCACCACGACCCTCATCAATAACTACTATGGCGTTGAATTTAACTCGCCCAACGATGTCCACGTGACAAGCGACGGAGCCCTATGGTTCACAGATCCATCATACGGTTCATGGCAAGGAATCCGTGCTCAACCCTTACTTCCACCTCAAGTCTACCGCTACATGCCAGGCACAAATGACATCCGTGTCGTTGCAGATGGCATCCAAGAACCAAATGGTATCACATTTAGTCCTGATGAAAAAACCGCATACATCACCGACGGAGCCGGCAATTCCACTGCCCCTACTGCCCCAAGAGCTATCTACGCATACGATGTCATCACTCGCGGAGGTGAACCAGCTCTTGCTAACAAAAGAATGTTCGCAGTACCACAATCAGGTCTTCCAGATGGAATCAAAACTGATGAGGCAGGAAATGTATATGCAGGATGTGGAGATGGAGTCAATGTTTGGAACGAGGGAGGTGTGTTGCTCGGCAAAATTGCAGTAGCCGGTGGTTCCGCGAACTTCATTCTCGGAAATGAGGGAGATAAAATGCAAGTGTGGTTATTGAATGAGAACAAACTTTGGCAAGCCAGTTTGGGTTTGGTTAATGGTGTGGATGGTATTGATTCCGCGATGAATGGTACAGTCAGGAGATAATTTGGGAACTTGTACGATTGTGAATTGTGGGATTATGAAGGAATGATAGCATGGTTTGAAAATGTAATTTTAACAAAAATTAAGTTGCGGGTGTAGATACTCGGGTATAGTCATGTATATTATTAGGTAGGTAGGTCAGTATGAACAAAATACCTACTAATCCACCATATACTTTCCATGCATATATCCCCTCCATCCGATGCATGACATGCATACATACATACATGAATCCATCTATAAGCAAACACACTTCCTCAAATCACCAACCAACCAATCCCCAATCCACCCCGCCGTCTCCCGCGCCTCTCGCGTCTCAACCCCGAGTCCCACGACATTTTACCTCTTACATTATTTGTGGAGAGAACACAGGTGGTCCGGGACGTGGGTGGTGTGGATGGTGTGGGGTGGGGTTCACCCACCAGCATTTAGTATATCTTGGGCACGCAATCCGTTCGTACATAATAATTCCCTAGTCGATGATTATCTTTTGTTTTGTTTTTCCAACCCCACCTCCGTCGATTATCATCCCACCATCAATCATATCGTGTCTTTGCTTCGACCCACCATTATCCATATCTACGGTGTACTAGGTAGGTGATAGAGCTGTAGCTACCCCGCACTTAGCTTCATTTCTGGGAGGGGGTCTGATGGTTTTGGTTTTGGGGGAGGGATGGAGGGAGGGATGGAGCGATGGACGGATCGTTGCATGTTGGATACTTACTAGGTAGGTCTGAGTACCCCATGCCAAGGAGGAATAATAAATGTATTTCTGATCTGATATCTGCGTATATGTATGTATGTATGTATGTATGTATGTATGTATGTTCTTGGGATTTTATTTATCCTCGATATGTTCGATGAAAATAACGTAGGAAAGGGGAAAATATCACATACTCTATGTGCGAGAAAAGGACAGCGAGAATCGAAGACTTTGATAAATTAGTTAATGGTAATTCTATTCCGTGATATTTTAACCATAAATAATGTATGTACGTGTAGGTGTGTATTTAATGGTTGATCGCGAGTGGGATCTCGGCTTTTCTTTACGTAGGTATGTATGTAAATTTTGAAAGTATAATTTTACATCGATTTATAGGGAGAGGATTTTAGTTTCGCTCATTAGTTCCGAATTGCTTTTGTTTTTTGGTAAGGCGTAGGGATGTACATGTGATATCACGTGAGTGACACGAATTGAATAAACGTGATTTGATATTGGAAGGGAGGAATCGTGTAGATACGTTTACTTATGTATTCAAGTTATTTGTGTGATATATCTCGACAGTGTGATTAGGAATGAAAATATGGTTTGGGGTGAGGTGGTTTGAGTCGTTTAGGTATTGGGGGGAGAACGAAAAAATGAATGAAATGATATGTGAGATATCTATATGTAAATAGTTACTGAATATACTCACTCAAACTTAGATAAAGCGAGATTAAGGAAAAATAACATTCATTTTTCTTCTTTCTGTTCGGATGCTTCGTTTTTGCTAGCAAGCGGCTGTGAGTACTGGTAATGATTTGTTACTGCAACGAAATTGGATCTTGTATTGGCGATATTGTCTTGTAGGAAGTTTAAAATTAGACCTGATTGTTTAAATCATTCTTTACTGCGAGAACGAAGCAGTCCTAAATTATAGCCGAAAGATTTAACTTGATTTCTTGTCATCTGGAGAGTGGATTGCAATGTTTAGTTGAGTCATTGAATAATCGAGTGCTGATGTGCGATTTGCAGAAGGCAATATCGTGATGATTTGATTAGATGACATCATTTGAATTCAACGAATCCAACTGTGATCGCGTCACTTTGCATTTAGTACATTTAGAAAATTAAAGTAAAACCCTGAGTATGTCTAAAACAGCAATCAAGACTTGGAAGTAGGCTTCATATACTACCCCGTTTTAGTTCCGCATTGCAAGTAGTCTACTAACTCTGACTTGGAATGCTTTGGAAATTAGACGGTATGTTATTGTGTATGGCGGGTCGAGGTGTACTCTTCGACTTCAAATGTATGGGTGAGAAAGGAGATGAAGGTTACACTACAGGAGAGCTGTGAGGTTTGTAATGCTGGTGTTTAATTTTGTTTTCCTGGGTTGATGGCAATCACGGTGTATCTTAGTTCATTGGTGATGACTGGATGAGAGGCAAAAATTTAAGACTGCAGAGATGTTTTAATGTCATTTCCATTTTACAATAACCGAATAAATGATAAAATTTATTTATGAGAAATACTCATGTCTGCGTAGTATGTATGAAAAATGATGTTTGCTAGTTGAACGAGCTGCAAGAAATTTTTTCTGTTCAACTGTTGATCTCCACCAACAAGATATTTTCCTGTGTCCGGATTTGCAAGGAGGGCGTGATATATGCAAATTATGGCACAGGTATTCCACTTATTGATACAGATTTTATGATACAATCGATCGCAGATTGAAGTCTGAAGACCGTGAGAGGATTGTCTACAGCTGGAATAGGAAAGGTTTCGAGTCATTTCTCTGTGCTGGGCTGCTGATTCTACAATCTCGCTCCAGTACTATACTTCTATACTTACGACTAACAACCAATTGCTCAAATAACAAGACAATTGCCTGCAGGTGCGTGGTTATCAATTTACTTTATATGTAAGCTGACAATTAAAAAGAGAAATCCATGCAGAATTCGAATGTTGTCACTAAACTATTATGCAGTTGGTATGCAACAGATAGTCTTAGAAACTATGTTACCACTGCTGCAAGCGATTATCTCGCTTCTCAGCGTTTGAGTTCTGTCATAGTTTTATTTTGAATCCCTTCGGAGGCCTGAAAATCCTGGCATTTTTGACTGAAGAAGACATACCACAAGCTTCATGTAACACAAGGAAGATTAAAGCTCTTCAAATCCTGTGCTCCAAATCAATCTCTATCGATAGATGAATTGTCTAAAGTCGACTAATGCTTGTGTGTATGGGAAAGCTCAACACCAACATTTGTTAAAGTATTGGATTACTGCGTGTCTCGGAGTTAAACCAACCACGGAGTGGGAAATGTATCGTAATTCAACTACGACTCATAAATGGCCCCATTATTGAACTCAACAGCTATTAAATGCAATATTTTGCAATTGCTGGGAATGCCCTTAAGGAATCGTTTTTGCTTATGAGATTATCATCATGATTTCACGGGACCTAATCTGTTGCTTTTGACTTTTGCAGCGATCAGCTTGGTGCGTCTCCTTAAAACTATTGATTTTATAAATCCTCGTACTAATAAGTAGACAACATAGTACCCAGAAGCCACGGTGATAAACAGTTTCTGTTTTCACCCTCTACGAAAATTTGCAGGTCCGATTTTATGGAGATCAAGTCGATTACTCTACATAATCTCTCTAGTGCGAGGTAACCTTGTACTAGACCAGATGAAAATCCACGAAAATTATGGCGATGTATTTCGTTTGGCTCCAAATGAAATATCTTTCACGAAGGAAGAAGCTTGGAATGATATTTATGTACATCGACCGGGTCATGCAGATCCTACTAAGAATCCTGTATGGTACAAAGGTAGAAGTGATGTATTTCAATACATTGAAAGGAAATTTACTAATGTTGTCTAAAGCACTGGATGAGATGCCTCAGAATATTGTTACGTCTCTTGACACGGAGAGGCATGCTCGATTTCGAAAAGCGCTCAGTACCTCATTTACCGAGACTAGTCTGCGAAATCAAAGTCCTCTGATTGAGTCTTTCACAGACTTACTTATTGATCGCTTGAATAATTTAGTCATAGATTCCACACCCCAAGAAAATAGCACAATCATAGATATCTTCCAATGAGCTAGTTAGTTCACGGTTGATGTCGTTGGCGAACTTGCGCTAGGCGAGTCTTTTGGTTGTTCAGCAAACAGCGAACTTCATCTCTGGGTCAACACCTTAAATAACTTTCTGAAAGGAATGGTATATGCAGCGGCTACAAGATGGTATCCATTGATCGAGACTATGGCATTCAAATTACTCCCAAAAAGCGTGATGGAGACGCAAAGAAAGCATTCCGAGTTCGCGAATGATCGAATCAATAAACGTCTGAACCTGAAAAAGCAGAAGCCAGAATTTGTTGCCTCGTTCATGAAGGATAATGTGGATCTCTAAAAGATTCTTTTGAGGGAAACTCAGCTGAACTTGGCTATTCTTTTGGTATTCTTTTGGTGGCTGGAACAGATGCAACCGCAACATCGATTTCAGGAACGTTACTTTACCTGGCTCAGAACCTAGAAAAATTGGACACACTTGTCTCCTAAATTCGAAAGACCTTTCCCAGGGAGGATGACATCAAAATCGCGACACTATGCCATCTTCCATACCTCAATGCGGTAATAAATGAAGGATTGAGACTTAAAAATCCCGTCCCCGGTGGTCTTCCTCGAATTGTTCCCCAGGTGATGATATATATGCCGAAACATTTTTACCCGCAGGGGTAAGCATTCGTGAATCAACCCTCTATTCTGATATCGCTGACCATTTTAGACAAGTATATCCGTCCGACCCTACGCCATGAGTCGCTCTGAGAAATATTTCTCTTCTCCAAACGAATTTCACCTAGAACGCTTGCTTCCGACAGGAACTCGACCATCTGGAATCAATAATAATCATCTTTCAGTGAGCCAAGCTTTCAGCGTTGGTCACTCTAACTGTATTGGTAAAAATATGGCCTGGGCAGAAAATCGACTTGTTATCGCTGGGCTTTTATGGTCATTCGATGTGGCTGAAACTGGGAAAAGAATGGATTGGACGAAGTTGAAGACATTGATGATTATCCAGAAAGAGCCGATCATGCTCAAAATTAAAATTCGAGAGGGGATTAGTGAGCTTAGGAAAGCGACGTGGTATAGTTTGACGGATTTGGTAGAAGTTCTGCTAGAGAATCGCTCGTACTCATTCAAATGCTCTCCAATGACATATTACTGGTATCTAGTTTCTGTCATAGCATAGTTAATATGATACCACGTGGTCTCCATTAGGGGTTATGCCAAATATTCTGTATACTGAAGTGTGACTACGTAACGATGCCCTTCGCCCTGCAACATGTTTTTAAAGGCGATAAGCAGCAATTTTGGTTCTCCAGTAACAATACTTGATTATATATTACTTATTTTCGCCATTCAATTTGTATTCTTTCTTTGGGCAACCTTTTCGTTGGTCTTATTTCGTGCGCCGCTTGGAAAATCTGATTTCAGATAGGAAAGTTTCATGTTGACTTATCTGCTGACCAGATTCTCTTTACCCCGTAGATACGGATAGTAGCTTCTTTTGATAATTAATTAATCTCCTGGAGCGTATAGAATGCTGTCTCCATATTCAACAGTCCAACCTGGAAGATTTCATCTATCCACCACATATCCTTCACGTTCTCCAACTCGGACCAGTCAAAGACATCCCGTTTCAGGGTTTCAGCTATCCACGATCTCTCATCCTCTGTAGTTGCTGCGCAGCCGGCCATAACAAGAGTCCATACTCTTAGACTATTCACCTTAGCATTCCATACGTCGCCATCGCTCTCCAGTAATCGACGCAGCTTGGTGATAAGCACGTTAGTCAACACAGGTGCGACGCCAAACCATCTTCTTGTCTGCGCTATGAACAGAAGCCCACCAATCCTACACAAGTCTTCGATCTCATGCTTTATGTCTTTCTGTGTAGTTAAAAGTCTCGACAAGATTGGATAGACGCACAGGCCAGCAAAGTTTTGGTCTCCCCAAAGAAATTGAGCATCTTTTGATAAGTTTCTCTTTTGATTCTCACGAGCTATCGTGACTGTGAGGATACTCAACTGTCTCATGATATCAAGAATCTCCACAGAAACGAAAGACGTGATAGCAGAGTGCTCACAGATGCTAACAAAACAAGCTTCGCCGTCAGCTTGATACCTTAGAAGATAAGGATTCGTAAGATATTGAACAGGTGGAGGAGAAAGAGGCACTATGTCTAGGTCGCTAGACATATTATGTTCGATCCAGAACAAAGAGAGCCGTATTGATGGGATGTTTTCGATACTTGATAGTCCGCCTCGCAAACTCAGTATTTTATAGAAGCCGGTCTGGTGGATCTTCCACCTCTCCGAATTAGAGAGAAGATGCTAATAAACTTAGTAGATACTTTATCAAAATTGCGGAACGACTTACGTCGTGGCACATGAACTACACTGAGTTAGAATCATCAAAAGACAAATAAAGGTATATCATGATGGAAAACGCACGCCAAGTATAGCTCCCAGAATCCCATCTGAATTTTCCACCTCAAAATGTGCCAATCTCCGATTTACGGATCTGATAGCAGAGAGATGATACATCATCGAATCACGATCCTCCTCTCGATTTCCTTTAAGAGCATTAAGATGTAGGGCGACATTAGCCAGAACCAAGTGCATTGCCGCGGAATCGTTGGTACCAAGCGGAAACCAGAAGTCTCTGAATGGCTGGAAACATTGTGCTGGATCCCAGACTGGAGGAGAATTAATAACTAAATTGACCAACCTGGAAAAGCTTACTGTGATACACCAACTCATGTTCTTGGGTATCCATCTTAACTGGCCATGCTTGAAAGGGATTCACACGGCCATTACCCAGTAGAATCATCGAATTGGTTTGCAAGCCCATTAGTACTCCGCTTTTAACATCTGCTTCTGATTCCGCGTCTAACCTCTCTCTATTCGTATGTGAGATGGACATTTGCAGTGGTGACGCACCCACAAAAGACCTTGGCGCAATGTTTTTCAGATCATTTGCCCTTTTTGGTCGATTTTGTTTCATGAATGGACGCATCACATGTCTTCGCACTAGGGTCTTCGTCTCCTGTTTCCCTTTTGCTGAACAAGAAGGAGTCGAGGTTATAAAAGTGTACTTCCCATCTTCGGGCAGAGTATTGGTTGTCATTTTTTTCCGGATTTCGAGACGCCTCGAATTCACAATTTTTGCATTTACACACTCACCCGGTGGGTAGCGCCATTGTGACTTTATAGTCTCTGGCAGCTGCAACATTGTACATTACATTCGAGGCTGAGATTATACTAGGACATTTCAATTTCGTCTGTCATAGAATATGATGATGGCGATGCAGGAGTTGTTTTGGAATATGCTGACATTGAATGGTTCGATTACAAACCCGATCTAGCTGGTTTAAGGCAATGGCCCCCTGCTTCTCAGGTGGGATTTATGTGGAGATGTGCCAAGACCTCTGTGTTCGTTACTAATCGATATCAGACCTTGAACTGTTGCCTGCAATGCAATCGGAGACTCATTCTTTTTTGGCATGATCAACGACTTTGCAGGATTGAAGACACACCAACATGATGTGGTAATTAAGTTCGATCCTGTATGTTGGCCAAATAAGATAATCGTACGGAGTCAATATGATGAGTTCGGGAGTTCCGTGGTAGGGCAAACAAACTATTGCACCGTTCGCTGACCGATCTCAAGCTTCCATTTATCTTGTGGTTACACGATGTCTGTTCCTAAAATATAAGAGCTTCGATCCTAAAACTTTAGGACGGAAGACATGCAATATCTCCCTTTCATGACCGTTTCCCCGAAAATCGCACAGAAACAATGGTCACGGGCTACAAATCCAACGGAGCACAGAAAAATTGGTGTGCACAGGCAATCGCTATATCTGATTCATGGGAGCACTAGAAACTATATACGGATAGTCATTGCAGAGAATATATGTGTTGAAATTGAACTCATCACTTAAGCAACCTGGCCCTTCGTCTGGCGAATACCAATAACCTTGATGTCCCGCCACAATAAGACCGCCGCTAAACCGATAACCCAGACAACGGTACCAGCAATTAACAATCCTCTCTGTGCGTCACTATAGGCGTGCTGAATTGCAAGCCGCTCAGTTGTTCCTGGAGGGAACGACAACTGCGTCGGTAAGGACTCATATATTAGGAGTAGATCTGCTTGGTCTATATCAGGAAGATTTGCAGAAAGCTTGCTGGGCAATATACCCTGCCAAATAGCAGCCGAAATAGTCAGACCAATAGCGGAACCGATGTTTCCAAACATGCCTAGCACAGCCAGACTGATGGCGAAATATTGCTGCTCCGCGGCGGCGGCCATGATGGCGATTTCGGCACAGATGACCAGGACTCCCTCTGCAAACGAAATGAAGATCATGCACATGAAGATATACCCAATTTTCTGGTCAGGCTGACGAAAGTGAATCAGGAGCGACATGCCGAGGATTGTCAGAGGAACGCCAAAACAGAGTGCAATGGGCTTGTAACGCCCGGTAAAGCTGATGATACCGCCAGTAACGAGTGCAAGCAGCACCCCGCCTACAGTGTACGTCTGCATGACATAACTGGCCTCGGTAATACTCAGGTTGTTCACGACTTGTAGAAAAGAGGTGAAATAGCTGGCCCAACAGGAGTAACTGATGAAGAGCGTAAAGGAGAGGAGGCAAGCACCAAAGACTGTACGGTCTTTGAGGAGAGACCATGGAATGAACGATATTGGGGCGAAGAACTTCTCCCATATGGCGAAAGCGATGATCAATACGACTCCGAAGACTAAGAAGCATATAATAAGAGAAGATCCCCACCCTTTTGCTTCAATGGTGTAAAGGTTGAATGGCAATAGAAAGAAGGCGACTCCAGCAGATATCAGAATGAGACCGACAGCATCGAACTCGCGGCAGTAATAAATGACAGACTGCCAAGTTGTGCGTCCGCTATCATTCTTTTGTATAAGATCAAGCTTCTTAGCTTTGAAAAATTGCCACATGAAAAGGCCAGAAAGCGGAAAGGTCACAAGCGGAACGAGAATAGCGAAAGTTCCATAGGCCCAGCGCCAGCCAGGTCCATTCAAAAAGGCTGTTGATATCGGCCCACTTAGCCAGCAAGTGATCAAATTTGGGGAACTGACAAATGCTTGCATCAGACCTCGATGCCGTAGCGAGGATGTATCTGCGACGAAGACACTCAGACTGTATCCTATACCGTTTATTCCAACTGTGTAGAATACTTGAGATGCAGCGTATGCCTCAACATTGTTACAACTGGCTGACATAGCAAGGCCAACGGTGGACAGCACGGCGCAGAGAATATATCCCTGAGGGCGACCAAAAATATCCAGAACTTTCGCAATGCTTAGATTGGTTACTCCGCCAATAACAGCGCTCAAAATGCTTGTAGTAGGCGTGAGAGAGTGGAAAGCGAAGTCAGACGTGATGTATGGAAGAAGAGAGCCACTGACGCCAGACACAAGACCTTGAACAAAGTAGGTGATCCAGATCAAAATGTAGGCAATGACGAGCCAGGTCCTTGACCATGTCATAGTTACGGCCTCAATCTCCTGGACGCCTTGTTGTAATGTTTTGTCTACATGTTCATGGGAATCGACGACAACGGCATTCTGGCTAATCTCAACTCTTTTAAGATCTACCCCAGTACAAGCTTCATGTTGGGGTATCATAATTGTCTTGTGTGGAACTTTTGACAGACTTATGATGCATGAACGACGAGCGGTCCGAGGCCGATATAAGAAGCAGGCGGAGACCCCTTATGAGTTAAGTTGAGCAACAAACAGAGCTGTTGCTTGTTTTATTACATCCTGAAAATTATGGGAAGATATAGAGATATTTTCTGGTAGCGATGCAAAAAGTCTTTAGCTTGCATACTCAAAATCATACTTGCGCTAATATGCTCATTTTCTGTACAGGGGCTTCTAGCCGGAGAACACTATCTGATGATGAATACAACAGCAATGGATGAAATTCGCATTTCCGTCAATCTCTTCGAAGCGTTTTTAAACAGAGCAACAATGCAACATTTCAAATATTTCTGTTTCTATACCTAGGTATTATTACAAAGTTAGAGACCAAGCTAATGCTGGATTTCTGAAGACTTTCACGTTGCAATTGCCGATTACTTTTCACTAAGCAACTATCCACTACCCCGACGCTCATGTGAAGTGGCACACCGGAGATAAATCTTATTACCTGATAAAACCGACTGGAAATTGAGGCATGAGCAAGTTTGAGGAAGTTTGTAAGTACAAATTCGTATTAGCCGCCCCTTGGCAACTAATCAAATTCCTTCCTTTCTCTGCGCCCCACATAAGCTGCTCAAATGGCACCTTTTGCGGTCAAGGAGGATAGAACGCAACGGAGTATGGGATTTATACGAATTTGTCAAAGACTCTAGCTTTGCGAAGGCAACAAAAGATTCCCAAAACCAGCTATTCCCGAGAGCCAATTGTTTGGCTTTCCGCACTGATAGCCATCTGATTTGGAAAGGTTGGTTATTTTTTCGACTCAGAAAGTAAGTCTACTTAATTGTCCCTGGTTCATATCATAATTCAGAAATTAGCGGCGGTGTCCTTTGTGACTATTGTCTCCGCTCTCAATTGAGACATTGTGTCGTTGCCCGTAGGAAAGAACGATCAAATCATCACTTGCTTGTTTGAAAGCTCAAAGATTGGGCTTGAAGAGGTGTCTAATACACAAATGCTATAGAATAACTGGTGGGTTTTCCGGAAGCATGCGGGAAAAGCCTCTTGGTAAGTTTCAGTTCTCATCACTATCCCTGGGGCCAATATATCGGCAGCTTAACTTGGATAGTAGGGTAAAGCCGTACGATATAAACTAGATTTTCATGAAGATTAATCCATATACCGACTGCATTTTGATTCAATAGGGACAAATAATTGTCATCAACACTGTCGTTTCAATAATAGACGAGTCCTATGTGAGAATAGTATCTAATTGTTACTCATTGCAGCCAAGTGAAAGGTTGGCCACAGGATAACTAGTCCTCGCAGCACCGTAGTTGAACGTGGTCAGTCGGATACTATGCTCATATGGTCAATCGTCTGCAGAGTACGCTTCGAAATTTTTGACTGATGGGTCCCAATATCATCTATCAGGTGTATTGGAGTTCTGTATTTGTGTTCGATGCTTACCTAGTCTCCCGCTCTTATGTCCAAACTTCTTCTCATCCTGAAATATGTTCACTGCACAATCTGGCTGGACGTAGACCAATTATGGTCTCTTATAACTCCTTGACGAACGAACAGACGCAAGCATAGAGGTATGTCAAAATCTATGTGGAGAGTCATGGAATGTCGCCATTGAGAATGATATACGATCTGGTTCGGTTACAGTTGGAATATTCACGATTTGGTAAATAGTTTCCGTGCCAAATTTGCAGAAGATTCTAGATTTCATGATAATATTTAAACGCGGGATTTACCAGCTTTTGATCGATCCTCAAAATGAAATGAATAGTCAGTGGTATTGATGTCTTGTATGGCTTAAGAGAGATCATTACTTGTTTTCCAGTGCAGATAAAAGAGTGACATCTTCTCAACTTTCGTGCGTCCACTGACAAAGGATGGTAATTTTGAATTTGTAATAATAAAATACCCCACCGGGTGAACTTTAAGAAGCGGCTTGCGAAAGGGTAACTCGGGCCAGGCGGGAACCCGCACGACAATACTCGGTTCATTTCGTGATTCCCATGTCATTTTTCGCGATTTCCAATTGTCAAAACTAATTTTCAGAAATGAGAAGCCTATGAAACCATGGATCCGCATTGGTAGCTTTACGGCAGTACAAGAGCCTGCAAGCCGAGGGGTAGAGCGGGCGGGCCGGTGACAGATTTGGCATCTGGGTATATTTAGATCTTCACATCCAATTCGTCGAATCATTTGGATTATTCAAAGCATAAAATATTGAGATGACTCAATATCCACCTTCTCGAGCTTTTCGAACATCCGAAAAGTTGGAAGTTTGAGCTAAGAAGGCCGGATTGAGCTTGAGATTGACTGGCGATGTACGGGAATTTTGAATATTCATGTTGACAGATGTCGAGCTACATCATAAGGTCCCAAAATACTACTTTGATATCCACTTCAAGATTTTTGAGCGTGAACTCAAGCAAGTTTAGCAACGATCACTTTGATCGTACAAAGTGATTGGTTTGACTTATGTGTCACTGCGGGATTTCCAAAACTGTTACCTAGAGTTCATCTATGCAAAGATTTTCAAGGCTACCACCTGCCATGATGGAACTTTTTGATAGCTACCCCAAGTGAGGCTATTTCTAGTTCTGAAATATATAATAAGCACGCTCGGGAAGCGTTTGACAGATATCAATTTCGATATTACAGCTTCAAGTCTTGTTCTTGCGCATTGACTACGATCCATCATACACTCAAGTCGTACGAACCCTTTCAAAGAGATACATTCTTAGCCACAGAGTCTGGCTTGGGATATAAATCTAATTGTTTGTTCTGTGCAAAGGTACCGTTATGTGGTTCAAAAAATCTTCCATCACGGAGAAGTGTTCCACGATGACATCTACCGCTAATCCTTCCATAACGTTGGTATGCAACGAGATTCTGGATATTATCTTAGATTACGCCCTCAATAAATTCGATGACACAAAGGATCGACATAGCGCGGGTAAGCCCAAGTTTTTGTCAGTTATCGAGAAGTTCGTCAGCAGTGGAACACCGGTGGAAATGTGCCTTCCAGCATTTCCCTTCAAGTCATCAAACAAGGTCCATAAAGTCTTCGGCATTCTACCTGACAAAGCCGAAGAGATTGCTCTTGATCGACTAAACACAATGTGTTTGCGAATTGGAGAAGTGTACCAGCCTGGCGCTAAGTGCACAATCATTTCAGATGGCCTCGTCTATAATGGTTTGTCTAATTACTGATCTTAACCCAAGCTACTGGCTAATTGCATACCAGATCTACTATGTATATCAGATCGCGATACATGGGCATACGGAGAGGCCTTGCGTACAATGTCTATCGACAAAGGCTTCGACCACATTGGCTTCTCTAGAATCCAAGACTTTGTCAATTTTCCATTGCCAGAAAAGCTAGACGAGATCACTTACGTTGCCAATGCCACCAACTTTCGTCTATCTATGATTAATAGATGGGGTAAAGAAAATATCAATATTGAAGATGAGATCGCCAACAACCCGGATACAAAAATGACTTATCTCGGATATCGAAGATTTCTTGAATCGGATTTGCGATATATTTTCCCCCTGGGCAACGGTCGAAGCAACACCAGTTACAAGAAAAATGTGAGATACCTCGCTAAGCAGATGTTGATTCGAGGATATGTAAGTTAAGATACTACGAAGACTAAGCTTCGACTTTGCTAAATTTTCGAAAACAGGCTTTTGCTGGCGCGGTCAAATATGCTTTTCCAAACCATTTACGTCTTTCCATCCATCAGTCAACAGGTGATCATAAGATTTCCATGAGTTTGCTAAATACCAAAACTGGCTTTACGACGCCTTGGCATTGTAGCGTTGCTTTGATGGCGGATGGGGAGTGGATAAGCGCTCCGATGGGGGATTTTAAGGAAAATGATAAATTGGAAGTTGTGTACGAAGATGGCCGTCCCAGCTATTTCAAAGAGAGAAACGTTATCGAGAATCGGGTAGATGACACAAAATCATCAACTAACCTAAAAATATCGAACGTTTTTGAAGGGAACTCTTCCAGGTTCATGGACGACAAAAACGCTGCTTCCGAGAAATTCCAACACCAATCCTCTGTAGTAGTATCAATACTAGCCATTTAGTATCTAGTTAAAAGACAAGATCAAAGTATTCCGGAACTTGGGAGAAACTGTCATTTGCATGTTGGAGCTGGCTTTTCTGATCAATCAATTTATTTAAAAATGTTTCAAATTATCTAGATGGAAAGACAGGAAGAACACAGTGTCTCAGACTATTGGGTACCTCTAGTGTTATGGTGAAGAGTGGAGAGATGATAGTGAGAACTAGTGGTAGTCTAAATTCATGAAACAATTTCAATAAGATACTCAACCAACGAAAATGTGTATTTTGCTCTGCTGTGTCCAATCAGTGTGCAGCCATGCCCTCACAAGAATAACCAAAATGTGTGTGTACTTTATCCAACTATGATTTTCTCAGTTATGTAACAAAAAATGACTCTCTGGCCCATCTGAACCACTTTCCTAATCGTTTTCCCCACGCCCGCAACATGGATTGTTCAATCTTCGCAGTAGGATGTGGCTCGTGGAACACTATCCTACCACCATCAACAGTATTAAGGAATCTAACAGCGGAGCCTCCGGACTCCGCTGCCGTAAATCCAGCGTTCTTCATCGCAGTAACAAAAGTTCTCCAATCTAACGGCTTGGAAGCATGCTCGTTAAATGTAGTGGGAAAAACACGCGAGAGAATTGGTAGACTTGACGGCTTGATGTGGACAGTTTTTTGTGGGCTTTCTGGAGAATGATCATCTTCATTTTTCGGACTATGAGCTCCTAATTGATTGGAGGTCTGTTGCTCAGGTCTTGTCTTGGAATTCTCCTTTGAGCGATTAGAGATGTTCAAAGCTGAATAATCTTCGGTAGCATGAGTGAAAACCGAATTATTATCGACAGCGATTGGTTGTTGAACTGGCTTTTTGGGTTGAAGAATGCTTTCTCTTTGTAGTTTTAGCGCGGAAAGATGCTTTGGAGCACTGTCGTAGGACAGCATATCCATGTCGTGTTCATAGTCCTTTTCGGTCGAGAACTTGTGCTTCTTGAGTATGCTAGCATGAATTACCCGCACGTGGGCCCACAAAGCCGACGCGTTATTTCTGACCTCATCTGATTTACTTAACCACGTTGCATCCCTTTTGCCTTTTGGAAAAGGTGTCAATTCAACAATCTTGAGAAGCTCGCTAAACGCTCGGTTCCTTCCTCTCTTTCTTCGTCTTGGGTCCCTCTCCAAGCTAGGCGCTCTTGGCCTTCTACTCGAGCGGTATCTATGTCTGTAGCTCTAAATAGAGGTCTATGCTGTCTTATTGCCGAAAGTAACTCGTAGGTAGTTGCGAATCCGGATCAATTTTTGAGAATCTGTGGCTCAAGTCGTTGTTTGTCCTCTGCTGTTGTCGTATTCTTATTTAGCCAATCTGTCAAGAATTCAAGCAACATCGGAGCGTCATATCTATTTGAATCTTCGGGATCTGCCATCACCTGAACTAAACACCAGTGAAGAAGATCACCATAGAACATTGCTTTGCCTGTGGGAAATTTGACAAGATTCAATTTAGCGCTGACAATATTGCCTGAATCAAAAATCTTGTAATCTCCAGAAAATCGTTTGGAACTCGAGAGACAGTCGCGGAGCTCTTTGATCCGTTGAAGTTGAATATTGATCAACAATAACTCTAGACAAACAAGAGCCAAGCTGTATTCCTCTGGCATGTCTACACCACAACTGATATTATCCCAAAATTTATTGCGTTAAGCCTGAGCATTTTCAAACTCTAAGACGACCCACGAACATCTCTGTATGGTGGTAAATGCTTTGTAGCAAAGCTTCCAAGCAGATTTGGGAAGAAATCTATCACCAGTACCTTTAAACAGCCATCCTTGTCGAACCAATCTAACACAATATTGCAAATAAACCGGATCGGTTTGGAGAATCCACAGGTGATCTTCAGCCTCGTGGAAAGCTACTCTTGATGCGTATGACTTCGCGATCGTCTTGGCCTCGTGAATGCTCAATGCTTCGGCATAAGCCAGTCGATCTATGACCTGCAGGTTACGAGTACGATATTGAGTGTTGCACTCCGTGCAACCAAAACTGCAGATACCTATGGGTGGACCGTAAAGATCGACATATTTGTCGAGCCCCAAACTGTATGGCTTGGCAGAACCTACAGGCTTTGCTGTCGACACCTTTGGATGAATTATAGACCCTTATCTGGGTTCCGAATTTAGGGGCTGGAAAGATCAGATCTTCTTGTAAGATTGAAATAATGCGATTTGAAGAAAACGGCAAGTAATGTTCCGGGTATAAAAAGACGGTTGTAGAGAATATATCCAATACCCAAAACTCAGGTCTTCCATGAGACGTTTTAGTAAAGTTGTAGAAGACTCAAAGAAAAGAGAAGAGAGCTGAATAGTATAAAGCAGATTAAAATAGATGAGTGAATTTCAAGCGGTCGATGGCGATGCTTGATGAAGAGTACAGCAGAATTGAATGTCAGAAGGGATTCAGGAATTGGATCAATCTGCCTTGTGCCTACAGAACAGCGAATAGATGAGTGACATTTCAAAGCTACCTGATTACAAATTATATTAGATCATTCGAGTATCATTTTGATTATGCTTGATGGATTGGACGCGAAATTAGGGACAAGCTAATATCTACTGGCTACTCTACCTGTGACCATAGTTACGGGTATATCCATAAAATGGTAATTCCATGACATTGATCTATCATCTCAACAATCAATGTTTGTTATATTAAGGAGAGCGATCTGTAAAGAAGAGCGAGATGCACTTTGATGTAGTCAATTCTTTAGAACAACTAACAACGCTTCCAGAATTAGGAAGAATTGAAAATTGATAACTAATCGATTGGTTGGAATTTATCCAAGGAATTCATAAGCGTTTAATTATTAATCACTTTGACTCCAAGCGAAGGTTGTTGATCTTTAAGACTACAGCCAAAGGGGAAAATGGGGTAACGAGTCAGATACCCTGTCAACCGCAGCTTCTCATAAGCCAGGGTTTATCTATCCACAAATTGCTCTATCTATTTACTGGAATCTTCAATATGTAATCGACAACGCATATTGAGTTTGGTAAAGCCAATAAGATATTACCAACCCAAATGCTAACATCTCATCCCCTGCATTGTCATTGATTCAAAGTAATCGCTTCATAAAAACGGAGTTCCTGGTAAGGCGCTTGAGATGGGGAAAGAACTAGGGGCAGAGTGTGCAAAAAGTATAAAATACCGTTCTTTCCTGACCTAGGTGGCCATATCTATCAGCAGATATTAACAATCACGTTCAGTAATATTTCTTTGAATTCCTAATTCCAGAACTAAACAGCAATAATTCACAATTCACAATGTCTAGCACAAAGACATACATCATAACTGGCGCGAATCGAGGTCTGTATCATCTAAACATATCCACAACAATTCTTCAAATCTGATTATTGCAACAGGACTTGGTCGTGGCCTTTTAGAAGCTCTGATTCAACGACCAAACACCACAGTTATAGCTGGCGTTTGAGACCTCTCCTCTACGAGCTCGAAATCTCTTTCCGATATCTCTATGGCCACCGGTAGTCGCATCATCCCGCTTAAAATTTCCAGCACCGATGACTTGTCTCCTTCTCAGGCTGTCGAAACACTCCAAAATACTCACGGTATTACTTCTATCGACGTAGTCATCGCTAATGCGGGCATATCACAATACTATGGCAAGGTCTCCGAGACCCCTCTTTCCGAAGTACGCAATCATTTCGAAGTCAACACCATCGGAGTTCTAACTCTCTATCAAGCCACACTTCCCCTCCTCTTGAAGTCTCCAAATCCAATTTTCGTAGCTTTGTCAACAGCTGTCGCAAGTATCGGTGCTATGGAGAACATACCAATTCCAGCTACTCCCTACGGAATGAGTAAAGTGGCATTAAATTATATGGTTCGAAAGATCCATTTCGAGAATGAGAAACTTACTGCCTTTGTCCTGACTCCAGGGTGGGTAGAAACGGAAATGGGAAACGCAGGAGCGATAGCCATGGGTTTGGAGAGTGCGCCGGTAAAAATCGAGGAGAGTATTAAAGGGATGCTGGAGAAGATTGATAATGCAACAAGGGAAGGAACATCGGGGACTCTGCAATCGTTCGACGAAACAAAATATCCTTGGTAGACAATTGTTAACCGGGCTTTTTCCATGCCAAAAGTGTTTCATCGAATCAGTACAGTTTAAGTCTATCTTTTCTGCTTCACGTTCGTTGGATGGTGTCACTGCATACTTTGAAGCGGACTGGAACTCGCAAGATTGTCTCCTCGACCCCATTATTAGAACCAAGTACAATATTCCAGAGGAATGGGGCATCTCTTTGGAATTTCAAATTCATTACATGTATCCAATGTTCTCGAAAATAAAGATTCAGGTTGAGACCACCAGTGGGTGCATGGATTGACGGGACACTTCTCAATTTTCAATTTTTTTAATAACTCTTTAATTGTGTAATATCAAATTTTATATTTTGATTGTTCTATTTCTAAAATAGACGAATAATATATGAAAAGATGTTCGCGAGTCGATTTTTTGTAATGTCCTGTCATTCAGTAGACCCACTGGTGGACCCTTATTAAAGCATCATACAGCTGTCTCAAAGTTTTGTTCCTCGAAGCTTAAGTTTCTTCCTCATTGCAAATTGCCTAAAAGAGTAGACTCGGGGACTTTGACGACCCCCTTGATGCGGCAAACTTAACACCACTTAGAAAAGGGTCACTAGCGCCAGATGTGTGTATGCGAACACTTGCGCGGAGAGTTTTGGGCGCTCAAATGAAAAGCAGACTCAGTTACGATTTTAGCAAGGTATCCGAGCCTCACTCCATTAAGCTCGAGTCAATTCACTTTGAAGCATGATTTACCTTCTTGATGCGGATTTGTGGAGAACAAGCAGAAATTGAACAAAAAAACTATAGAACTTGCTGAACCATTGAATCATGCGGTCCGCACAAGCAATCCGGATTCACTTCAACGAGAAAAATGATGCTCAAAAGAAGATGGGTGTCTGAACTGACTGGTATCTCACCATCACAAATGCAACCAAAATGTAGGTTTTCCGAGTCACCGTAAAAGGACATCAAACGAGACGGGTCGACAGGAAACAGGTCATCCTCGGGTATCATTATTTCTATATACTTAAAATTGTCCTTCGGTATTCCCGTCGCCCATACTCTTACTACTGCTACTACCACTCTGGATAGCACCTAAAATACCATCTATGTATGACGCACCGCTCCATTTTTGGTGCGTTAAAACATCTACACCTAGCTCTTTTTCTCTTCTCTGGATTAAGTTCACATATGCAAGCATACCCTCATCCTTGAATGCCTTTGATAATTCGCTGGTGATTGTTGCCGTAGAATGGAGACCGGCGAGCGAGATTAATTGTAGGACGAATCCATGCTTTGCAATATCCCAAATGAAAGATTTCAAAGTTTCGTCAGTGAAACCATGACCCATCCAGTTAAATGAAGGAGAAAGATTGTAGACTAATCCTTTACCAGGATACTTGGCACGAATCTCGCCGGAGAATTGCGCTGCATTTTTGACGTTGGGGTCTCCGGTTTCAACCCACAAGAGGTCAGCATATGGTGCATATTGAATCGCTCGCTTTGTGGCGGCTTCCATACCAGCCTTGTAATGGTAGAAACCTTCTCGTGTTCGAGGTATATCTATATTGAATATTATTGGGGTTTTGCTGTATTTGGTAGCCAAATCCTTTCGCTTCGTGATCGACATATCCCGATCTTGCTTAGTAGCTTCAAGGTACTCGTTGATACTCGACTCCGAGACACCTTGTTCCTTCAATTGCTTGACAACGGCTTCGTCACACGTCATGAGTTCCGTTTTCTTCACCCATTCCGCTTCAAAAGTATCAATCTCAGCGCCTGTAGCTCCTGCCAATTCCATAGCTTGCAAAGTCTCCGCCAATGATTCGATACCGTCTTCTGCGACGCCTTTAATGAATTCATGATCTCGCACATCAATCGCACTGCTGAGAAGCTTTCCGCTTTCGGAGTCTGTTCGAGCAATTACCAAGTTTTCTGAGCCCATAACATCCCATTGGAATCTCGCAGCCACCAAGCGATTAATGTGTTCTCCGACCGGCACTAAAACTTTGCCAGCAAGATGTCCGCACTTCTTTCCACCATGCATTTGATCCTCGAAGTGTACAGCGGCAGCTCCATTCTCCGCGAAAAGCTTGGCAAGCTTCAGAACAGCCGAAAGTCCACCATGCCCTGTATCTCCGTCTGCGATAATTGGTCTGAGATAGTCGGTATATGGTGTCTTTGCCCGTTCTTCCTTACTTAACTTCCTTCTAGCATCCCATTGTTTTCGATCATGCATTGACTGCGCTTTTGCCAATCGTTGGACCTGATTTGGTACGGTATTGTAAGGGTAATCGCCGAAATCTGGAGATACCTCATTCGTGGTCGTAAGTACAGAAGAACATGCCCATCCCGAGATATACAAGACTTCCTGGTTCGCAGCTTGTTGAGTCATTTGTACAGGGTCAATAGCACCCACTATCAATCAATCAAATAAGCATATGTTTTCCAAGTTCCAAGCCTCATGATTCATCTTACTTGTATGTATTGGTTTCCCGTTTGCCTCCCTCTCTTTAATTAAATTGAATAATTTTCTAGCCATAACGGAGCTTGGGTATGATTGCTGCTGACTCCCACGTTTTGAAACAACGTCTGCTGCAGAATATGGTCTCTTGATTCCTTCATATCTTGGAGTATTCCACCATGTTTCCACTTCCTTTATTTGTTGTTCGTATAATTCGTCTTCAGCCGCGCCAGCTTTCTGCGATTCTGGTACGAGCTGGAATGAATCCGATGCTAGAGGTCTCGATATTGGGTCATTGAGAGCTTTCAAGCTAGACATCCTATAACCAGAGGTAGATAGATGACGAACAGTAATGATTGAACTTCTAGCAGACAAAGCTCTGCGGGGCGCTGCAGTAGCAATTCTGCGAAACATTTCGAGTTGCTCTATTAGAGATGGGTAATTTTCAACACAGTAATAACTTATACCTACTCTTACCTATGCCGCTGATCAATCAGGAACCATTCATGTTACACCGTCATCGGGATGCAGTATGTATGTATCTTCGGTTTCGTTCGGTTGTTTGTTTGATGATCAATTGATGTGGCCGAGATACGTAATTATAACCTCACCCCAGGTGTGATACTATCAAGCCGCATGTATGCGTAATTGCCCGGTTGAGCCATTTACCCGTTTGATTGAGCCACACCCACATATTCATTACTCACAATCTATAGAATACGATTCGTCGATGATGTCTTGTCCTAATGTGCTCCGTTTATCCTCGGCATAACCTACCGATGATCTCGAATGTGTTATCTAACATCATCCCATATATCTTTCTTAGGCTCTTGGTGATACTTTGGTTTCATTCTACATCTACTACAATCAATCGTTGAGACGTTTGTAAAATGTGAGTTGAATGGGAATTGTCTATCGCTTGTTCCATCACTGACCATTCAAGTGATATCCAGCATCTGGATTGAGTTTACCCCGCGAATCTGCCCCACGATTTACCCCATCCGAGCTCCACAATCAAAATATACATCCGACGTTATGGCGATGAACGGCAGAACTGCGTCGCAGGCTTTCAGATCTTTGCGAGTATGGCTTCCCTTTCCGACTTGCTAGATCATGCTAACAATGATATTACTATAGCCTGTCGGTGTTCGTACTTTCGCCCTCCCAGCTCATCGAAATTATGCTACATCATCCGAGCCAGATCTCAAAACTACCTTCAAGGAGTGCATTCCTGCGAAGCGTGAGTTGTTGAAGAAAGTTAAGGCAAATGGCAACAAAGTTATCGGCGAGGTTAAAATCGAGAACACGATTGGTGGAATGAGGTACGATAACTTCCTACACCGATATGGTTAAAACGACACTAACGATAAAATAGAGGATTGAAAGCCATGGTATGGGAAGGATCAGTTTTGGATGCCAATGAAGGAATTAGATTCCATGGCAGAACTATCAAGGACTGTCAGAAAGAGCTTCCAAAGGGAACAAGCGGAACAGAGATGCTTCCAGAAGCTATGTTTTGGCTGCTTTTGACCGGACAGGTCCCTTCTACATCTCAAGTCAGACAGTTCTCCAAGGAATTGGCAGAACAAGCGGCACTTCCGGAATTCGTCAACAAAATGCTTGATAATTTCCCAAAGGATTTACATCCAATGACTCAATTTGCTATTGCTGTTTCAGCACTCTCCCACACATCAAAATTCGCCAAGGCATATGAGAAGGGAGTCAATAAAGCAGATTACTGGGAGCCAACTTTCGATGATAGTATATCTCTTTTGGCAAAACTTCCAGTTATTGCTGCTAAGATTTATCAAAATTCGTACAGAGGTGGTGGAGCTCTCCCTGCTCAGGTTGACCTGGAACAAGATTGGTCGTACAATTTTGCAGCTCTGCTCGGTAGGGGAGGCAAGGAGAATGAGAACTTCCAAGACTTGTTGAGACTATACTTGGCTCTTCACGGTGATCATGAAGGTGGAAATGTTTCAGCACATACCACTCATTTGGTCGGAAGTGCTTTGAGTGATCCGTTCTTAAGTTACAGCGCTGGTCTACAAGGTCTTGCTGGACCTCTTCACGGGTATGTAGTCGAATCGTTTCGGTAAAGTCACAATTACTAATTGCTTCTAGTCTGGCCGCTCAAGAAGTTCTTAGATGGATTCTACAAATGCAGGAGCACGTTGGAACCAAATTCACCGACAAAGACGTATCTGACTATCTCTGGTCAACTCTCAACTCGGGCCGAGTTGTTCCAGGTTACGGTCATGCTGTTCTACGAAAACCAGATCCCCGCTTCGAAGCTCTCATGGACTATGCCTCTTCCCGACCAGAGATTGCTAAAGACCCCGTCTTCCAACTTGTGAAGAAGAACTCTGAAATAGCTCCAGAAGTCTTGATGAAGCACGGAAAGACGAAAAATCCGTATCCGAACGTAGATTCTTCATCCGGTGTTTTATTCCATCATTATGGTTTCCATGAGACACTCTACTATACAGCGACATTTGGTGTTAGTAGAGGATTGGGACCTTTGGCACAATTGATCTGGGATAGAGCGTTGGGATTGCCTATTGAGAGACCTAAGAGTATTAATTTGGAGGGATTATTGAAGTTAGCAGAATAGATCTGGGCTAGAGAAAAGTACCAATGAATGTACAATATAGATGACGTCAATGAATTAATGCTTGCTTTTCTAGAAATCATGCGCACTTGTTTGTGGTGACTGATGCTTGAATATCTATTCAGGTGAGGGCGAAATGCAATTCGAATTCTCGATCGTGCAGAAGACCGACACACTCAGTCTATCAGTGTTGTTAGTGTTCAAATGAGATTCGCATTTTATACGGAGATGTTAATGATGATAAAACCAAAGCGCAAGTCAACCGAAAATTACTACACAACTAATCCCGTATGCCATGGGATATGAACATCGCAGGTGAGTTTGAGATCATTCTAAATATTCCCAGCTCTCAAAGTTATTTGGTAGAATTAGTAAATTAATTATAAAGGTATCGTGAGCATCAAAACAGACGCTGTTCCCCTAATTTGCGTTGAACCATACGAGCAAATCTCGCTTCGACACACCACTATTTGTACTCGCCTGAGCGCACCCTTGATATGTATTTAAGCACAACATGAGGGCCTAGTCCAACAGTGACATGACGTGCTGTGGGTTTGGGGGTCCATGAGAAGATGTCCGCTATGTGGGTTAACTCCCACCGATTTCCCCGTTTCAGAGCTTGCCTAGTCTTACGAAATGGAGTCCGTAATCACAGATGGCAGTTGTGATTCTTTGTGGGTAGCAGTCCATCGGAATCTTCTTATATTCTTTTTTTTTTTGTCTTTTGAAGTTCTTTTTTGCTATATTCACTGGCAGGTCCACATTTTGTGTTGTATATCATGATCTGAACTTCGCTGTATTATTTTTATCTTGCATATGATGTCATGTACGATTATTTATTTGCGCTCGCAGTAGAAATTCTAGAATAGTACGACGCGCTGTCTCTTGGAATTTTACTGTATATCCTTACCAACTTTTGACTATATTAGACATCTTTTCTATCCCCGACATTACAGAAAAAAACAAGTCAACCTTTCCTTATCTACTGCGCCACAGAATTCATCCCATACTTTGTACCAGCAGACACAACTCTAGAGTAAAGGAAAAATCACTTCAATGTCACCTTCACGGAACGAAGGCACGGCCCTGGCTTCAACTGGGGAAAAAGGTGCGCGGTCTCCTCAATTTCGCTGCCAAATAAGACTTCCAAACTAAAACATGCCACAAGCTCACAGATCAATAGTCAAAGTCCACAGGGCAGGCAAGAAACTTACACGCAGCAAACAAGTTAGCAGAGGTAAGAAAGACGCTTCTCCTACCCATCAACATTTTTCTGTAGCTAAATCATTTTCTGTCAAGGATCAAGCTGTCAAGATGCGAAAGCTACGCTTGCAGAGCCTTCAAAGAATTAAGAAGCGGCAAGCTGACCGGACGATCACAAGAATGCTAAATAAATTGAGCATAAAACCAACTATTGAGAAAAAAAGAAAAGTTACAATCAAAAAACGAAGCGAGAAACCTATGGGAGTTACATTAAAGATGGATGTAGATCTAAAGCACGAAGATTCTGCCAATTAGTATAAGTAGAGCATGAAAGGAGCGGGAGGGATCTGCAACAGGTCTCAATACAACGGCCAGAAGTTAGCTTGTGATCGGGCATCACGATATATAGGCTAAGATCAGAGTTGAGATGCTCTAAATACCGTTTCTTATCTTTTACCTTTATCATTCGAATCAAGAATTTGTGATTGTAGTGAGGAGAATTATAGTTATGCCCTTAATTAGAGTTAGAGACAGAGGAAGATTGCGTGGTCGCGCGGGTTTGAGTCGAGCTCAATTGTGTGATTGATAGGTATAAACTGAAGACAACTATTCTTCTTTAAAAAAGAGTCTTCTTCCATGATATTTGCGTAATAGTTTATTAGTATCAGCTCAAACATCTCGTTTGCTTTGATGTGGGAGTATGTCTGGGATATGAGAGGAGTTGATATTTCGAGACCCCGAAGGGATTATATATTGTGAGGGTGTTGGATGTGTATCAAATATCACATAGCACTCACGCCTGGCCTAGTGGGTTGCTTTGATGATTGTGGGTTGATGGATATAGTGGGTCCGGGGTTAGCCAGGAAAGTCTCCAAAGAGAGGGTTTGAATCCCTCAAACTTACCAGCGACTGTAGATCAGATAATGCGCGCCCGGGAGTTGGTAATCGGAGCTTAAAAGTTAACAGCTTTTTTGTGTCCTTTTTTTATTGGCTATTTGAAAAAAATTGGTGAGCATCACAACCATTGTTTGTCGTTCAAAGATAAATGACAGATTCAATACTCTAATATATACGAGTGATTTTCATTTCTATCCATGTTTGCAGGATAATGTTTTGTTGTGATATCACAATGTTGTCCTTACTTATTTTATCAGTAGGTAAAGTAAAAACGAACAGAAACCCCTCAAAGTGGAAACGTACGCCTGTGTGAGCCTGCATTTGCCCTTTTAAGGGCGTAGACTTATCTGTCGCCTAGTGAAAAACTTATTCGACATTCAAACCAATTAGGCAGACCTACCGCTTTGTCTGAGCTTCTGACTGCGCCAAACCAAATGACCACACATTCTTGCTGTATACGGACAGAAAGAAGGAAGAAGCCTGCCGTGAACATGCAAAGCGGCTGTATTGATGTCCGTTTAACATTGGCCTCAAACGGGTAAGCGAATGCAAGGTGTGGATCCGATGACTAATCCAAGCGCTCATCATCGTAGAAAAAAGCACACAAAATAAGAGATAGAGAGACATGCAAGCTTCAAGGAGTGTAAAGAAAGGTAGTATTCTAAGTTGCTGAGTTAGTTTATCACCAACTGATGAGATGATCCACCGTCCGAATGCCCAAATTGGAAATTCAAGTCATGCGTCTGATTGGTAGCATTTCTTACCCATATACTGGGCAGTATTTGAACAGTGTCTTTTTTAACATTAGAGGAATATGAAAGAAATAATTTCTATCATACTTTCTAAGTTATCTCTATAGAGGAGTGGAGTTGCGAGTTTAATAACGTAATTGCTCAATGCAATTACTCTCGAACCAATAAAAGCATAATGATTAACATCGTAATTTCCTCTGTCTACATTGAACACCGCCTTCTCTTATTAAAAACTTGTTAGAGAAGTCAAATTTCGCTATATCGACTTGTTAAATCGGACTAATCTTGGTAAGACTTCAAGATCCACACAATAAGGACTTTCTGATGTTGACGAATGTTGACTTATTACCCAAAGCTCTCTGATAGCAAGTTCTGTTCTACTTCGTTGGATCATTTTTCGTTGAAATAATGAGGCTAAATCATTTTCTATCAAACTGATATTGACAAATTTGATTTGTATCTGGTATCTGGATATCTCATTATTCACCCTAATAGACTAAAAACACACTTCAAGTGTCCAAGGGTAACATGATACCCAAGGCGACTTTAGTGTAAAAGTTTGTATAATTACCCATTACTCTTCATAAATTCAAAGCTTCCCATGGTTGGGCTATGATTTGGAGTATTGAAAGCCTTGTTTATGTTAAATTGTGCGAATGTCACGGGTACAAATGTATTCACTATATGCATCTCCAATCTAATGCGATTAATTTGCCGATTGCACATTGGAGCTGTCGTCTAATCAATTAATATTTGACGCTTTCATTGGAAAGCATAGAAGAAAAATGACTTAGTCATCAGCGACTTGTGAGATATCGATGTCAACAAGCATTCGTGAATAGTTCGAAGTTTTTCGGCATCGTTTCAGTCCCGATACAACATCCTCTCTCGAAAATTCAAACGATTATAAGCAAATCGAAATGGTGTATATTAATAAGAAATTGAAGAAGGCAAAGCCGAACTATACTGCGGCTCATAGAGGTCACATGCGTGCTTTGGAGCATGAACGACGTGCTTCCGCCAAGAAAATCATCCGCGCCAACATCAGGGCTGATATGATTTTTGCTGCTGAACAGCGTAAGTTATATGGCTTCTCTATTGATTGGAATGACTTAATATGAATCTAAGTACAATTGAACTGATTTAATACATGTTAGATGCAAGGGCACTTCTTCCCGTCCAGCCTACCTCGCCGAAGAGTACGTCAGGTCCAAATTAATAGATACATTGCTTAACAGCATTGTTCATAATTATGCATAGCCATATATCTATTGACAAACATGCGTCTTAGGGTCCAAGAACGAGAAGAAAAGACGTGCGGCGGCAGCTACTGCTACCAAGCAGAGACGTCATGATCGCAGAGCTGCTGCAGCGATAGCTAAAAAAAGAAGCAGAAGAGAGGGCTGAGGCAAAAGAAAAAGCCGAAGCAAATGAAGTTGCGAGCCTCGCTCGGCAGTTTTGGGAGTTGCGATTAGCAGGGCGGGAGTTTGAGGGCGGCGAGAATGATAACGAGGATGACTACGATGACGAAGAAGATGAAGAAGAAGTGAAGAGCAAGTTTTCGGGTTGGTTTGGGCTGTCTCGGAAAGATGACGATGCGGATGAATCTGGTGGTAGAAGTGGCAGTTGTGGAGGCGAGGCGGGAATGAGTGGAAATGATCACGTGTGGGTCGAGGCTTTGATGTGGTGATTGGATTTGGGTGATTTTTGTTCTAGAATGAATGAAAAATCAAGGTCTGGCGTTTAGAGGCCTGTAGGAGGGTGTTATGCGGAGTCTCAGGCTCTTTGGGCATTCCAGGCGTTAACGCATACGACTTCTTTTTGTATTTCAATAGAGTGGCTAGTTTCTGATTGTCGACTGATTTTACACGGAGCTGAACGAATGTATCAGTTACGAGTCATTCTCCTTGACCACCATTAACTATAGGGCTTGATTCGGAATGGTGAATCTCTCAAGTGATTTGGTATCATTTTCTCCCACAACTCAGGCCCATTGCCTACATTACCAACTTGCAGATGAGTAGCAATTCTACCTGGAATTTCAACATCTATATGGCTACGTTGCTAGACAAGTAGTAGTGATAGCCTACATAATATGTTTGAATTAATTTTCTTAAGTGAATCATAACCATATCTATCAATCCAAATACCTGCTGAGCTGAACCTTTTCTATCACGTCTATGTAATAATTGAAATGAAAAAGAGAGCACCACTTCCATCCATTTTTGCGCATCATCCGATATTACCATCACGAGCATCAAAAATTTCCAATAATTGGCCTCGGGATTATATCATAATGGCCCGCCAATGTTGGCAGAGGCCAAGTCGAAAGATAAGGGTCAATTTCAGGCCTTGAAAGATTCGGGGAGCCACTCCGGGTGAGTGACATGGTATGCATGCGTGTTTGTTGTCACTAACTCCATAATTCAGATTGCATCAGACTAATTGCATGCCATACGCAGAACAACCTATAAATGATGATACGAAGATTCAAAGTCCTGTGTCTTTAGGGCCAGAGGAATGTATGATACTCTGGGGCAGAATACAGGGCCGTTTACGAAGGTATTAACATAGCTAACCATTCGTTTTTATCTGCTGAAAAGTGTGCAGCAACTCCCACCACAGCATCAGCCTCGCGTCCCAATTAAAAGAAGAATGTCAAGATGAAAACTAAACCACTTCGAATGGGTATGTTCCTTACGCAATTGCCTCCCGATCATTTCTCTGAAGATCCCAAACATAATATTATTTACAGCAGAAGAACTGGAGAAGCAGGAAAAACATAAAAAATAGCGTTAGGTGGCGTATCTAAAGCGCCGTAACGCTCGTCGAAAGCGGGGTACATGATTAGCCCTATCAGAGCAGGAACTTGAGTAGGGTTTGTGTAGGACGATAAAGTTAGAGGCAGCGAGAATGCCAATGATATTGACGGTGAAGACGGGATGGATATTGAGAAGATATTTTAAAACATGCATTTAGATAGGGGACAGGATGAGGACGACGATGACTGGGAATTGTGGATATGGGAAAGGGAAATTGAATGGAAGTGGTTGATACAACTAGCGACTAGCGTAGGGAATTATGGTCGCTGCTGTTCGAACTCATGGATCTGCATAACGAGATTGTTTATTCTTTTGATTACACTACATCTTTTGACAGGATCACACACACCATCAACCTTTCACAACGGCGGCGCGTTAGGATCTTCCAAACATTGATCCACCCTCATCAACTGCTTCCCCGTTTTCTTCGCGATGTCAATAAATTGTGGCAGATAGTTGACAGTCGACTCGTACAAATAATGCATCACCACTAAGTTCCCTCCCTTGTCCACGTCACTTTGGAAATTCGTAAGCTGATTCTGAGGTGTATCACTCAGGGCCCATAACCAATCCTGTACATCAACCGACCATTCGACGAATTTAGAACCCGGAATGAGCGCAGCGAGGCGTTGACGAACACGCGCGCCTTCTGTACCGAAGGGAGGGCGGAAATAGGTTGATGTATGACCGGAGAGAGCGGTCGATACGGCGGAAATATCGTTGTTGAGTTCCCAGTCTATGGATGCGAGATTTGGCAGGCCTTCCATAGGGGGATGCGTGTAGGAATGATATGCTACTTGATGACCGAGACTTAACATGTTGGAATAGACTGTTGAGAGATTCGTAGATGGGTCGAGGAGAGCTGCACCAACGGTGAAAAATGTTACGTGGATACCTGCTGCTGCGACGGAAGAAACGACTCTTTGGGCGAGTTTTGGATCACCGTCATCGATTGCGAAGGCGAACGAGTTGGGACGTGTGCAGGAGAATATGAGAGGTGCTGTTGGTAGTTTGGATGGAACTAGGAACCCAGATGGAACGGAATTGACGATTTCCATCTTCGAGATGACTGTATCATCAGAGGTATAGAAACCTTTTAACGCAAAACCGACGCTAAGTTTGCGGTCGATCTCGAAGTGGGAGATTGGTACATAGATGTCAGTCTTCGCTGAGTTGGAGTATCTCGAGGCTTCCACAGAATCCCATGTGAACGGGAATGGGCTGAGATTGGGGTTGCAAGTGGGATTATGTTGCTGAAGAGCAATGGTAAAGGCATTGCTTCCGGTAAAGGTGATATGAAGATAACCTTTGTCGTTTGGAGTAAAGTCGAGACATCCATTAGAAACTTGAGTGTACCAACCAAGGTCAGAATTACCCTTAGTATTGATAGTAAGTTTGTTTCCAGATTGTTTGTAGGTTGCGGTCTCATCTCCACCATGATAGAAGCCAAGGTTGTTAGAGTCTGCATTTCCGAATGTATCAATAACATATGCTGAAGGTCCTGTGGTTGCCGGAATGGTTGAAGATGGCTCAACGACCGGTACAGTAGTGGGAACTGGATAAGCGCTTCCTGTGTTACCACAATAGAAGGACATTGGGCCGAGAGTAATTGGCTTGCTGATTCCAGAAAATAGAACAGAAATCAAATGATCAGTGTCGAGGCCCGGAAATTTGGAGAAGGGAACGGTATAGAACTTCTCAGTTCCGTCAAAACTCCACCCCAGATCCGCAGACGAGACGTCTATCAATGTGGGGTTACCAGAATCACAAGTCTTCGAAGTCTGCAGCTCGATACCCAATGTGGTCCCTTTTGCGGCCTTGATAGTTAATCCAATCCCGCCATATACATTGGTTGCTTTTAAACAGCCAAACATGGTATACCAGTAAGACGATCCATCAGCGCGAGATGTTAAAGTAAGATGATTATTAGCCACAATGACCGAAGTTGCGGTATCCGCTCTTTCTGCCACTGGTGACATACTACCATCATCGGAAGACGGCTGCAGCATAGCATTGTAGAACAAGAAAGTCAAACGAGATTGAGATGCAAAGTCATCAATCAACAAGTTCGTACAAACTCCTGCTGGAGCAGAAGCACTGACGCTACTAGTCAGAACTTTCGAGGTAACACTTGGAGTGACTGTGCTCAAAGTGGTAGCTAAGGTATTTGAAACAGTCGAAGAACTACTCGTCACAACAGCGCCTTTGGTGGATATCGTACTAGAAGTCGGGATTGAACTTGATGAACCTCCGGCACCACCAGCACAAACAAAGTTCGTCTGGCCGATCTCCCAAGCACCTTTGACACTGAAAGATTCCCACAGAAGCCCAGAAATTGCATCTAAATTGGCTCCAGAGAAAGCACTCAATTGTACCGTGATAGTTTGGGTAGCTCCGGTCATTCCAGAAATAGTGGTGTAGTAGCTTTTATACGTACTTGTTGTACATGAACTCTTAGTCTGTAGCTCTAGATTGAATGAAGAGCCGGCAGGCCCTTTGACTGGAAATGTTATTGCATTGTACTGTTCCGTTTTCGCTTTCACGCAATCGAAAGTGGTGTAGAAGTAACTGTTGGCCTTGCTGGTGAATGTGAGTTTCTTGTTTGCAGTATCGGCTTTTAAACTCGTGGTTGTACCGTCGTCTGCATCGGTTGTTAGAGCCGTCCTCACAGACTTGGAGGGGTGACTTACCACTTGTCCATTGTCCAAGAGAATTAGTATGACTGGAGAACTTTGCATAATTATCAATTAATAGATTACTTGAGCAGGCAGCTTTCACAACCGTAGCGCAAGACACCACACCCAATACTAGATCACCCAATGATAATTTCATTTTGCCGACGGGCGAATTCAAATCAACGCGAGCTTCAAATTTAGATGACGACACAGAAAAAACAGTAACTTCAAAAAAGAAAGGACGCCGACAACGATTAAACGTGTCGAGCTATGGAACGCTTATATACAAATGAATGATAAAAGCCGAAAGACAGAGTGGTTTGATCTGAGGAAAACATGCAACTACTTAACAGTTTTCCATTTTCACGGTGGCACGTCAAATCTGCACATATCCTTGGCCTGCATGCAATATATTCGCAAGTATCCAGAATTCGTCGCTCGGGCCTGGTGATCTTTATATCATCATTACATCTGATCTTTGCACCTGATAAATTACCCCAAGAAATCCAAGACATGAAAAGAAAGTCCAATCCACCTGCATGAAGAAGAAAGAAAATCTTTCACCAGTCAACATCTTACGCACCAACCGAATTGAGTCTGGGTTTCCAGGTACCACATCTTGGCATCTCGTATGGTGGCTTGCGACCCACTTTTTGAATGCTGATCGTTTCGGGTCTTTGACGCCCCAACGGATCGATGCATAAGGCACAGATTCTCGGCTGAGAGATGCACGAATCATAGGGTGAAGAAAGAGGGATCACTCGGATTCGGTGGGCGAGGTTAAATTTAGACTTATTCTGACTTGGTATTATTTTCAGTCGGAGTGCGATTTGTATAATATATATGGCGTTTCCCCTGATTCAGTTTCATCGCTAATCGAAGTGATATCAACTGCCTAGAGATGATAACGGAAGGTATATGAGTCTGAAACATCTAAGATGCTTATCTTGCAGTAGCGCCAACAAAACAAAGGGTCACTTAGTAAGTAATGTTTTGACAAATCTAATCTACGGGTAGATAGAATAGGGGTAATGCTAGTTGAAGTCAAATGAAATATCTACGACATCTCACGGAATAGCACGGGCTACAACGAACGCCTCCGCCAGCAAGATACAGAGACTGAATATATTGCCTTGAAGATGGAGAAAGCCAATGATATCCTTTGTCACTGATAGGATAGCACATCTACTTCAATGTTTTACGGGTAGAATCGAGTCGAAGTCTAAAATCTGAGTCTAGAAACCTCACAGATTATCTAGCTTCTACCTAAATCTTGAGACGAGAAACGAACTCAGAAAAACCCCCAAACCCTTCCCAATTCATCCCATCTCCATTCCTACCAGTCTTCCCCAGCTTTTCCTTCATTGTTTCTGAAACCACCCTCCACACTTGTTCTCATCTTCAACGTTTATCTAGGTTGTTTTTTCTTCGGTTTGAATCCATCTGTTGATATTGTCAGTCTGGTTTGGTTTAATTTCTGTGTTCGCACTAAACATAACATACAATTTTTGCTTTGCTTTTGAATCGGAGTACTCTTATTCTTGCCCAATGCATGTTCATTTACTCGCCCGGCGACTTTCCTTCTGGATCTTCTTGATCATACTTCTCGCTGCCATCACAATCTCTGAGCTGCACATCGCATAGTAATCTGGATCCCTTCTAAATCAACATTTCATCTCTTCTCTGTTCTTGCATTTTTCATCCAGCCCTTCTTTCACCCTGAGCAAACATAATGTTCTTGCTTTTCTCACCCAGCATTCTGATTGTTTGCGCGCGTTGTTACTTTGATTGATAATTACCCAGTGGTCGTAATTCTGACGTCCGGTAGGGAAGTTTGGGACGCAGACGTGCTATCAAGAGAACTACCATACCAGGATGGAAATGAAAACTGAAGTCTCATGTAGAGAAGCCACAAGACGTGGACATAGAATGTGCACCTAGTATTGTGTATGGCACTTGCCAGAATGTGTTTGAAGAGACGAAATGGTACGCACGAACATCCCCCGCAATGACAGGTACAGCTGTCTCCATATTCACTTCCACGGCGCGTTGTTTACATATCAAAACAAGACCTCCAACAATTGTACCAAGACTGGCATACGTTTTGGCGCAGTGGTCTTGGTACTCAACTATTGATAAGTATTGCCCCAACCACGTTTAATGAATTTGCTTACCTTACACTGGTTTCGGTGTTATAAACCGCGCGATGAAGAGTCCCGTCTTCTAGGAGCAATCCTAGAAGTCAGGAGGGCCTGTTTCAACCGTTCTCCGAAACCAATTTAGTACCATACATATATCACATGATTCTTGAACATCTGTTCAAATTTGGTTCACGGTTTAATTCCGTGATCATATGGTTCAATTCCATGATGATTGATAGTCTTCGGACATCAACAAACAATCTTTGGAAACCCACCATCTTCTTAAGAAGAACCCTTTTTTTTACAACTTCTTTTCTTTGAACTATCCATAGCGTATGCACAATAAAGTAAAAGGATTGTAGCAAGAATAGTTCTCTATATATATTTTGGGTGAGAATGTTGTTTCTTTAGGTATCCACATTGGAAGCAAGTTTGCTCTGTTTGCTCGATCATCAGCCCTGGGAAACTTGAGAGTGAACATTGGAGATTCATGAAGGAAGAAATTGAAGTCAAGAGCCTCGTACATATATGATTTTTTTCCATCATTATTATGCATGTAACCTCATTGATGCAGGAGATTTCTTGTTGGCCGCTCATGGATACATATGGCAAAGAGTAACACTTATTTGAAGGTTCCACTCTTACAAGTTCGCTAGTACTTGATATCCGATCCTGCAATCAATACAGAGTGTGAAAATGATCTAAATATGTACACTAAAATATTAACCACGGAGGCCACGTTGATTAGATCCGGACAGATAGTTGGGGCTCGATATTACCGACCCCCAGCTTTGGAAAGACAGTGAGAAGACCAATACAGTAATAGTTGAGAGATAACACCAAAAATATTCGATTTCAAAAAGTATTCGGGCATCATGTCCGAAAAATGATGGGCCTAGATGAGGGTTTGATGTTCGCTTTCGTACAATAACGGAATGAGTTTGAGTAACTTACAACATACAAATACCAAACTCACCACTTCACATCTGAAGCCTGGTAAACTACTTCATGCTTGAGTGAATTTTGAGTAGTCCGTAATCATACAATGCTACATTCTGTGGCTTGAGGTTCATGAAGAGCCCCATCTGCGTAACCGTGTTATCTAAGATGACAAATTCTCGAAAATAACATGTCATCGATAGACCTTGACTTACATATAGTTTTCGTTATAAAGAGTACCTATTTAGTGGCGTTGTTTCGAAACTCCGGCAAAGTAGTAAGCAAAAAGGAGTGGTCTTGATTCTCTGGATTTGTATCACAAATATCTTAGTCCTCGAGCTCTTTGTCCCGTTTAAACGATGCGCTTATTTCTTTCCCGATGATTCTGATTTCCTCCCGTTCTATCTAACATTTTCATCATAAACGCAGGGTTTTATCCTAGTGAGTGTGTACCTGGTAAGTACCACTCTCGACACTGACGGTGTGCGCGAAGTGGGCTGTTTACACTGCTTTAAGAATGAATTCTACTGAGTGGCAGACGATCGAGGAGAAGCTTTTAGCAACTGCCGGTGAGACATTTGTCCCTCCGTTCTGTATCAATTGCTATCAGTCAGACTTTCTTCAATTTTACTATGCCGCGAAAGGTTCTGAGTACTAGATGCAGATATCAAAAAATGCAGTGTCTTGATGTCACATTTGTAAGCATGATCGAGAAAATAAATTCATTTTCTATCAAAAAATGTCCGTGAGCAAACAAATCCAATTATCATGGTCGTCCTTCCTTCATATTTACCCCCAAAGCAGCCCACTCGTTTCCATCACTGTCATAAATATCCGAGTCATATCTTACGTCTGGCATCTCCTCGTCATCATCATCCTCCATATCTTCTATTCCTTCATCATCGTCTTTCATATCCTCTTCCTCTTCATCATCACTACCAAGAAGCTCCTCTCCAAGAACCTCTGAAGGCCAATTTCCGACTATATCAGCAGCTACAGAACCACCAAGATTGTGACTAAGGCCAAGTGCAGCCAAAGGAACGCCAGTAAGATCTCGAAATACAATACGGCGAGACAAGCGTTCCTTCTGGCTCGGAACTCGACTTCTTCTGTGATGACGACCACCGGTACGTCTTGCTGCGACGGCAGCGATTCTAGCAGCGAAGGGTTGTTGAGATGTAGCATGCGATCGAGAGGCATTATCGGCTGGTGGAGCTTGATTGGTTGAGGGAGTGGCAAAGCTAACAACAGCAACACTAGCGTCGAGAGTTGATGGGGAAGCATTGGGGGCGGTAACTACTTTAAAAATGCAGTTAGCATATTGTGTCAATTAGGAAGTTTAGCGAGTCAAGAAGCGAGTATTAAAGAGACCCAGATGTACCTCATGGACGAAAGACCAGTTGTTGCTGAGCCGATAAGTCGGCAGTGGTAACACCGAAAGACGAACCCGCTGCAGAAGAAGAAGAGTCTTGAGCTAGAGCTGCGAAATCTATTAGCACTTCTTTCATTATCTGATTAAACTGCCAAGGAACGAACTCTGAAGCTTTGAAATGGTATTGGGCTCACAAATACCAGCTCGAGCCGCACGTCTCTCTTCTCTGATAACATTATTTCCCTTTGCGCCTTTCGCAGCGCGAAGCTGCTGCTGCCGTTCTTTCCCGGGATAGCCCATGATTCTATCGCGTTGTATTGTAAGCTTTGTGTGGAATTCGGGGGTGTGGAATGGCAAAGCGGTGGTTTTTGATGAGGTTTTAGGAGGTAAGAATTCGCATCGCGGAAAGGAACGTGAACTTCGACATATAGGACGCTGTACCGAAAAGAATTCACTAGATCAACAGATCTCGTCACGTCAGTCAGAACGCGTGGATTTATTTTTGGCGCGCCTGTTAAACAATGTTGTTTATTGGTCTTTCGGGAATTCCTATCAAAGCTTGTGATAATAAGATGACATTGGCTCAAGTAGCAACAAAGGTTATGCAATCTTGTTATTATGTCACACTTTATACTAGAGGACAATATATTTGGAACCGAATGGACAAAAATCCAGAATCTAGTGATTATCTGGTAGTTATTCTCTCTAACAATTAGTTTTGGAGGAATAATGAGGGTTCTCTCTTACCCATAGAGAGATTCTGATCGTATGCTATATGCTTCAGAGAAGAGAGCAGAAGTAAGCATCACGTTGTGATCTAAGGAGACCTGAGTAAGACGGATCCCAACCGAGAGTATTAGTGGTATATACCAAGAGAACATTGATATATGTGTCGAAGATAGGCTGATAGTCTTATTTCACAGACTAATTCAAGAAAAAAAGCAGAGAGAATTCTCCAGGCTTGTCTCTATACCTTCATAGACGATTCAAGTAGATTTTGCGTAACAGATGTATAGTCTAGATATTCCATTATCGATTGTTTGGTGGATAAGAACTAGATGATGGCTATCGATACAAGGATAATGGCAACTCTCAACCTTGTCCTCTTTATAATCTGGTTCCTTACCTCTCTTACAGTGACCTCAAATCCGCTTGTCTGGACACCTACAAGGACGCCATTATGCTTGTTTCTCTGTGCTTTATGATTTATTGCCGCGTCATCCGGAAAAAGCAGGCTTAAAACCTGATTTTTCTCTTCTAAGGTCATATTTCAGCTCAACAACTGCCAATTCTGCTAGAGCTAGAGTGTCGAACGCTCTCAATCTCGCTAAGTAATTAATAAGGATTGGTGGTGAGTAATCCGATCAAAACGTTATGCAACACGCATTTAACTAATTTCCTATAAATCTTTCTATCTATTATCCTTCTCTCCTCAGCCTGAATATCTCTAGATCTACAAGTTTGTCCTATATTCCAAGATGTTGCGCCGTGGAATTAGACTGATTAGTCATCGGGTCCCACTTTATATTCGCTTAATGGTTTGGGCGAGAACTCTTCCAGCTCACTATCAAATCACTGGCACAGAACAGTACTGCTATCCCAACGATAAATTCGCATAATAACAAGAGCTAGAAGCAATGATCTCGCTGTGTGGGAGCGCCAGGCGGAGAAGCGTAGAGAAAAAAGAAGAAAGAATAAACAAAGAAAAAACGGTGAGTCTTAAAGAGTGAAAAGAAATATGAAGGAGAAATAGCTAATTAGATGGCCTATTAGCTAAGAGGATACAAGCTTTGCAGTCAGACACGAATGAAGATACGGAAATGCATGATGAAACGGGTGGTACTAGTACCAGCAGGCATCCAGCTGCTGCTTCCATGCCTCCCAAGAAATGTAGGTTTCCTACACAGATTTGCATGTTAAGCTAACCTCCACCTAATCTAGCACGGAGCGAATCAAAAATAGTTAATAAAAGGGAGGGAGTTAGAGAACGCATGAAGAGGAGAACAGTAACTTTAAAAGATGCAACGGCGCAGGAAAAAGCGGCTAGGAAAGCTATCTGGAAGGATTACGTGGCGAACCAGAAGAAGAAAGCCAGGGATAGGAAAAATAATGGCGATATCGGAGGTGAGATTGAACAGCAAGGGGAGGGAGATTTGAGCGTTGGTTCAAGGGAAAGCATGAGTGGTGCGAAGGATGTCAATGAGGCAGCTGGAGAGAATAGGGATGGAATGAATTCGGGAGTTGGGTTGATGTTTGCTGGACTCGCTTTCCGCCCAAAAGTCTAAGATGTCGACAATCCCCATATGTTATTTGTGTGTTCACGGTCGTGCCAGTAGAAAGCGAATCAGCACTTCCTCCGGAAACACTACGATCTCCACGAAAAGGCGTGGGAGGTCAAAGTAGCCAAGCAATTCGAGAAAGAACATATTATCGACGAAGTTACATTTTTATTTGCTGTACCTATGGCGACCTCTACTGAATTGAAACGTTTCTAGAAGTATTGTTTTAGAGGTGACGATGAGGTAATTTTGCAGCGCGTACCTAGATGCCCCACTTTCTCACATACTCCCCTGGATCAAAAAGCTTCTATTAATTACATGTCATTGACTTACCTCGATGGCGACGAAAGTGAGCTTCAGATTGATGACCAGCTAGATTGGACTTAATGATAACCTTTTAGCACTGTCTTCAAAAAATGTCATACGTCATTGCATTGTACACGCATCAAAGCCTAACCAAAAAATACAGTTTCACATTCACACCATCCTCTATCCTGTGACTTTAGGATTATCGGTCAAGATGACTGAATCGGAAGGTAATCTGTGATTGAGGTTCTTTGGAGAGGCTGAATACTAAATCTGAGCGTGCCCACATGGATAGACAAACAATCTATAGAGAACTGATCTGAATGATGCAGATTGCTTATTAAATTCCTCAAGGATGAAATGAGTTGAACAAACAGCATTTCATAAGTCCTGCTTCCTGCGACTTTATCGACATCTCTAGCATCCGTCCTATTCTCGCAACTCTAGTGTTCCTGTGCCTTTCTTTCCGTATTCTTATGTGTCCTAAATGTCTCTTCTTGTCTGCCACCCGTATCATTCGTATTTAGGATCTGCAGGCGCAGTTATTAGAGTCATAGTCTTGTTCTTCCTTGAGGCTAGAGATGGAGGAGATGTACGTGGTCGCGCTGGATTTGAGTCGAGTTCAAATGAATGACTGACGGGCATTAGTCGAAGGCGCCAGTTCTTTGAGAATTTGTTCCTACGAAATCTGCAGATATCTCAATTAGTATTACTTCAAACATTGTGTTTGTATGGATATATGGAAACATATTGAGCACAGATGGAAATGTTGTTCCAAGATCGAATGTCTTACCTACTCATTTCTAAGCTTGAATCATTTTCTGTATCTTGCGATTTCCATACTATCTTGAGTTGAGATACCATAAGGCTCAGGAGTTATGAGGTGCATGGATTTGCAATAATGGTGCTATTAATTGAATGTCAATCTTTTAAGGGGAAAGATAGTTCTGTTGAGATAGCTACGTGGGCGTGGGGATCAACATATTCACTGAACGATGTGACTTGATTCTTCGATTAGAGATAGAATCGACCCGAACAGGACCAAGAAACAAGTTTGTTTTTCTTGTAGTCTTTCAAAAAGCTTGTGATTTCCCTGCAAATTCGCGACAACGAAAAATCTTCAACTTTAACATCCAATCCATTAATTTCCCCAATCTATTATCGAAATCATGACTGCTTGCATAGATAAGAGAGAAAAGAGAGGCAAAATATCGCACCGCGATGCTCCTACTGTTGAATCGCAACATCCAGAGGAGTCCAGAAAGAGTAAGTTCTTTCGCTTTCGATACGTTCTTTTTAGGTATTGTCCATTAGTGTGGCTGGCTAACAAATCATTCCAACGTAGAGAAGAATAAGACAGAATATAAGGAGTTCTGCATTTCTAGTCGTCACTCCACGCATCTACTAATCTTGTCAGAAGGCATCCTTAGCCATGTTGTAGTTGTTGCCGCTGCGTACTATATCCATCGTCGCTCATCTGCTGATACGATCTCACAAATAGGGAAGATTTCCAAGAATATTGCGGCTCGATCCGCTATTGCTGCGAAACTGCGTTAGGAACATCGTAATCAGCGCCGGCTTGCAAAATGTGCAGCCTTGAATTCGAATGGTGCGCAAGCTGGTGGTGACATTGATACGAAGCAGGAGAGAGAGGAGGAAGATGAAGATCCGAGCAAGAATTTTGATGAGGAGGCGGACATGCTGGAGGATATGATTAGGGATAAGGAAAGAAACCAGAATAACTGGGGAGGAGGGCGTGAAGCTGGAGGTACCTGGGAAATTCCTATTCGGTAGATCTGCTTTCTGCAAATATTGTGCTTTGCTATCACCAAATTGATTCATAAGGATTCATGAGCCAATTTTAATGTTTGGGATTGCACCCTATGATTGCCAGTTTCGGACCTTTAAACACACAGATTGGATGTTGCCTCTGCCGCCTGTTATGTTGAAGCGATTGATATGAATGATTCAAGCAGAGGTGTGTAGACCGACGAATACGAAAAAGATGTATAACTAATATTTTATGAAGTCTTTGGGCTGATGGGAGGGGAACCTCACAGTGCATTTTTCATAGCTGAATATAATAAAATACGCTAACATCAGAAGGAACCATTATTGCTGATTTCTTCATATCCGTCAAGGGTGATTATTTGAATTCTTAACCCAAGATACCCAGCTAGTAATGGCGAGTGTCTATTGACCCTGCGTCGACAAACTATGCAAACAAACCCTCAAAAAAGTCAAAAAATATCGTTACGGCCCACTAAGAAGTATCTCAGGAACGTCTGACCAGCGTCAAGGCACACAAATACGGACTTCATTTCGTAGATGTGGCATCTGTCAGCGGTCGCTTTGGTAGAATTAAATATACTACGCGGTGGGCTGACGCCCACCAATCCAAAGATGGCTCCTTCAGAAAACAGGCGTGAGCCTGTTTTCTGTATCCCCAGAACAGGTATAATCACGTATGCTACCACTACACTAGGTCTTCGACCGCGATTATTTCGTTTGTTATGGGTTAGCTAAAGGATTGGATATAAGTATTTGTTAATTAAGCGAGATTGGGAAACCTTTGCTGGTGGTAGATAGGTAGGTATATTCATGGTTCACCCCCAGCTTCTGTATGCGCTTGGGTGAAGAAATAACTTCGGAAAATGACTATGGTATCATACTGTGGAAGAAATATCTGGCTGGCTGGAGGTAGTTCATAGGTATCGATGGCAAGTCAACGTAGATGAGTTTTAGGCACACATGTCCCAATAGTACGAGAATCTATTTGAAGAAGCTAGAGCAGATTACGAGAGAAATCATCCTTAGCCAAGTGACAAACATAGGCGCATCGCTCCATACTGTCGGTGGTCGAATAAAAGTAGCGCTGGAAGTAGTTCTAATCGATTGGCGATGAGGTGACATTACCTTTTGAATTTTAAGTTTAGACAGAACCCCACCTGCTTACTCAGAACTAAATATGTTGCGCGTAAGATTCAACGAGGACAACATCTTTCAAAAAGGGCTGAGCAGATAGTGAGTGTTTATCCAATTAACTTCTGATATCGTGAGACTATAATCGCAAGAGACCAGCCGCCAAACGAAAGATTGGAAATAGTAACAGAATCAAACAAGATGCCTGCAAATCGAGTCCCGGCTTTATTTTGAGGAATGCTTTGGCTGATTACGATATCCTACTTGAATACACAGCAACGCTTATTTTCCCCCATAGAAGATGGACAAAAGAAGAAGCTTCTCAGATCCTTACTTACATACAAACTGCCAGGAGCTTCTCTTCTTTCCCCTAATCACATTGTTGAGCTTGTGTCTCTATCTGCTTTTGTTATAGTCCAAAGACTTCTCGATTCTACACTCAATATATTTCCCACACCAACAGCTGCAGAGGTTGCGCCTTACTTGGATCTGCGACGACAGTGCAAGTTGTTGAAGACGCGCGCGACCTCTGCTATGTGTGTTGTTACAAAATTGAGCGCAGCTTAGCAGCAATAGTCAAAGATTTTCGTTTTCGGCAGCTCGATTGTTCTAATAGGGAGCCTAGTGTGCGCAGATAGTTAGCAATTTTTTCAGTTCTATTCTTTGTGTGGTTTTGGGAGCTTTGGAGGGAGGCTGAGTGGCATATTGAGTGGAAGAAAGGTCCTGCTTTCTATGGTATCATGTTTTCTGTTCAGATGAACCTGCGATGACGAATATCATACCAGCAGTGTTGATAAAGCTCAGGTGAAAGATCATGAAAATGTAGAACCAGAGAAGGGTAGCTTTTTACTCTTTTCTCGTGGTCATTGGTGGCTCGTGATTAATTCTACAAGAACCAATGTTGGCAAAATCCCACCGTGTATTTGGCGCATGTCAGTCTCGAGGTATAGCGCAAGCGATAATCAAAGAAATCCGCGGATAATAACAACAAGGGTTATCAAAACACATGAGAAGTACATGAGATACCCAAAGTACTAAGCCGCGTCTCTTGCGCAACAGATTAGATTAGACAATACTCCATTGAAGCTATCGTCTAATGTAGGCAAGCGAGATATGAATATCGGTTGTAAACAAACCAATAATAAAAAATCCACGCGACTTGCAACCAAGCACTTCCTCTCCACGCACTCTCGTTACATCGAATTTGCAGCGTTGAATTCAATTTCGATATCCACTCCCTCTCGTCATTCACTAGTAATCCATTCGATCATGCCTCCAAAGAAAGAACCACAGTCTAAGCCCAAGCCTAATAGGGCAAATAACGAATTGAGAGCCGAGAGAAAGAGATTAGCTGCAATTGCAGCGCATGCTGCTGCTGTTCGAGCCGAAAGGGGTAAGCCATAAACCTATGCTTTGTACAACTTCCTTGGTAGCATCACGTGCTTTGATGAAGCCATGCAGTTGATGTATCGTTTTTCAACATGAAATGATTGAGAGTTGTTCATAGCTAGATATGTGCATAGTTGGACATGTTCATATCTATGAATGTCTCCGATTAACCTATGATTGTCATGATGGGCTTGAGAACTCCCACTGCTATACTTCTTATACTAACGAATGCTACTTTGACAGAGCAAGAAAGGTTGAGGATGCAAGAGGGAGAGGTAGAAGAAGAGGAAAGACTTGGTGCTTCGGCACAAAACCCTTCTGGTACTGGTGGTTTCTGGGTGGGGGGTGATGAGCACGGTGTTGAGGAGGGAGAAAGAGATCTTGCGGGTGGTTCTGCGGGCATTAGCCCCAGTATATTTTCCGGTTTAACACACAGACCAAAGAACGGTAAGAGGATCAACCATCCTCCAAAATGAAAATGAACCAGGCTAATCATATGAATGGATGCGGCACCCACCCCAGCGCAAATGAAAGAGCAGCGCCAAAAACAAAATGAGCGCCGCAAGGCATACAGAAGAAAGGTTCGGAAGCTTAAGCGCGAGGCGGCAAAGGAAGCCGATGCCAAGATTGTCAAGGGCATGGCGCGTTTGCGCATCGCGGAGCGGATTGCGGCGGGAGAGGATGTCGCTTTTGACGAGGACGAGGATGAAGAAGAGGAAGATAGGATCTGGACTACGGTCCTCGGTAACTGGAGTCTGCCGGATGAGGATGATGAAGATGATGTGTGTGAGGGAACTGGTGGGCTCGGGGGTCCATTCGGGGGAGGCAGCGGTGGTACCGGAGGCCAAGGTGTAAACCAACTCCTTCTCTCCGGAAATTGAATTGCAGTTATTTCGTTAAATGTAAACAAAAGAGCTAATGATTCATATCTCCATCCCTCTCTCCCTCCTCCTCTTCACCTGCTCCCTCCAACCTCCCTTCTTCCTCTTATTCTTCTCCTTCTCTTATTCTCCTCCTCTCCCTCTCCCTTGCCCTCTTCAACCTCATGCGCACCCTATTATTCTCTCTCCTCGCCAACATCTGTCCTTCGCTTCTTACTACATCCATTAATTTTTCATCAGCTCAATACACACATCTCAGGAACGAATCACCATACCTTTGCTACGGGGAGCAGAAACAGCCATGGTATCAAGTTCACCCGTACCGGCACCAGGAACCCCCATCGCGTCATCCATCTCTATGTCTTTGTTTCGTTTTCTCTATTGGTTTTAATTGTTGTTGGGGGTAGGGAGCGCGAGTTTCGTCATTGTGAAAGATGTTTTTGCGAGTGGTTGTAGGGTTGCAGGCTTGTGGTGATCGTAGAAGTGATGGCAAGTTTTATAATCATATCGAATACTCCCGAGGTCATTTGTACGAATGTATTTACCTACCTATATACGCGAAAATAAAGTTCACTCCATCCGCGCGTGAATTTGTGTCATCTTCACAGACTCAATATTTGACCTCCAAATCAACAATTAGAAATTTTCATTCCTACTTTTCAACATTTCCTTTCTCAACATCCAAGAGTGATTTATACATGCAGAGGAACTATGAATCCGCCTTTCCAACCTCTTCTACACTACATATCACAACATACCACACAATCCACCAGACGGTAATCCTCCCCAAAAAAATCACTCCCACCATCGCACAAGACCTTCCACTATTCAAAAATCCCTCAGACAATATAGAAAACCCCTAATACCCATCTCTATTTCCCAGCTCCCAAAAATCTGTTTCACATTATAGCCAGATCTCATCTTCGGAATACGGACAACAGTATCTATCTACCTAACTGCCTAAGATGAATATATCAGCATTTCATAACGACCTTGATAAATAAACTCCTTAATATTTTCAACCCTCATATGCTACTGATGTAAGAACTTCGAGAAACTCTCTTGGATATCAAGTAAATCTCTCCAAACAGCCTTCAGATACCCCAGCGAATAATCCCAAGTAATCAAGATAGGTAGGTATACCTAGTATATCCGCGCTTTCTTCGAAGAACATTCCCAGAAAAAATCGATACTGAAAATGTATACTAAACTCATATAGGAATCTTGGAAAGATTACGGATCAAGTTTCAATAACATATATACCACACTCAGTCTAATATATATCAGCACACTATGCCAACTTAGATATTGCTGACCATCTCCCAACCTATACCTCTCGCATACGGAAAACCTCTGCTGAATCCGAGCCACAATAGCAACATTATCCTCCACCCCCTCTTCTCCACCTCTTCCCCTCCTCCCTCTACCCTGATGAATTGCAGAACCCACAGCCCTACTCGAATACTAGCCTCACGTCATATCATCTCTCGCACCTTGCAAATCACACCTTCAACTTTAAGAACCATATGATATTGAAATTCAACAATCTTCATTCATTCTAGCGTCATATCTATCTAAAATGGTCCAGCCTAATCTACCAATTGTACGCTAAAAATCCATGCAAAAAAGCTGATGATTCAAGAAAAATGAAAAATCTATTGAGGAATACCGGTACCGCGGATAGCATCGACTTGTTCGCTGAGAAGAGCGTTGTTGGATGGAGCGGCGAGAGGTGGTCCTTCGGGGGTGACGTAGGCTTTTGTCATACCGCCGTCGACAACGAAATCCTGTGATTAATGTTAGATAAGCGGGTCTATGTGGCTGGGAGAATGGTAGGGGGGAGGAGTGGAGGGAATTAAGAAAAAGAAAAAGAAACGTACTTGTCCGTTAACAAAGCTACTCTCATCACTAGCCAAGAACAAAACTGCTTGAGCTTGCTCAATAGCCTCTCCGAATCTTCCACTTGGGAAATGAATCTCACGTCTAAGTCTCTTAGGTTGATCATCTCCCAACCAATCTTGAAGAAGAGGAGTGTTCAATGGAGCTGGGCATAGCGCATTGAATCTGAATCCCTCTCTTGCGTGAACAATAGCCAATTCTCTAGTCATGGCCAAAACTGCTCCCTTGGAAGCTGTGTATGCTAATTGAGGAGTGGCAGAACCAACAAGCGCAACAACAGATGCAGTGTTGATGATAGAACCACGGCTCTTCTTGTTCTTGCGCATAGAAATGACGGCATGTTTGCAACCAAACCAAACACCCTTAACGTTAATAGCTTGAGTCAGATCCCAAATCTTCTCAGGGGTATCAATAGCATCGGCATCATCAGCATGCATAATTCCAGCATTGTTGAACATGATATCAATACCACCCCAAGATTCGAGATGAGCAACTGCGGCCTCGATGTCAGATTCTTTAGAGACGTCGCATACTTTAACTTCAACTTTGTGGGCGGATGGAACTAGTTGTCTGAGTTTTGCGGCGGCTTTCTCGAGTGCTGGTGCGGAAATATCGGCCATGAGAACATTGGCGCCTTCTTTGGCGAAGAGGATACAGGTTTCAAGACCGATTCCTCTGGGGAGGGTGTTAGTATATGTTGAAGATTGAATTGATTTTTGATATGGATATTTTCGCGACATTGAATCTCCCACGTAATGCTCTCACGGCCCGCTCAGATACAGTCGTCGCTCGACCCATTACAAAAATGAATGAGGTCACGTGTGTGGCCATACCAAACACTCTCATTACTCAGAAGGATTTGATAAGGGCACAACTCTGAATCAGAAAGAGAAAGCAGATACGATGCTCATCGTCCTGGATTTTCAAATCCCGTGAATCCCGAATCACACCGAAAATTCCATGTCAGGAGAAAAAGAAAGACAGGACTCACCCAGCAGCACCAGTAACGATGGCATTTTTACCATGCAGTCTTCCCATTTGGAAGCTGTTGATGGTAGGAACTCTTTCTCCGCTGCCGGCCATGTTGAATGTATTTTTGATTTGAATACTGTGGTCTATTGGAGCTCTTGTCAGCGATCAATGAATTCTCCACCAAAGAAAGCGTTGTGGTTATAATACTTGTCTCTCTCTGACAAGGAAAAATGAAACTTACTCTTTGTTCCTGATATAGATGTGTGTGAGAATGTAGACAAGGAAGGAAGAATCTCGAGAAGTTTTAATAAAGTTGTTGCAAACTATCCCCCCTTTGTAGAATTGTAGAAGTCACTCGAAATGATGCGAAGATTTGTTATGAAATAATATTTGTGATGACAATTGAATTTAAGAGAGAGAATGTGGATGCTGATGTGTCACTGGTATGAAGTAGGGACGGAGTAGGGACGGAGTAGAGGACACACAAACCCATCACACTTATTGGTCCGTTCTCGGTGGGCAGTGGAGGGTAAAGTCGTAGAATTCGTTATCGTTCCGAAGAAGATCCATGGATTCACTCCCGACACACGATTCAGGTGTTTACTGGCAAATGAAACTCACCGCTGCTTTTTGGATAAAGCGAGATTAAGCTGATAGGGAGAAGAGAATGAATCGTGAATGTGCGATGATATCTACCCAGGGACTCTCCAAACTCCCAAGAAACCCGGGGTTCGATGACTGGATCAGGAAATAGAAAAGCCCCGATGATTTGAGATATGGATCATTGGCTGGTGGGTATTGGCGGTCGAGGATTGGATATTGGGGACTGGATATTGGGGATTGGTTCAATTGATACAACACAGCTTTTGGGCCATGTTTCAAGTCTAATACTTCATCTCACTGTTAGATATGGGTTGCCTTGATGAACCCACGCTCGCCACGTAGGTATTGGTCGCTTTGGTACAACAGCCTTTGAGAGTTGAGAGTCTGAGTCTAAATCTGAGTTTGAGTCCGAGTCTGAGTGTGAGTCCAAGTCTAAACAAAGTGCAACCATCCTGTCGCGGGGTACATTCGAGTGAGACTCCCAATTTCTTGATAGACGATAGACGATAGATGATGGTCAGACGACAATAATTGTCATGGCCGATCTCCTCACATGGTGGGCGCTATGGAATTCTGAGGAGATAATCAATGCTGTCGTTGTTCCTGTCGTCATTGTTGACTAATGAAGTCATCACGATACCTCTTTTACACGAATCTTCGTGTAATCACTTCGGAACAGATCTATACATGTAGTTATCTATTCTCGTTACATATGATGATTTCGTGGAATAATCTGCTGGGCATTGATGCACTGCGCAGTTGTTCGGTAGATGGCTGCATATCAATCATTTACGGCAAGATATCTTGCTACTTTAATCGACAAAGACCATCCGAGTATCCACCGACGTCCTAGAATCCGCCAAGTGATGGTCGGGTGAGGGATGGTGACATTAAAGCAGCATCCACAACAGCCCCTCGCTTTATCGCAGAATCTCTTATCGCAAATTGTAGGGAAACTTCCTTGCTTTACTCCCACCACTCTTTTCCCCCTCTTAAGGTGTACAGCAATCTAAACCTCCCTCCACATTCAACAAGCCAGATCCCAGATATCCCTTCAACTCAATCTGCCAATCGTTCTCACAGATACCAAGCTGAACAAGTACCCTTCACTCCTTACGATTCCCTCTCAACTCAACGACAAGATGCCAGATACTCCAGAATGGATAGCTTCACACAAGCAATGGGATGAAAAGACGGCCGAGAACCTCACCGCACTTCTCGAAAAAGATACAAAAGTAAAATTGGCTGGTATCGATGTCGATGGTATACTGCGCGGGAAGCTTGTTTCCAAGAAGAAGTTCCTTGGGATTGCGAAGGAAGGGTTCGGATTCTGTTCAGTCATCTTCGGTTGGGATATGCATGATCAAACATATTTCAAGGAATTAAAAATCAGCAACGCCGAGAACGGTTATCACGATATTATTGCGATTCCAGATTTGAGTAGTTTTAGAAGGATACCTTGGGAAGATAATGTGCCATTCTTTTTAATCAGCTTTTATGATCCCGATTCTGGAAAGCCGGTTTCTGCATGCCCGAGGGGATTGTTGAAGACTGCCGTGGAAAAGTTACAAGCCCATGGTTTGGGTGCAATGGCTGGAGGTATGAGCATCTTTGGACTCTTGTAGAGGTTGTGACTAACAAGACCAAGCTGAATACGAGTTCTTCCAATTCAAAGCGCCGGCGAGCAATCCTCATGCGCCGATTTCCGAACGAAACACATCTTCAACAGCAACCTTCCTAAGAGAAAACCCAGTCGATTCATTACCTTCGCTGACCGAAGGAATGTTTGGATACAGTTTAACTAGACCGGTTCACAACCAAGATTATTATTATGGGATATATGATGCATGCGAACAATTCAATTGTGGAATAGAAGGATGGCATACAGAGAGTGGACCCGGTGTTTTTGAGGCAGCTTTGGCATTTGGGGAGATTCAACAAATGGCAGACAAAGCAAGCTTGTTCAAGTAAGTTTGGAGATTCCCTACCATTCTAAGGACGAGATGCTGATATATATTAGATATGTTGTTAAATCGGTAGCAACAAAATACGGCATCACCCCATGCTTTATGGCCAAGCCACGTCAAGGGCTACCCGGAAATAGTGGGCACATGCATGTTTCGATCGTCGACAAAGATGGCAAGAATCTCTTCTTCCGAGAAACTAAAGACACGGATGCAAAATGGAAGGATATTGAGAATCTTTCGGATATGGGGCGTCATTTCCTCGCTGGAGTATTGGAAGGTCTTCCATATGTCATGCCACTTCTCGCACCAACAGTCAACTCTTACAAACGTCTAGTCGAAAATTTCTGGGCTCCAGTAACAGTGTCTTGGGGTCTTGAACATCGTGCAGCTTCTGTTCGTCTAATCGCACCTCCAACTTCCAAACCCGGGGCCACACGTTTCGAAATTAGAGTGCCAGGTGCAGATACAAACCCATTTTACGTACTAGCAGCTATCCTAGCATTAGGATGGAGAGGAGTAGAAAAGAAATTAGAAATCCAACAACCACCATTAGGAAAAGGTCAAGATGTAGGAGGAAAAGCAGATCCAGGAGTTAGATTAGCGAAGAATTTGAAAGAAGCCACGGAGAAATTCATGGAGAAGGATAGCATAGCGAGAGAAGTATTCGGAGATGAATTCGTGGAACATTATGGAGGTACCAGAGAACACGAAATCAGATTATGGGATGAGGCAGTAACGGATTGGGAAGTTAGAAGATATATTGAGAGTGTCTGATTGTTGGATGGATGGATGAGAACTATCTTAAGAAACATGAAATCTATTTATTTTGAACACCTCGAGTTATTGCACTGTTTGCTGGTTTTATGGATTCTTGCTCTTTTCCATTCACAATGGCGAGGATCTACCAATCCAGTAGTACCTAGGTAAAGTATGAAGATTACATTCCTTCTTCATACACTTTCAACCCCCTCCTTTCTCTTCTTCACTACATCAAATATCAAATGACATATACCATGAGATAAGGTGGCTCATTAATTATCTAGTTAAGTCACAATGACTAGGTAAACCTCAATATATTAACATATAATCTCGATTTATATTCTATCCAGATATTCTATTCATTTATCTATCTATCTATCTATCTATCCATCTATCTAATAATCATATTACAAAGGATTGTTCTCTGATAAATCTAAGAAAAAGCAGCTGGGTATTTGTAAAGTGGAGAGGAGAAAATGAAGTCAGAGTGGGATTTGGGAGGGGTGGGAGGGGTGGGAGGGGTTGGAGCTGAGGGGTTGGAGGGGATTGGAGGGAGGGGATTGGAGGGAGGGGGATGGAAGGGAGATGGGAAGGGAATATGATGTGATGTGATATGATGGTTGGAGAAGGATGGAGGGAGGGAAGAGGGACGGGAAGAGGGTTTGGATTTGGATCTTAGGAAGTTAGGTGGAGTTGTAGGTGTAGTTTTAGTGGAGGGAGATGGAGATGGAGATGGAGATGGAGATGGAGATGAAGGGATAGAAGAGAGAAATGGAAGAATGGGACCGAAAAAAAGGAGGAGATTGAAGGAGCTAGGTTGAAACTTCATGGGGTGTGTGAAGGTTTGAGTTACCTAGGCATGGACGCGGATAGAATCTTTCTTGGGAGTAATATTCATGCGCTAAATAGGTAGATTGACCATGTTTGTTTCTGTTTGGATGGGGTGTGAAGGAATACCTACCTAAAAAGAGGTGTGATGAATTATATTCAATTGGCAGCTTGTGTTGGTGAGGGATTGGAATTGGATGTTGATATTGGAGTCTTATTCCTGCCCCTGTTTTCTTTCGTTTTGTGCGCGGGCGTGGGTGAGAGTGAGTGGGAACGATGGGTCTCAGTCACTTGCATTCATGATGTGGAATGCTCTTGTGGAGTTTACGTGGAGTTTACGTGGAGTTTAAAGTAGATATATGACTTCTATCTATCCGAACATACGAAGACCTGACTAGCGAGCTGGTACATGAGCAAGCAAGCGAACGAGAGGTGATGAAGGGATTATGACAAGGGAGTTGAGGATATCAATAGAGATAAAGAGGAGAGCGGATAGGAAATGATAAGTATCGATTGGTAAAATGTTCATGTCTATATCCATCTACAAATAGTTCTCACACAAGATTTAAATCTCTAAACCATCATGGTCTGGTCCCTGTGCATTCCACCAAGTGCAGCACCTCCACCACCGTTATCTTTATCCTTATCATCTCTCCAATCACCACCTCCAAAGAAAGAGACGGTCATCTCTTCTTCTTCTTCTTCTTCTTCTTCTCCAAAATCCCCACCATCCCCACCCCTCTCTCTAATACACAAATCCCGCAAACCCCCCAATTACTCGACAATCACAGCACACTTTTCCCGTCTCATTTCACGACGTGCCTCTTTCCGCCGAGCATCAGCTGCTCGACGCCGAAGCGCGAGGTGCAGTCTTCGAAATGATTGTTGATGATCTGGAATTGGGGCTAGCGCTAGAGCTAGAGTTGTTAATTACGAAGTGAATGATTAGATATTATTCATCGATGATAGTGCGAAACGTGATGTTCGAAAAATAATCCAGGGAAATAGGAAAATGAAGAATGGATGAATGATTCTTGGGGATAAGAAAAAAAGGGGAGGAGGAGGATCTCACATTATGGCCGTGAAACCAAGTTTTGAACAGAGGGGAGGATTGCATTGCTACCTGCGCTAGCTGTTTCTAAGTATCACCACCTAGATCAACACCGCTTCTTCTCATCTTCGCATTATCGTCTCGCGTACCTTCTTTACCAATTTTATTCACACCAGAAACAGGTTGGATAGCAGTAGCCTCTGCGGCTGCAGATTGTACTCTCTTCTCCTCAGCCTCTTTGCTCGCTCTTATCTCCCCTGGTGTTGCTCTTTGTGGCTTGGGCTTAGATTTCCAGGCTATTTTTTGATTTTTGCGTCCCATCTTTACTATTTTTAGGAGTGATGTTGAATTGTAAGTGACATATCAATTAGATGATTGATTGAAAGGGTGGTGACATTGGAATGTTAGACAGTTGTGAGAGTGCAAAGGACAAAAAGTCGTGTGAAGATATGTCTTTGTTTACATCTCTACACGATGCATTCTATTACCCCGCTTACGAGACGAGAATTCAATTAAATATCTCATCTGATGTTCGAACAGATGAGGACTTCAGATCAGATTAGATGTTATCCAAGCCCTCCTCCTGTCTCAAGAAAACCAACCGTATCTTCGGCACACTCCACTCCCCATTATCTCTCTCTCCATCCTCCTCCCATTTCTCCCTCAAACTCTCCTCCACCTCTCTCTTCCACTCCCCGAAAAAATCTTTTCTCTCTCCCCTCCTATTCCCCTCCCCCCTTCTCTCAAACTCCCTAATCTTGAACCGATAATTCCCATCATTCGTCAGTGCAAACGTTCCAGGCGTAGGGGTTACATAATTTCTCCAAAAATCCCCTTCGTTCTCTACGTTTCTAAATCCCCATGGAAACGATGAATTCGCGGGAGTTTTCAACGTGGTTCCCCCACCATGACTCCAATCTATTCCGCCTCCCGATTTCCAATGCTCAGAAATGGGAAAAGGACGCGAGGATGCAGAATCAGGAGAGAAATAGGGATTAGTAGGCGAAGAAGAAGCGGATGCAAAAGTAGGATGTTTAGGAAGTCCCGTAATAAAGCCTCCGCGAATATCCTGGAACCACCAATCGCAATTCAACACCAAGAACAACTCATCTAGATTCGTAAAAAGTTTCACGACTCGCGAAATTTCATACTGCCAGTGTTCATCCCAACCTATCCATTTTGAGAAATCGAGCGCGAGGCGTCTCACCTGTGTGAATTCCACAGGACGAAATTGCCCGATGTTTGTTCCGGTACCGTCGACGAGCTCGGACATGATTCCTTCGTTGATGTCGGAATCAAGGGCGCGGAGGAAAAGAATGTCTTGGGTGTAGTTGAACCAGATCCGGGGAGGGGAGGTGCGAGTGGAGAATGTGAGGGTGTAGCCGAGACGTTGCATACAGGAGCGAGAGTCGCGACATGTCTTTAGCAGAGAGGGGATGGGGGAGTGGGAATAGAGGGATCCACGGCGAGTGGCTTGGTAGTAAGAGTAGAGCAGGGGGTCGGAAAGGCGTGAGGGAGTGATACCTTGTCGGTAGTGAGTATCCCTTGATCTCAAATACAGCGGTACGAATTCTCTTTCCTCTTTCTCTTTTCCCTTTCCCTTTCCCTTTCCCATCTGCACCGTTGCTTCTTCGCCAGACTCCAGATTCTCAATCTCAAAATCCAACCCATTATCCAACACAAATTCCTGTATCATCGGCGCCATCATATCGATTCCAAAATACTCCAAATCAGGATGAACATCGTCATCAACTATTTCTTTTCCAAACGTCCTCTTTTCAAAATGGGAAATCGTTTCAAAAGTTTCCTCAACGCCTATTATACGAGGAGGAGGAAGAGCATGAAGCCAGACTAGATCGCGAAGTTCTTTTGGAAGGGCGGAAAAGAGGTGGAAGGTTTGGAGGGACATATCTAGAGTATCTTATTTGGATGGAAGAGCTTGAGAATGCCAAGAATTTGTCGGTTGCGGTAATAGGGGAAGAATTGGAAGAGTGGTTAGAGTTAAATGTTTTGAGGAAGGCGAGTGAATTATCAAGGGCAGCGAAAATCCAAGGGTATTTGAGGAGAGCAGTAAAAGTTTCTGCCTAGATTATTGGATTTCAATATCTAATAATTCACCAATATAATTCAACGGTGCACTGTAATTGTTCAGAAAGTACAAAACATTGATGCCTATACATGAATCAGTAATATTCGAGATGTCATGATGTTGGAAAGGGTGGCCTAGCCGGGAATACCCCACTACTTCCGGTGATCCCTGAATATGCATATCGGATGTATCTGACATCTGACGTCTAGCTATCCGGATTAGGCAGGTGCAAACGTTGATTTGTTTTGTAAGATTTCACATAACTATGATATTACGAGTATATATACGATATGTTGGATTGTGCTGTGAAGGCGAATTCTGTTAAGGAATTCATTCTTTGTCAGAAGTTTTGTCGGTACTGAGTCATGTCTCTTCAAGTCGTTGATGTTAATGCCGAATGAATGATTGTTAGCATTCTGGTAGACAAATGCACGTGTCCTATAATTTGATCTGGACCACAAATCACGAAAAGACATGAACTCTTCCATCTAATTCTATAAACCGCATTACAAAGCGTCCGCCTCACAATCCCATCGCATCTTTCCCTTCAAGTACTCTTGGGTCCTCCTTGTCTCAAACCCAAATCCACACCCTGAAGCAATGTGTAAACCGTCTCACATACCCTCATATCCACCCCTAACTCCCTCCCTCTCTTAACCGGTACTCCAAGTATAACATCTAACTCTAACTGTCTCCCACACAACGCATCAGTCAACATACTCGTACCGATACTCGGCATTCTAAGTATCCTCTCTATCAATCTATCAATCAAATCATCTTTAATATCTACCTCCATCTTTCTTGCAACAGCAACTACTTCTCCCATGAGCGTTCGCGTCATGTTCATAGCTTCTGGAGAAGAATTGAGCCACTCATGTGTATGGAGACGTGTAAGTGTGGTTAGACAATTCCAGGCACAATTCCAGATAACCTTTTCCCAACGTGCAGTCTGTAATCTGGAAGGAGAGAAAACTTCATGCGGTGTTTTTCCAACCGATAAAAGATTTGAAAACGTCTCTAATCGTTTGTTCTCGATCTCAGTTGATACGTTCGGATTTGTGAAGATTCCTATTTGCAGATTTTCGTTTTTGGTATGATGAACGATACCGGGTGTGTTCTGAATGGCGCCGGTCCACGCAACACAGGAGATGATGGTATTTTGAGGATAAATTGCTCGGAATGGCTCTTCATTTCCGACGCCATTTTGGATAAGTACTATAGTTGTTGACTCGGAGATTACCGGTGCCAGAGATTTAGCTATAGCTTCTTGACCAATCGCTTTGTTGGAGCAGACTATGTAATCATAGTGACCTGGTGCTTCACCAGGTGTTTTGATAACTATAGGATGTTAGTGTCGAACATGAGGTCGAAAGATAAGAGCTTACCGTTAGCTGGGTGAAACGTATTCTCTCCATGATTCTGACTGATAAGCTTCAATCCCTGTTAAACATGTTAGCTTTCATGATGAGCTTCTCGTATAGATCCAAACTTACATTCTGCTTCACAGCCTCATAATTTGACCTTGCTACAACAGTCAATCGTACGTTTGGTACTCGACTTAGAATGAATGCATAAACGGAGCCAATCCTGAGACCCCGCATTAGTTCAGATGCCAAGTTTTTCTGATAAGGTCATCGAAAGACATACGCTCCAAAGCCATAAAACAGTACATTTATAGTCTCCTCTCCGTTAGATTCGTTTAAAGCCATCTCAATATCTTGTACTTCAAGACTGATTTACGATATGATATCTCGTGTATTTCTGAGAACAAAAGGTATTCAACTGATGTACTTTCTTGGTAACCATATATGATATATGATCTCCATCTAAATACGTCCTACTATTTGTCTTGTATATTCCTCATCCGATAGCGGAGAAGTTATTAGATATCGAATTTTCGATGCTAACGTGATTTCAGTGCATAGCTCTCGCAATAGTTATTTTGGCGGGGTAATTAGTGGGGCAATCAACTCAATTCATCCCCACGGATAACACACATTCTCGAGAATTTCAACTTGACAACCGCTTGACACAATCATTCGAATAGTATCTAGATGAACAAATGTAAATTTCCTCTCGCTTCTCCCGAATTTGATATACCGGTTTCCAGATATCTTAGATTGTACATCGAGCCTATAAAGATTGATCAGGCCAGCCTCTATATTAGAGCCATTACTGGTACTGATTTCGCACTTAAAGGGTCTCCTTACAGCACGACGCTTCCTTCAATAAATGATGAACTGCTATATATACACAAAAGCCACCCCATCCATCTGGTGAATGCACAACTTTTCCTAGTCTTACCAGATCTTCGGGATTCCTTTTAATTTTCTGAATACAAACCAGATATCATTAATGTCTATCTAACGCTCTCATAGGAAACGGCAATCCGTCGAATTGAGAAAGGAACGCAGACCTCAGGAGGTTGCGATTGCACGGCTCGGAGTGAATCAGGAAAACTTGGGGAAGGACAATCTGAAGGATGAAAGATAGTTAGTCTCGACACCACTGACTGCACGTGAGGAGAAAGGAGGAAAACCGCTCAGATAGGTGCACTGGAAAGAGAGTTGAGAACGGAAGGTTGAATTTTAATCCAATTAATAAATATTAATATACTCCTCAAACTATATCTGACCTCCTCAACTATTCCATTTCATAGTCATTCTCAAAACCAGCTTCATCTTCAAGAACCATTTCACCATCTTCCTCATGTTCATATTCTTCTCCATACTCCATCTCTCCATCATCCTCCGCTTCCAAATCTTCATCTTCTGCATTGGCATATGACCGTGTATTCCTAGTCTTAGGAGGGGCCTATCAAGACCCATATCTACTTCTTCATCATCGTCATCCTCTGCAGCAGCATTATTCATCAGGTAATTCGTGAGTCCACCAGGAGGTCTCCGAAGAATCGGTTGATTCTCCGCATTCACAGTCTTCTTCCTGCCACCATGTCTTATCTTTCTCCCATCAGGTCCAATGCCCCTCAACTTATCTTCCGCGGCCAGAATCTCAGCATCCTTAGCCATCTGATCTAATCTTTGCTGTCCATCCGCTTTCCTCATTTTCCCTGTCGCCATAGCTTTTCGAATTCGCGCTACTTCGGCTGCTTGTTTCTGTTTCATGACTGCTCTCCATTGTCGATTGGTATTTCTTCTTTGAGCCATTACTGTGACATGATCCCTTTCGCGCCTCGATTCTTTAATCTGAATCAAGGATTGCAAAAAGAATGCTTGATTTTTTCGCTGCTCAGAAGCTGCTACACCAACCGGTATCTTGAGCTCACGAATATTACCCGATCTCCAAAAGTAACTGCGACCCTTCCCGCTAGAATCCGGATCTTTGTCTTCGACTTTGGTGTTGACGGAAGTTATGCGCGCTGAACTTGCAGCTAGTAAATCGACATCGTTTGATACGGATTGTAAAATAGGTAATTTACTCGCGGGATCGTGCGCTGTGAAAAGTAACTCTGTGCCCATATTTTCTTCCCATCGACAGTGATATATATTTCCCTCATAAGACACAACTGGGTGATCTTCATGCAACCCTAATATTTGCACTTCTGGTTTGGGCGCCGCTGGAGCTTCTCCTCCACGTTGGGTATCTGCGATGAAAGTCGAGTATTGTTCTCCAGTTGATTTCTTGGGAGCTTCGACGAGTTTCTGTTCTGCCGGTACTTGCTCAGGAGGTGCAGCTTCAGCTTCTGAAAGCTCTTCTTCTTCACGTTCTGCCATTTCATCATCATCCTCATCGTCCTCGGCATTGGGTGATTTCTTCCCTCTTCCTTTCCCCTTGCCTTTGAATCTCACGGATTTTTCCTTATCAGTCACGATGGTAGTCGAGTCTCCAAGATGTCTTCGATGTTTTCCAAGACCAGGATTTAACCATTTCTTAGCATTGCGACGCGGATGCGTTTTCACCAACTTTCTTTTGATAGGAACATTGGGATTTGTTAAGTCGAGAGTTACATAGAATACCTATTGAACATGTTAGAATTGATAATAAATAAGAGATCCTAAGAATAATTGCCTCTTTTTCAGTGCTGGAATATTCATATTCGTACTCATCTTCATCTTCTTCTTCCTCTACGATGTCTGCGACATTAATGCTCATAGGCTTTGAATATGGATTTTGAGGTGGGGCATCTGCTGTAGAAGCAGAGCCATGTTGATCAGCCATCAGGGTCGATGATATGGGTGTAGTGTTCGATGAATAATTAGAAGCAGAGGCATTGGGTTTTATGCTCGTAACTTTATGAGAAAATGTAGATTAAATTTTGCCAAAAGATTATAAATGAATAATGAAGTACTTTTGGTACGAGAGCTTGAAGTTCGCGGAAATTTGTTTATGCCTCAGGCTTGACATCTTTTTAACCTCTACTCGTGAATCTCAAAAAAGTGTCGGTTCAACAGTATATTACAAACGGATCTGATAATATTATCTTTTTCTCTTCGCGTGAAGCCATATTTTGTTTTTCTTCGAGGGGACAGGAGCTTGTATAGTTTCAACTTGCTCAAAAGTTTCCATTTATGTCAGTCTAGAGTGGCTTCAAAACATCAATTTGAATGTGCAAACAAAATATTTTAGATTTCGGCATCAAAGTCTAACCAAGAACTTCATAATTCTCAATTTTTATTTGGAGCCAGAAACCAGCTGAGCCGCAGCAGGATGAGCTATTTCTTAGTATTGATGATTGTGATTGCTGAGGTCGTACTTGATATATCCATGAAATGTCAGCTGCTCCACTGCATTTGAAGAAGTGTTGTGAACAATGAAAAGGAGATCTCAAAAGAGCTCAGGTATTCAAAAAAAAAAAAAGACAAAAAACGACCAATTCTTCTTCTCTCAATACAAAACAAACTGGCCTTGCAACTTCCCTCGAACGACTACGCAGCGATTCCACATTCTTCTCATTCACAACAAACTCCCTTATAAGGTAGCATGCGTCCCTCGTCACCACCTTAGGGAAGACGGCCAAAGATTCCGGCCCTCACAGAAGATACTTCGTCGAAAATACTTGCAAGTATGGCAATCACTTCTCCAGTGTTCCCATAATATGCGGAACAATAGCATAAGGAACCTCTGTAGCAGGATGCGTCAAATCAACCTTACTCCATTTTCCAACTCCCCTCAACGACTTCTCCGTATCCCTCTTGAGGGAGCAACCGCCCAAGAAATGAGGCCAAGCTACATTGATCAAAGCTAAGTATAAGTTAGTTTCGCTCGGCTCATTCTCATAGACAAGGACTTACACTGATACTTGTCAGTCCAATGTCCTTGATCCTTAACCACATGTTCATAAACCGCCCAGAGACCTCCCTTTCTCAACTTCTTATACAAATCCTTAATCATTTCCTCGGGTTGTCCAACACTACATAAACACAGAATGGTAACGACAGAATCCACACTGTCATCTTCAATGCCCCATTCCGTCAACCCCTCAACTCCACATTCAGCAATCTCATAAATATCAGTGAGACCCGCCTCCTTAATTCTCCTTCTCAAAGCTTCATAATGATCACGATTTGGTTCTACACCATAAATCTTTGTGATCTTTGATTTATCAAAAACATGTAGCCACTAGCATCTATTAGCTGCTGACACATTTACCTCCGCCTTCCTTCTATCAATATCAGGATATCGAACAAACATACCTCACCACTACCAGGACCGATATCTAGTACAACACCTCTAGCAGCTTTAATCATAGGCTCTGCATTTGTACTTGCAGACTCTCTAACACGAGGCCCATACACGGCCCAGAACCGTGCAAACCATGCATCTTTGAACTTGTCAACAGAACTTAGAGTAGCGATATTGAAAGAAGCGAGAAGGGAAACAATAGTGCCGGGTAGAAATGTAGCAGAGGCAAACATGAACTGAACAGGGAAGTAAAGGTGTTGAAGCACATCCATGATATATTCCTTGGTATTCATCGTGAGTAGGAAAATAGAGAAAGGGAAGTGGGGTAGAGCTGAAATGATGAGCAAAAATACGAGGAAATTGGAGGGTGGGAAATCCAGCTTTTTTATACTGCCCAAACACTCGTCAGCTTCATGGGGTAGGTGGAAAAAGTGCAGATGGAGGATGGGTGATATCGAAGAGTGGATGCTTGATTGGTCAGTCGAGGTGTCTAGGTCGGATGTGATAGTCCCACCTTCATAAATCCACCCCTTTGACAACGACATCCAACTTTCATTTTATATTCATACATCCCAGAGGCAACGCATTGCATTGGTGTTAGATTATACTCTGGAAGGTGTCATGAAGCATCATCGGATATATAAGAAGTATCTTAATATATCTGAGAATGTGTTTTGGAGGGTTTCGGTCCCACCATGTTTCTGTAGTTCAGAACAAGCGTTCCAGCACAGAGCTGCGGGTTAGCATTTTCCTAGGGGACCTTCGATGGATCTTCGAATCATTTCTTCCGTTCAAAGTACTTGAAACTATATATTTCCTATTGTTACTGTGGTAAGATGCCGAGTTTGGGGCCTCCTGATATCTGAAATCTCTTCATCGTCGCTTCATGGATTTCTATACAAATTCCACAAAGTGCTCTCATCGGTGGGAAAGAGAGCATCAATGTGTGAGAAGTGTGAGTATCCGTGGCTCTATCCGCAGGCTACACCCGATATCGATCCGTTGGTTATCATTTGTGGAATTACTGACGGTATGGAATCCTATGGAATTGAAATTATTGGTAATCTGTGAGGGATTTCTAGATATTTGGAGGATATGTCAGCTACGTTGATACCCAAGATTATATTGACGTGTCAGACAATACTCCAGCGAGTTCCAATATGGAAGGTGTCTGATATTTAGTGCAAAAGCTTGTAAATACCATGCACATCTGGTCGTCCTTGGTGTTTGCTCATTCAGATGCGAAATATACACCATGTCTGAATCGGATGAGCATACCCACGGTAACATAATTGGCGAGACGAAGTTTTATTTGCTAAGTACTTATTTCTTTTACTGTCAGTATCGTTATATATACTAATCATATATTTTCAATGATCGTATTATCGTCACATTTCCTTCAACTTTTTCATCGGCCATTCACTTCCTAATATCTACTCTCCAAAGCCTTCATTCGGCTCTGATACTTTTCCGGTCATCAATTCCCCTCTTCTCCGTTTCATGTTCTCGTCACATTCCCACTAAATTTTATATTCGCTCCAGTTCTGAATCTTCGCACTCTGGACCATTTCTTTCCATCCTTGACTTTCCCACTCACCTCTGCTTTACTGGCCTCGGGAGAACAACGTCCTCTCGCGGGCCTATGTAGTATAAAAAGTGCGGTGTTGAATAGTCGTGAATCAGATGTGGGCTGGTCAATAATGATGTGCATCTGGCCACGAAACTCCAATTTTACTCAAGTGAATAATAAATCTCAGTACTACCACCCAAAGACTTACAATGCTAATCATCTACTCTACTGACCCAAAGGATTAATTGCCATCCCTCTCAAATCCCCACTCGAAAACGATTTCATCTCATAGATGCCCACCACTCTCCTCATTCATTCTATCTTGAACTTGACAATGTACTCTTCTCTATGTTATAACAGTATACGACAATTCATCAACCATGATTATTCTGGCTATTGGAGATTTCATGAGGGGATATCGCGAGAAAGACTACGCTCAAGGTAAGAAACGTGGAAGTGGGGAGGAAAGGGGGCAAAGTGATTACCCAAACTCGGAGAAAGCAGGGTTGTCGGAGGGAACGAGGAGCATGCGATGGGGGAGATAAAGTTGTAATCTGGAAATTAAAAAATGGTAAATTTTTGGACTGAGGGGTGAAGAGAATCAATCACCATTCTCGTATGAATTACATGTCAAATGTCTCAGATAAATGTAAGAAGTTTTTAGAATTTGTCTTTCATCACTGGCCATCATGGAAAACCATATCAATGCAAAACTTTGATGATACAAGGATATATACATACGAATCCTCATCTGAAAACTGTATCCTCTATTTTCAACCCACGCTCCACCACAAATGCCCAAAATGCAAAAACCTATTGCCATTCTGGCTTGAAAACCTCCTTACTCCATGGCTCACTCGTCAAATTCGTCAAACCCTTGATATTCTCACAAGTCTTCCTTCCACTCATTGGTCCTGGACTTGGTACCTTAACACCTCCCTTATTATAAATTCTTCCTGCGTCCTCTCCAACCTCAGATCCAGACTTGACGTTGCCATCTTCGCCTGTAATGGCACCCTTTCCAGCTTCCGAATTGGCAATTTCAGCAGCGCTGGATTGAAGTGCCTTGAGTAATGTGACGGTTGACTCGGGTGTCAAATCTTCGTAAAAGTCGTCGTTGATTTGGACCATTGGGGCGTTCACGCATGCGCCCAGACATTCGACTTCGACAAAGGTAAATAATCCGTCCTTTGTAGTGTGGCCAGGCTTGATACCGAGGTGCCCTTCAATTGCCTTAACGATTGCATCACTTCCACATCCACCCAATTGACAAGGAGTCTATTTATCAGAAATCCCATTAGTACTTTTCAAGAAGGCAAAACTCCTACGCCAACTTAGAGAGAACATACCGTAGTACAAGCTTGCACATGAAATTTGCCGACTGGAGTCCTGTTATACATAGTATAAAAGGTAGCCACTTCATAAACTCTCATAGGAGGCATTTCCAATAATCTAGCAACTTCGTTCATAACACTCAAACTAGTAAATCCATGTTGACGTTGTCCGAGATCGAGAATTGGCATAACGGCTGCCTTTTTGTATTGTGGGGGGTATTTCTTGAGAATCTCTTCGATGATCTTCTCATTTTGAGGTGTGAATTTGAAGGGAATAGAGGCATTATTTTCGGGTGTATCGCGATGCTGTAGGACTTCATGTCAGTAGCTAGACGGTATATTCGGAGCTCCATGGGGAAGACATACAACCATGAGGGAATCGCTGGATAATCTGCTACCGGCAACAAATGACCGACATTGTGATCTTGAAGCTATTCTTGCTGGTCTGAATGCTGATCGGAAAACGAAGGGTGTTATTTTGGAGGCCATTGTCGCGGTGATGTGGCGCAATGGCGAATTGTTACTTGAGGAGATATTTATCTATGATGTTGATTGATTTTAGTTCTCGGATGGTCGCCGTATTGGTATCGTCCATTGTTTAATTGGCCGATAAATTTGGTGGTAGATTTGAGCATGGAACGGGTATATTTCGGTATGAGTGGGATATGTTAAATCTTGCTTCCCCTCATCATCGTAATCCAACGTTTACCTTCATACTTCTGCAAGGTATCAAAATTGTATTCCTCAAACTCTGGTATGATTTGAGTACAACCGTCTCATCATCAGCGTCCTCAATGTTCGGACAAACTTGAAAGATTTTGACCTCCCCAAAAGTCTTTTATTCATATCATTTCTTGTTCCTCCAAGTATTGCCATTCTATGAGTACTCGTTTTTCACAGCTACCCTCTCACGAGTTTTTTCTTATTTGACAGCTGGGTTCTATTACTGGTTTCTGAAGAAGACTTCATCAATCAACTTCTGAAGTGGGTCACTTGTATTGGCCATGTGAAGGTTGAGCCGGCCATCAAGTTTTGAAGTTTTGAAGTTTTGAAGTTTTGAAGTTTTGAAGTTTTAAAGTTTTGTCCTGGTACATTCTCAATTTCCTGATCCGAAATATGAGATTTTACATTTGGCCCTCGGCATATCCACCCCATTGGCACCATTGCTTGTCCTGATCATACCTTTTCTATACAAGTCCCTGTTCTAGGCGATAGTCCACGATTCATAACCCGAATACCGTGTATCGAAAAAGACATTCTCAGATTCTTTACATATCATGTTGAACGCTTTCTATCTACCCTTTCCCTATGATATGGTGGGGCAAAATGATAAACCGAGCTTTGGATCATAGCTCCAGTGACCGGACCGAACCACCAAATCCATTGATCTTGAAGTTTATATTAGCAGCGACTTAAGCCTAGGGAGAAGAAGTCTCACTCACAAGCAAAGTTACCTCTCGCAACTGCAAAGGCAAAGCATCTCGCTGGATTCAATCCCGCTCCCGGGTATCCAGGTGCAATATTAATACTAGAAAATGACACAAGGCCTAATGTACAACCAACCATGAATGGACCTAGGCGTGGCCCAAAGAGTTGTGCCTGTCGGGGATCAAGAGCAGTACCAAACGATAAAATCCTATGCCGTCAGATCAAGGCGAGATAAGAAGATTCTGAGACTTACAGCATGATACATGACAAGATTGACTCGATCAGGTAAGCCTGTCCTTCACTGACGCTTGTTGTTTCAAGGAAACATCCTCCTCCATTGTATCTTTCGCCTGTTAACTTACTGCTAAACGCACGTTTTCACAGAAGAGCTTCTTGACCCTGACGACCCTTTGCAAGCCCATCACTACTAGGTGTCTTGTGTCTCGAATCTCGAAAATGGGAGTCAACTCACATTAAAGTTCTCTGCTCTCCTAAGCTTCCTCTGATCAAGCCACCCGCAAGTGCTGCTCCGGTGGTCTGTCCTATCATATATAACATGCCTCTTGGAAATCCGGTAAGTCCAGTAATGACCGTCGCAAAAGTGATGATCGGATTCATATGACCACCAGAAGCTGGAGCGAGCGCACATATGAATAGTGTCAAAAAAAAAATATTGGTAACACCAACATACACCGCAATTTGTGTAGTATCAGAATTTCGAATTGCAATACTGATAAAGGCAGACAGATAGCATAGGCATGTTGTTCCCACGAATTCTATAAACTATGGAAAAGGAGACTCAGTGGTAGATCAAGGAAAGGTTCATGGGAGCGACATACAGCACTTTTCCAAATCGTTACATCACCCCAGCCATCCGTGAAGAAAATATAAACTCGATCATTGACACCACTACGTTTTGATACTCTTCGTTTATCTTTCCTTAAATCTGGAGCAAAGGATCCTGGAAATTGCGCACATGATGCAGTAATTAGTTGAGTTTCTTCGCTTGGAGGACTTTCCGGTTCCTCGGAAATCGGAAGGGTGATTTTGAAATTCCCTGTGGCACCCATTGTGAATTGACATACAAAGAGAAGAGATAAGACTTTGATTGAATTGGCGTTTCTATTCAAGACTTTTTATGTGGTATAGGTTGCTGCAAGCTGCTGATTCATCAGAAGCGAGAACGGTGAATGGACCAGGAGTGGATGACGACTACCCATTTACAACCACGACAAATTCGAATTTATAATACCCAGTTAAAGTGTCAAATTCTAAGTCTATACATACACTTCGTCGAAACTCTTCTCAATAGACAAACGATAACTTGGTATCTTCTCGTCATCAATATACACTGAAAAGTCTCAACTATTCAATCCACTCCACCTGGCGCATTTGATCGGAGAACAAAGACATCCAATGCGCCACATATTTTCATATTCAGTGAACTTTCGGCATTTTTCAAGGATGGATTATTATGCACACTATCAATCAGTCAATATACTGTTGTACAAGAAAGCAATTTTCGGTATTCGTCAGCCACAACTGCAGCCACACGTCAAGCAAACACATTCTACTGGATAAGATTAATCACGATCATGCAATACTGCCAACTTCTCAACAACTTTCTGCCATATTCGAAATACAATTCCGAAGAATCGAATAGATTTTTGAGACCTGAGAGATCGTTTGGTCTTCGAATTCAGAGATCGATAGAATTAACACACGATGTATTAAGTTCATCGCCTGCTTAGTAGCTGTTTTTTTTCTTTCTCTTGCATCACATGTTATCTTCTCTACTGCTGTTCGCTTTCTGTATAAAGTATGAGGCAATTTCCTCCCTATCAAATTTCCAGATTTGGACTGAATGTGGTTTGACAGTCATCACCAATACACTTTGAGAATATTTCTTGGCTTACGGAACTACCAAGGTATTCAAACAACGAATAAGCCTCTCCGGCATACACACTGATCATCGTGCGTTGTCAACTATACTTTATTTCATTTTCCTACATGGCAATCACGTAAAGTAGCATCCGGAGCAAAGAACCCGTGCCGTTTCATCTCATGTACCTTCTCTAGGACGCCACAACCGTATATTCAGGAAAATTCCCCGCAGATACCCATGTCTGTTACTTCGGTACTTCAAACACTGCTGCTAATGGATCAGTACTTCAACTATAGCCATGAAATCTCTAGTTCCTTGATTTCAAATATGTATCTACTACTCCTGCGTTCTCATAAGACTCACAAGTTCCAGGGCATAGAAAAGTGACATACAGGGCGGAGGACTTAATCCGGGCTTCAAGGGAATCCTTGAAAATAGAGATGGGATTGGGCAAAAACATGGCAATGGCGTAAGTGCGTCTCGGCCGGCTGCATGTTACGAGTGAGTTGACCTGGTTTTCTTTACTTCTGGCTGCCAAAATGGTGTGATGTGTGCGGAGACATAAGTCTAGACATTATATCATCCCCTTGCTTCCTTTCTCCTTCTTCAATTCTACAGTCAAGCGGCTTTTACTCACCACAACTTAACTCGACTATCAATACATACATACACAAACACGAAGAAAAGAACCCCAAAAATTGCAAAAATGCACGGGACCGATATCCTAGCCTTGGTCCTTCGCGTCGGTCAATTTGCTTTCAGTACCATCGTCGTCGGTCTTACTAGTTCACATCTTCACTCAGCTAGAGCCGAACCATCATGGTCTAAGAAACGATTCATCTACACCGATGTTGTTGCTGCTTTAGGTCTATTCTTCTCTTTATTCTTCATGTTGCCATTCACTTGGAACTTCATCCATTGGCCGATCGATTTCTTAATGTTTGTTATGTACATGGTTGCCTTTGGTTTACTTGTGGATGTATGTTATATCTTCCTCTCTTCTATTCCCTCATTTTACCACCTTCCCCCCTCTCAACCCCATTCTCCACGACGACATAAAATATGTATAGCTGCACATGGCTAATTCCAACGGATAAATATAGTTCATTACACCACTCGACTGCGGCAGTATATTCAACTGGTACGGCGTCTTCGGTTCCTCCGCTTGTGCGAGATGGAAATCAGATGTCGCTTTTACATTCCTGGCTTCATTGTTCTTCCTCGGTTCTTTTCTCCTCGTACGTTCTCTCCTCTCTGTTCTCCACGTACTTTTCCCTTCCCCGTTCTATCTCCTTCATTCAACAATCCCAGCCACACATCCCATCAACCTATCTCTCCCTTCCATCCCAATACTAACACATCATCACAAAGGGAACATACATTCACCACCGCAACCGCCACACAATCGTCACCGACCAACCGGCCAATGGTCAACAAAGCAATGGTCTCGGCGGTGCACGCAAGAGGTGGTATCGATCGCGTACCGATCCATCGCGCATCTGATTTCTGCTCGCTTAGCTCTGCTCTAAGTTTTGATACGCTTCCCTCGTGCTTATCGATTTGAAGAGAAATGAGATATCGCTGGACTTGCGAAATGGAAAATGGGAGGAAGTAATATGAGACGATAGGACTGGATATGTTGAGATCGGATATGAACGATACCCCTTTTTCCTCCTTTCCCCCCTTATTTCTCTCATTTTTATGTGTCTTTCTTCCTTGAAGTCATTCCTTACTTTTTATCGACAAACAAACAGACATGCAGGCCAGTTAGCTGCATGTCCGTCACCGTACATTACGATGGGATGATACATGGTTTCGTTAAACTTTCCTTGATTGTTGTCATGTACTTCTATTTTGTGTGTAGGTCTCCTTAATATGAATGAATCTATGAGAGCGCATATTTGAATGATACATAAACTTTCCCCTCCTGCTTCTAGGCACGGAAATGGTGTGATATTATGAAAAGATAACAAATGACATGACATCAAAAAAGAACTTCTAAATTTGGCTCCTGTATCTCTGGGGATAATCTTACAAATTTCCATTCCCATTGTATCACTCACTCGATCAATTTCCACTCCCAACACTTTTGTTTGATGACCACCAGGACTCCTTCAACTCCAATTCCGACTCCCTGTTCTCTTCCCCGTTCATACATGTATGTATCATAGTTCGTCCTTTCCTCCCGCAACTGGCGTGTCAGGCCTTCCACTATCTTTTGCCAAATCGACTCCATTCTTCTTCCTCCACTTTTCCCATAAAGCCCAGAAATCCTTCTCCATGCCCTTATCCATCTGATCCGGCAACACGACTGTGTACTCCACAACCAAGTCTCCGAATTGCGTATCATGATAAACACTATCTCCATCCTCATGCCATTTTGGCATTCCTTCTCCTTTCACATGTTCCACATGACCCGGTTGAACAGTCTGTCCCCTTTCGCGAGAAAGTTGCACGATGTGTCCGTCCAAGTGTGTAAGATTTCGAGTCCATGATCCCATCCATGCTTCTCTTAATGAAAGGATTTCACGCCAATGAAGATCATCGCCCTTACGACGAAAGAATGTCCCGTCGACTTTTAATTCGTTGTCTTCTTCGAGATTCGCTTCCTTCTCAACCAAGGTAACGTGGAGATCACCAGCAACCCAGTCGGGAGATTCGTCGGCTTCGTTTTCATAGTTTATTGTTCGGCCTTTGGGGGCTCCGCGCTCGATAACTAGTGAATGCGTTTGGACTTTGCGGATGACGCGAGAACCGGAACAGACGGGACATTTGTGTTTGATTGTCTGTCCTTTTCCGTCACAGTGATCACACTTTACCTGTACTTGTTGGAATATTCCAGGCGCGAGTTGATGTTTCCTTAATTGGACTCCGTGGCCGTGGCATACGTTACATGTATCGACTTGACCGTCGGCAGATCCAGATCCTTCACATTCCTCACAAATCATTTGTTTCTCGAGTTGGAATTCGGTGGTATGTCCATTGTAGAAATCGCGGAGTGGTATGCCTACTCGCACTTCCATATCGGGTCCTTTTCGTTGTCCATGGCCGCCGCCAAAATGTCCGCCTCCGCCAAAGAATCTGGAGAAAAGATCGAATGGGTCGTGGTGACCTCCGCCTTGTCCTCCTTGCTGTCTTTGTTTTAGTCCTTCGTGTCCATATTGATCGTAGATTTTGCGGGTTTCTGGGACGGAGAGGGCTTCGTAAGCTTCGGCAATTTCAACAAACTTTTGTTTGGCTGTTTCGTCTCCTCTGTATATCATATTAGCAGTAGTTTAAGCTAAAATCGAGAGGTGACACATACGGGTTCTTATCTGGATGATACTTCTTGCTCAAAGTCCTATATGCGCGCTTGATATCTCTTTCTGAAGCTTGCTTGTCTATACCAAGAAGCTATTACACAATTAGCATTCATTCTGCCCTTTCTATGTCCAAAATTGCAAAGCGTCTACAGGCTACCGAAGGAGAACATACTTGGTAAAAGTCCTCCGCGCAAGCTGCCAATTGCAGTATGCACAAGAATAAAAAGGCAAAAGGTAGCCACATTGCGCCAGATATGCGCTCACAAGGAGCTAGATAGATATTGTCTCAACACGAATTGAAATATATAAACTACAAGAAACCATGCGTATGTAGTTGCGGAATATGTGATAAGAATAGAATCGCAAAACAAATGAATCTATTGCTCAATACAAAGGAACGTTAATTTCTATGTATTGTGTTGGATTTACAAAGAACATTGAAAAAGATACCAAGCTGGCCTTATTGATAGCATCGATAAGAGATTACAAGGGTCGATGAGATTTTATACGTTGACCTTTAGCGTTACTTGGTGCGGTGGCTAGTCACGGGTAATTGTCGGTGGCTCAAGTTTGGTGACCTGCAGTCGAACGATGACCAGGCTAGGGACATTCTTGATATTCAACCCCATTTCATACAACGAAGTCAGCTCGAGCATTTGATCACTTTGAGAGGATATTATTTTACAGAAACTAGTGCAGCTTCGAGGTTAAAGAGCCATGACACCTTAAAGAGCAACATGCTTTTAGATCTAGGCTTACTGTGTAGTCTTCTAGATCTTCGGTTTTCTAGATCTTCAGGCTACTCAAAAAGTTTATGACTGAACGTTCTGCATTGTCGAACAAGCAAATACGAGATTGAGAGCTGTCACTAAAACGCCGTTTGGAGACTTGCGATATGTGAACTGAACTATGTGCAAAATGAACATCCTTCGCGACTAGCGGAAGGACAATGTTCAGAAAATGATCTACCTACGGGATATGCCAGTGCTGTTCTAGAAAGTAGATTGCAGAACACTGGGAGATGAACCCAATGGAAAACTGGTTTTTTTTGTTTTCCTTTTGTAAAAAGTGACCAGCGTTAACAGCAGTCTCGATATCTAGATGATGCAAGGAATAACAAAGAGGCAAGTTGTGATGTTCAGCCGTGGTGTTACAAAAACTTTGAGAATTAATCTCTCCATAGGGCAGGAGTCTATATTGTAGAGTTTTAGATGCCTAGGTCGTTGTCTTCAAATTTATAGCTTATGATACCAAGCAGGTTCGGAGTCTTGTCTAGTATAGGTAGGTAGATACATATTCCGCAAATCTATTAGCCGAGTTTCTTCAAACCTTCATTCTTCCATTCTACCCCGTGTCATCTCATTGGTCAGATCTGACAACATCCCAAACGAAACCACCAGCGTGGCTATGGTTCCTGATGACCTTTACGAGGCCAACCAAATCCCTGTCTTGAACCGAAGATCTGGTTTTGACCCCTGCGATATTGTGACGTCAGATCTTAAATTCATCATTCCTGTCGCCTCTGCATGTGTATATAAATGTATGTGCATCCGGAGAGCGCAGATCAATTTCTATCAATATCGAAAGTTACAATCTTGAACCAAATAGTCGATTTACTCCCAAAAAAACAAACCAGCAAACCAGCAAACCAGCAAACCAGCAAACGAGGAAAAACAGAAAACAATATGCCTATCAACGATAAATCAGGAGTTTCGGGTGGTGTTACCTGGGTTACTAGTACTGTTGGGTATGTTGTTCATCTTCTTCTCCTCATATTTCTTCCCTCCTTTCCTCTCTTCTCTCTTACGCCCACATCTTATTTGGTTCTTTTGCCCTTCCCAGCCATACTCTCATTTATAGACCCACCCACCACTTCCAAATTTCAAGCCCACAGAACGGAATCCAGACTAACATAACTCAACAGCAATGGTGTGTCAGGCGTCACAAACACAGTAGGAGGTGTTGTTGGAGCTGTTGGACGAGGATTGGGAGAAACTGTAAATGAAGTTACCGGAAATGCAGGTTTGTCATCCTTTTACTTTCCCTCGTTATCTATAAGTTCTTCTCTTGATTTCATACTTTTATTCACCTCCGCCATCTTTCTCAATTATCTCAAATAAGGAGAAACGAGATTGGAATGCTAGAAGCAGATTATTAGAAAAAGACGCACACAAGCTAACAAATATATATTAGGTAAACCAGTAGGCGATGGTATCAAGGATATTGGAGAAGGCATTGAAGGTGGAGCAGCACGTGTAGCGAAGGGTGTCAAGAATGCGGGGGAGGGTCAGCATGGGCCTTTGAGATGAGGAGTATCTCTTTCGGGTTAAGGGTTTGGGCAGTCTGCGGATTTGATATGATACCAATGCTTTTTCTTTAAATGGGCCGTCGCCTAGAAATATATGACAAATCGGTTGTTTGAGATAACCATTCTTATTTGATACTTATCTATTTGACGGGAATTATCCATCGCATGTCCCGAACGAATATAGCGATTTGTCATTGCCCTTGTGTTGTATAAGAAGTATTTGACTCGCTCATATGAAACTGGAGCCATATGTTCTATCGTATTAACATCTTGAAGGTAGTGCAAGCGTTGATTGGTACATTGTTCGTTGTGCCATTTTGGTCAATGGCTAACAAAACTACGTAAGCATACGATCATCTTTACCGGCTCAAAAGACAAAGTGATATCACTCCCCGAATTAACTGATATATATGTATTTTTAATCTGAAAGATATGGCCTTCCATTACACCTCCAACTTGGGCCCACCTATATCCCCAAATCAGCAAAAATTTCCCCATCTCTGACCGCCAAGCATCTTATCAGCACCCCTGACATCCACCCCGAGCTTATCATTATCAAAGTTTCGTAAAGCATAAGAAGAATGTAGTGTCGGCGATCTAGAATAACGAGAATGGCATTTTGGTGGTTGAATAAGATGAGGTAAAAGACGAATGGAGAGAATGCCAAGAAGGTGGCCGCTGATGCGAGGTTTCTTATAGGTTTCCGAGGAGGTGGTTTGTTGGATGGATGATAAGGGAGTGAGGGTCTTGGACAAAGTTTGGGTCCTTGGAATGGGACTTAGAGGGATAGGAAAGATGGGATGGGGTACTTAATACTTTTGAGTTCCTCTATCACCATATAGAAAGTCTCGTTTCCTAAATATATTTACCAGGAGCGGAGCTTCTTCACACTCAACCTCATATTGATCACACCCACCCAGCACCATGAGTGCCCCCGTCTTCAACTCCTCCATTCCCAATGGCGGCGATCCCGAACTCGTAGACGTTAACGCCCAATACTCCGGTTTCGAATTCCACTACACATATATAGTCTTCTGCGGCTTCATCGTCTGGCTTATCATTCCCGGCATCGGACTCCTTTACAGTGGGCTCGCGCGACGAAAATCCGCTCTTACCTTGTTATTCCAATCGCTTCTCGTAGCGGCGGTGACAACTTTTCAATGGATGTTCTGGGGATACTCACTTGCGTATTCGCGTACAGCTGGACCTTTCATTGGCGATATGGCGAACTTCGGACTCAAGAACGTGATGGCTGCTCCGTCGCCAGGTAGTGCTGTGATTCCGGAAATTGTGTTTTGTTTGTATCAGTTGCTTTTCTGTGCCTGTACAGTGCAGATTGTAGTTGGTGGTGCGTTCGAGAGAGGAAGAATTATACCGAGTTTGGTATTCGGGTTTTGGTGGGCAACAGTTGTTTATTGTCCTATTGCTTGTTGGACTTGGAATTCTAATGGTTGGTTGTATAATGTAAGTTCCTCATTACCTGTGATTTTTTGTAAATGACATAAGCTGATCAAGGAAAAAGCTCCCTTCATTGGATTTCGCTGGTGGTGGACCAGTCCATATTGCATCTGGATGGTCTGCGTTGGCGTATGCTCTTGTACTGGGAAAGCGCAAGCACACCGGCGAGAAGTCCCATGGAAGGCCACATAATACTACTCTCGTATTCCTAGGTACAGTCCTAATTTGGTTTGGATGGTTTGGATTCAATGGAGGCAGTGCTCTGAATGCTTCCGTCAGAGCGATGCTTGCTGGATTCAATACCAACACTGCTGCATGCACCGGAATGCTTGGATGGGTGCTTGTCGACTATGTCAAACATGGTGGCCGATTTAGTCTCGTGGGAGCCTGTGAAGGTGCCATTGCCGGGCTTGTGGGAATCACTCCTGCTGCAGGTTATGTATCCGTTTGGCTGGCCGCAGTCATTGGATTCATAACTGCAGTAGTTTGCGCACTTTTACAGAATGTAAATGAATGGCTTCATATCGATGAAGGAATGGACGTCTTTAAGCTTCATGGTATCGGTGGAATGGTGGGAAGCTTTTTGACTGGAATATTTGCAACATCCTCTAGTATGTATCCTTACTCTTGAAAGCCTAATGCCCAAGCTAACTTCATGACAGTCAGTATGCTCGATGGGGCGACTTCAGCTCCGGGTGGTATTGATGGTAATGGAATTCAAGTGGGTAAACAGTTCGCAGAAATCACCGCGATATCAGCGTACTCATTTTTCGTATCTTGCGCTCTCCTCTATATCCTGAAATTCATTCCAGGAATGCACTTGCGGGTCACAGAAGAGGCTGAGATTCAAGGCTTGGATATGGATCAATTCTTCGATGAGCAGATCGGTGACTGGGCAATATTTGAGGAATTAGATCAACGAAAAATGATATTAGAGGCAAGCTCGCCTGGAACCCCACAGGTACAAGAAGTACAAGGCCAGACAGAGCAAACCAAGAAGGTATAGAATATTGGCAAAGGGTTGTGTATATCACTCCATCCTTTTAATCAAAGTAGAACATCCATTCCAACTAATTTCATTCTCGCGATTTTTCGTTATCGACATGTGACACTGTATGAAAGTGATACTTCGCTGTAGCAAAGGGCATCGCCGAGCCCGTCACTCAAAATTTTAACAGCATTAAATCTGTAAATACACCGGGCAGGAACGCAGGATGCTTTTCTGTGGTTCATGATGTAAATTCTGCTTCCCACAAACTTTTAGGACAAAGTCTTTTCTTTTTTCAAAGAACTTAAACACCCTTGGACATAGAATCCATGCTGTTAATGTTGTATATTGTACTGAAGAACATGTAGCCGAGCATTTGCCAGATGTAAAGCAGACCTTCCGAAGAATAGATTTTCCACACCCGAGATTGCGGGCGCTTAGAATCCGAATAGTTTGTATAAAATTAGCTAAAATCGTGTTAGAGTTGATAATTGAGGTCAAGCTCATAAAGCAACGATGTCTTTCAAGTCACCTCTAGATTGAAATCAGGTTGCGTCGCCGTGAAATTTTGCTTAATATCCCATTTATGGTTCTTGGTGCCCCCACATTGGTTCAAGAGGCTGGGAATAGATGACTTCACGTTATCGATATTAACCGAACGCTTTTGAAAAGAGGAACAATGGAGTTCAAATTAAAAGATCTGGTTAACGCGTGCCCCACCATCCAAAAATAGAGTTTATTCTGGAGTGAAGTAAGAATTTAGCTTGTTGCGTGAGAAATGGGGGTAGAATCGTTCATGTTTATACTTCGGGTGCGTGCACTAAGTTGCAAGACCCGCTAGTGGTAACATCTCGGAGCCAGGATAACGACGCCAACACACGTGGATTCAAACGCAAAATCTTTCTACAACCAAAATTTAAGATTTCTTCAATATGTATGCGAATCCTTCCGCCCACATGGTAATGGAACGCTATTGACAACAATTCTGATACGGGGCAAGCTTACCTTCTTTCGATCGTGAAGGATCTCCCAGGATCAACACGGGCTAACCCACACATTGGGTTAAGAGTCAATGCGGCGAACCTTCCCGCTGCCAATCACTGACTCAGAACTCCTCCATCCAAGTATATCATGGACGGTAAAGTGATACCTGGTCCTATATGCTTCCAGAATTCTTCCATTGAAGCAAGGGTTCGGAATGCATGATATCTGATTGGTCAATCAGATCCAGAAAAATATGATAGAACTAACCTCCATGCTACTTGCTCTCTGGTATCTTACAGACCTTGAGATGAGCGACGAGGGACAAAGGACACAAAATCCTTAGTGGGATGACATTCAAAAGCACAGACGCCTTTCAATATCTGGCTCAGCGTTTGTTTCTGGTACCTAGATATATAAAGTCTGGCGTCACCTTTGATCATCATTCTGATTTTCAACAGCATCCTCATCTTCTTCACCTTCCTCTTTCTCTACTTTCTCTCAACATCCTCTTTCAAGTGTCAAAATCGATTACAAACATTGAAATGGCTATCTTCAAAGTTACACCATTGCTTTTGGCTGCTGTCACAAGCTATTTCTCCCTTGGAGCTTTTGCTGCAGTATCAAATATCACTTCCTCCCTCACTATTGACAGTGTTACGTACCACAACGTTGAGTATATCGAAAGAGATGTGGTCGTAATTGGTGGTGGATCCTCCGGAACCTATGCAGCAATTGGTCTCCTCGACGCGGGCAAGACTGTGGCGATCATTGACAATAAAGCTCGCATGGGAGGCCACACAGAAACCTATACTGATCCTGCAACTGGAGTTTCAGATGACTATGGAGTTATCATCTTCCACAACATCGAACTTGTCAAAAACTATGCCGCGCGTCTTAACATCACTTTGGCAGTAGCCGACACAACAGAATATGTTCAATCAAGTGTATATGCCGATTTCCGAACCGGTCTTGAGAATTCTACTTTCACGACTGCTGACTTTACCGCTGGCCTCATGCTGTACATGGAGCAACTTGCGAAATATCCCTACCTTGAAAATGGCTTTGGTTTACCAAACCCAGTACCAGAAGATCTTTTGCTCACTTTTGGGGAGTTCGCAATCAAATACAATTTCGGCGATCAATTCCTTGGATTCATGTTCAACTTTGCTCAGGGTCTGGGAGATCTGTTGTCCAAGCCTACTATATACGTGCTCAAGAACTTTGGTGCCGGTGTCATCGAATGTTTTACCACTGGTTTCTTGGCAACGTCTGCACAGGACAATAGCTTACTCTACGAATCGGCACAAGAAATTATCGGTGACGACAGCGTTTTTCTGAGCGCAACAATCGTCTCAGTCGACCGAAGTGGTGATTGTGCTCAAGTTCTCATCAGCACTCCTTCCGGCTACAAGTTCATCAATGCCCAAAAATTGGTCTTCAGCATTACACCTCAGATCAACAATCTTGCAGGATGGGATCTTAGCACTTCGGAGAAAACTCTTTTCTCTCAATTCAACAACTCCGGATACTACGTTGGTGTCTTTGGTAACACTGGTCTTCCAACCGGTATC